TTATTCCACTTTTCTTGTATCTGTCATTCCATCTGATTCAACCTTTCATCCTTTCTCTTTTTTATCTTTCCACTCCATTTACAATTCTAATTCAATCAATCTTGAAAGTTATCTGAAAACAACAGCATAAAATGTACCCAATCATCGTTTCACCATTCAAATACAAAAGTTTCTCATGTCAACCTTTCATTTCCGAATCATTTTTTCCTTTCCTTTACCGATCCAACAAATAAACAATTTAAACAAATTTTAAATAGATAATTGTTCATTGAGTATGAAAACGAAAACTTGCAAGTTCAATGTCATTTTCGTTGTCAAAATAACAGGAAATCAATGGATTCTACATTGAATTTCACTATTTTTCGATCATATTACATTTCTTTTGAATCATCATGATACAGCAATGCTCATTCTTACAATATGAATGTTTCGACTTAAAAGATTCACTCATTTTTGATTAACTTTCTTCTTCTATTTTTACTTTCTTTTGTGTTGGTTTATTTTTCGGTTTCCCTTTTTCACCCTTTCTTTTCTTACCAATCACAATGCTGGATATAAACATGTTATCATTGTAATCATTTGATATAATATTCAGTTGATAATAGCAATGAAAAAATATGATTCATGAGTTATGTGCAAGTACTCTATTGGGATGTCAGCATCACAAAATGATGCGGTACAAATGATTATCCCAATAAATCACTATTCATAATAGATGATCAACTTTAATTACAAGCACACATTTTAAGTAACATTCACGATGGGAAACACCAAAGGAAATGCACTGTTGAGGGACAATTAGTTGGAGAGATGCAAGAGAATGCTAATCATCACTTGCAGTTAATTGTTTGTTAGGTAATCATTTAAATACACACATGAATAATTAATAGTTTATCTTGGCTATTTATATGAAATTTGATGGGAAAAGGAAAAGATATTGAAAAATGAAGGAAAGTGGTAAGAGTTTAATGTATTGAAAGGGAAGAGACAAAAGTGGGAGTTTGATATTATGAAAGGTTGGTGAAGAAAAGCGAAGAAAAATGAATCTGATGAAAGAAAAGTAAATCAACCTCAACTATTCATGTTAACCTGTTATTAAGTGATGGATAATTCAACAATGCCTTTTTACCTGAGGAATACAAATTAGATGAAGGATAAGGAAAGACAGAGTCAACATTTTCAATCATTTTTGTAACTCATTTTCATTTTAATTTAAACGAGTGAACAAAAGATTGAAGCGTTCAGTTTATTATTTTCATAAATGCTGAACCTTTCAACAATGGAACGTTGATGGCTCGATAAATGACATTATACTGATTTGCATGAATCAAATGCCTCAATTGATTGGAAATGGTTGAAACTTTTTCAAATTATTGTCAATAATACATTCTTTATGAATGCCTAATCAAATGTTTCATCTTGAATTGGAAGAAAGGAAAAGGCAAAATTTGTTTGCAATCTTTCACTTCAGTTGAACGACAATGAAACTCAACAAACGTATTTCGATGCGTAAATTTTGTTCCTGGAAAAGTACAAAATTGCATAAAATGATAATTACTGAGCAAAGCTTTTTTGGCTTCATTAAAAGTTGAAGGTAAAAAAAGAAGGAAGAAAATTTCCTGACAACGGAAAATAAAGCTGCTTGAAGCAAAAGTCGAAAGTTGTTTCAGTTTGCATTGAATGATGAAAGAAATGATGAGACAAGAAATCAACAATGATGAACAATTTGATCACAGTTTTCAAATTAGCTGAAAGAAGGGAAAGAATGAACCTTTGATAATGTCTTTACTTGAGCAACTCAAATATTAAGTTTAGTTTAAAGGGTAAAAGTGATGTAAATAACGACGATTTTGCCAGTTAATAAGAAATGTCAAAATAGTGTCCAAAATTGTTCACCTCAATCCATTTATTTGTCAACATTTTCTGCCTGACAGAATATTAAAGTTGATACTTTTCTTGTGCATTTTTTGTTTTCATTCAAAGTTAATTTAGTAATATTTGTGTAAAAATGGTAAAATGAAAAGGCTTGAATAAATGTTACACTTCGATAAATGTTTTTTTTATAAAAATAACCTTTTGTTCAAGAGTTGACTTTGGATCGTTTCAATATTTTCATATTGACTTCAATATCATGGTCTGATTGTCTCTTGACCGGTTAAAAATTTAACTTTGTAACCAGTTTTTGTTGATATTCACTTCATATTCTGGTCAACATCAACCATGCATAACACTTGGTAGCTTAAATATTCATCAGTTAACAGTAAATTATCTCCTTACAATTATTCAAAAACTTTTCTAATTTATTTTGGTGCAAAGTAGAATTCAAATTTTCTAATTTCTCAAATTCGTTGGAGTTGAAATTTTCACCAACTCTTATTTCGCTATTAAGAGTTAATCTTTCAAGAATATTTATGACTCAAACTTACAAAATTAGTCGAGTTGAATATCAATTTAATGTGAAGTTGTTAAAGAAATGGTCAACATTTAGTCAACCCAATTCTGGTTTTCTGGTTTTCTCTCGTTGATTGTTTTATTTCACTTTGTTCATTTTGTTAAGTTTTTTGTTGTTTAACAACATAACTTGTTTAAAAGAAACGTTGACATTGATATCATTTTTGAATCATCTCATGCTGTTCTTGATTTGGAAATGTCTTCTTCCCTGTTTTATCCTCTGAGTTTATTTTTTCTACTTTCCTTTCGAATTTCATTCTTTCTTTTCTCTGTGTTCTCTTGCTTTTTTTCTTGCCTCTCTTTCCCTGATTGACCCAACTTTCTATCAAGATCAACATAAGCTGAATCATCATCATTATTCAGTTGGTTCATCAGATAATTCACAAGAATAACTTGCTTCTTTCAACTTTCTTTTTCAACATTTTTTCTTTTAACCTTAATCTTCTTACATAATCTTGGAAGAAACCTGTTCAAAAAGCAATTCTGTTTCATAAATTATATCACCAGAACTTTTCGTTCCCCTTTCTTCTGATTCTTCTGCATCTCTATTCAACTCCCTGTTTATATCTAAAAATAAATCCACAAATTGAGATGTTAATAACAATCTTGGTCTCTTCAGTAAATGCATTTGAATTTAAATGTTTAACATTTTCTGTTATTTGCACAACAACACAAACTGGATTTTAATTGTGAATCAACATTTAAATTTCATTCCAACCTTTGACAACAATTGTTGCTTTACCTTCACCTGCACCACAAAGTTGATTACATTTTCCTATTTAATCCGTGAATCAAAAATGAATAACAACGATAATACACTTAATTCCCTTGAACAAAAAGGTAAAGTTAAATTGAAAATCTATTATTAAATAGATTTGATCTGAAAATTTATTGCTCTTTAAACGTCAGCGAGTGGCTTGGAAGTAACAATTGAAAGTCACAAAACAAGAAAATTTTGCCATCTTATTATCAACTATTGACTTAACTTTGCAGCTCAAATAAGCGTAAAAACAAAGGAAAGTAAGGACAAGATAACTAAGAATTTCAAGTTGAAAGGAATGATTCTGATGATGAAATTTCGATTTATTTTGTTCGTTTCTCTTTTCTCCTTTTTCCTCAATTCCATTTGTTGACCTTTCCCAGATGAACAGGGAAGAATGAGGAGAAAAGAAAGAAGAAGAAAAAGTTATCAAAATGAGAAAAATTTCTAACTCAAAAGCTTAACACAAAAAGTCTCTTGTTTGACCCAAAAAATCTATTATCATCATCTCTATTAAACTGGTTAAAAGCCACCAACCATTGGTCTTGAGAATCAAACACATCACTGAACTTTATCAACTTTTCCAGAGTCAAAGAGAATAATGAAAATCTTTTGGAGAAAAAAAATTCACACAAAATTTCAATTCCATCAACATTATTCAGGTTATCTCACACTTTGACTGTTTGTCATCAACAGTCAATTCAAGTTGCATTGGATTATTGATTTACTGTTTTTACTCCAATCTTGTAGCTGAAATTTTCTGTTGATTCCTTGTTTCTTTTCACCTTTAAGTTCATTATATTTTTTCATGATAATATTATTATTAACGATAATAATGATGATGATGGAAAACAATCATTTGATAACAGTTATAATGAAAAATCATTGATAGAAATGGAAACTTTTCTTCTGCTTTTTGTTCATTTTTTATTGTTGTTTCATCTCATGAATCCTTCGTTATCATCCTGATGATCATCATGAATCTTTACCCTTCTTCTGTTTCCAATGAATTCTCATATTTCAAAGTCACGTGAGTTTGGAGAACAACTTTTTCCTGCTTCTTTCCATCAATTTTTCCACTTTTCCATCTTCTTCTCTATTAATGCATTTGATTGAAATTCTGTATATCATGTAACATTAACACCATGAGGTTGAACAATTTTTCATCAAGAAAACTTTTCAACACAATTATTATTGCAATAAAAAGGTGAAAAAATTGAAAGAGAAAAAAAACAAAATTCACTATTTTTGAGTGAAAATCCAATTGAATAGAGAAGGTTAATTTCTTTACTCATTTTGAACAAGTTTGTTCAAAAATTGCAATCATTAAAAGTATTGATTCAAGATTTTGCAATTAAATTTGATTGCACAGAAAAAAAGAAATCAAATAAACTATTTAAATAGTTCAATGGGTTAAGATCAATAATTCAAGAATGAAAATCAAAGTTAAACAAATGTTTTTATCGTCATTTGAATAGTTGATGAAATTAATGAAACTGTTTGATGACGGGAAAAACAATTCATTATTGTAAGAGCAAGAATTGTCTTTATTCATTCTTTAAATTCTGTAAATATTATCGGAAATTGGCTGACAAACAGGAAATCCGTAGCATTTTGGAACCATAAGAGGAAGTAAAGTGCACGGCTTTGCTGTCTGAGCACAAAAGAGTTCAACTGATGAAATAATACTTTCAAATAAACGACCAAAGAAACGATTGAATGATTATTGAATTTATTAACTTTGATACAAAATGAAACATTATTTACTTATTTTGCTTATCGATTACAGAGCGGTGCTAGACAAGGTAGTGGTGATGGCGTCAAAAGCCTGTGGCCAAGAGGAGGGTAAGAACTGCTTATTTATCTTTTTTTTCAATCCAATGAATCAAAGTGAACAAATGAACTTCTCAAGATTATTACCAAAGTTTGGTCAAAATTCACCCTTCATTTGGCTTTTTAACTTGAAAATAACCGCAAAATAAACCGAGTTTGTGTTGACTAAGCTGCAACTTTTTTGTCGGAAGATGAAGAGAAGAGGAGAATGGATGAGTGATGAAAAGACGAAAGTAGAATCGACAGGAAATACATCAAATATCGACAGAATTGAAACTTTTTTCATTTATCTTGTTTGCGCTTTTTGTCTCTTCATGATATTTTGGGTTTCTATTTACTTTGATTTCCTCTTTTATTTTATCCATGATTTTTGTTGATTTGAAACTTTAAGTTCCGTTTGATTAATTTGGTGAGTTGACAGGAGAAGAAGATAGCAGAGAAAGAAAAGAAAGAAAGAAAACCAGAAATTAATCTAGTTAACCAGATTCTGGTTCATTTGCTTGTTCTAGTTGTTGTTGTTTGTTGTAGGTTATATCCTATTAGTGTGGATAAACAATTTGTTGAACAGTGGCTTAAACAGAGTGCGCCAGTTCAATCAGAGATTATTTCATCCACATCATCATCATAATCACCTTATGATTCAATCTTGAACAACGCAAAATCAACAATTAAAATGATGTAAAACCAAGCAAATGATTGAGATGATGGCTTTGATTATGATGGTTAGATTATGAGATTGATGATGCCATTCCTTGCCTCTTGGATCATACTTTATGCTCGATAAAACCATTCATTATGCCATCAGTTTCATCAAGTTTACTCTGTTATTCACCTGTTATCAAACACTTCAACACTTTAAGTTTACCTTTAATTAGTTCAATCCGTTGTTTGCTGTTTTCATTTCAAATTTAACTTTCTTACCACAAAATTTGTTCTTTGCTAAATTCATATTGTTCACTTTGTGTTTCCACTTATAATTAAAATGGATCGTTTAACGGTCAATAACGACAAGTGGAAGTTTCATCGATCACTTAGAGGTCGATCCACTGCCACAAACTCATCAACTTCAACACCAAAAACTTTGACTCCAAAGTCAACGCGATCACTTACAGACGATGAAATTAATTTCGTTTCCAATGCCATTTACATCGATCCCTTTTACCTTTCCAGGGATAATCCTTTCTTTAGTGCCATTGATGCCATGCCTGATATACGACCTCGGAAAAAGTCCATTCCATTGGTCAGTGAATTGGTAAGTCACTAAACGAACAATAAACATCATCTTGAATTTGCCACGAATTCCTTTCAAATCCTCTAAAATTTATAAGAAATATTGAAAACCTTAAATTTGTTCAAAATCTCAATCTAAATTACCTGAGAATTTGTTCACCAACTGTTGATAGAACCCTTAAATTCTCAGAAATTCTTCACTCCCTATTCTCACTTTAAATTTTCCTTCAATCTTAAGTATTATTATGTCTAGAATCCTTACTATTCTTGTTATTTACAAAATGATGATTTTCCTTTCATAACTTGTATTGTTTTCGTGTATTTCTCTCAACAAATGTTTCTTTTCCAGGTTCTCAAAACAATGGCCGCTACCAAACGAAGTGCTGGATTGGCCTCAGCTGTGCCAAGAGCATCTCTTAATGATGAAGAATTGGTAAGATAATCTTAGAAAAAGAAGAGAACGAAAATGCAGTTGGAATACTAATTGACCTCAATTGTTTATTTATTGACACAGAAAATGCATGTTTATAAGAAAACTTTACAAGCCTTAATCTATCCAATATCAAGTACAACTCCACACAACTTTCAACCCTGGACTGCAACTAGTCCAACATATTGTTACGAATGTGAAGGACTTTTATGGGGAATCGCAAGGCAAGGAGTTAGATGTACAGAGTGTGGAGTGAAATGCCATGAGAAATGTAAAGATTTGCTCAATGCTGACTGCTTACAACGTAAGTTTACTTGCCATCCTTGTATCCTAATCATCATTTAATTAAGCAACAATATTAATACCAAGCAATTGGCTAAACTTGGATTTGACCTTTTTTACTCCTTAATTCTTGAGCACAGAACTGAATACTTGATCAAATCCTACTTAACTTTGTCTAATTCCAAATCTCTTGACAATCGACAAAAGAGTTATAAATTTTCTATTATCAACTGTTTATTCCATAATCAGGTGCTGCTGAGAAAAGTTCAAAACATGGTGCTGAAGATAAAGCCAACAGCATAATATTAGCCATGAAAGAAAGGATGAAAACTCGTGAAAGAGATAAACCAGAAATATTTGAAATGATAAGGTAAGACTTTTCCTATTTTTACATTTCTATTCAATAACCAGAGTAAAATTAGATCTATTAGTATTAATCTATTCTTAAGTTTTTCAATTTTGTTTCACTTGCAATCTTTTCAATTAGTTAATTTATTGCAATTAGATTTAATCTTTACTTTCATTCAATTTCTTTCATCATTAACTTTTAATGTTTATTCACTAAGAATAATTTATACATTTGAAAGCAACATAATGAACAACATCTTTAACCTTTCCAAGTTTTCCTCCAAAAAACAAACACATTTTGAACAACAACAACATTAAACTGAATTTATTGATTGTCATTGAGATGATGAATGAATGTTTTCCAATCGAGTCCATTTCTTATTTTAACTCTTTTTTCACCTTTTTTTCTCAATCAACTTGTTGATTTGTGTGTTTGTGTGAAATGAAAACATCAGGAATGTGTTCAATGTCGATGAAAAGAGTCACGGTGGTCACATGAAAGCTGTCCATCAAAGTGTCCTCGATGGAACATCCAAATGGTCCTGTAAAATAGCCATAACCGGTAGGTTGATATAAGATGAAGATGAAGAGTTAATTGTTGACAATCGTCCAAATTTATTGGTAAACAACTAAAGAATGTAAAAAGTGTTGATTCCCAATCGTCTTGTTAATCAATGGCCTTTGTATTCGTCTTGCGATTTTGGGCAAAATTTTCCAGTTTAATGTTCTTCTTGTACATTGTCTTGCACTCTCATTGTTGTCACCATCATTGTTGTTGTTGTTTATTGTTGCATCTAGTTTAAATTAATTTTACGTGTTTTCGTAACAATTATTTTCCCTCATTTTAAACTCCATTGAAAATCAAAGCAAAAACTACTGACTGTTTCAATCAACAATCAACTTACAATGGCGAATCAATGGAAAGAACGAAAAATGAAGTTTATTGAAAAAGAAAGCTCAATTTTCCTTCATATTCAAGTGTTTCATTTTTACTTTGTATTATGCATTTTCATTATTAACTTTTTTAACACCTTTACTTGTTTCCTTAGAAACATGATGGTTTTCATATTATCATGGCAAGAATATTGTAAACTCAACTCTAAGAGTTCTCAATAGAAGTTATCAATAGAAGTTCTGAAAAAGTTGTAAATAGAAAAAGATTTTGGGGAGAAAAAAAGTTGTGAAAAGAGTTCATTCTTGTCCAAGTTTAAAAGAAACCAGCATTTTGAACTCATGCAGTTTCTTGTTACACTAAGCCATCAATTATGAACAAAAAAAAATCAGCCTCAGCCTTTTATTTACAACTTTTTTCGTTCATTTATCCAACTTAACCAATCTTATATACACTCAACTCTTTTATTTTTCCCATGTAAAGTGAAGGAGCAGAAGAAAAAATTAGTTCAACCTCCATCATCAATGAATGCTATTTCGTTGTTTCTTCATGGTATCAGAACAGGTAGACTAACCAGGGTTAACAGAAGAAAAGGAAGAGAGAAAAAACACAAATAATCAAAGTTTCAAAGTGAACCACTCATGGTGATTGATGATGATTCCTGTGACACCAGAAGAAGAAAAAAAATAAGTTGTGATTCTCGATTATCCAAACATTTTCACTCCATGATAACAATATTAACATGGAAAACATTCATATTATTTCTGTTGACTTATTAAAAGTTTCAACTTTTCATATTCGTTGATAGTCTTATTAGCGTCATTATCATAATGATTATCATTTTCATAGTTTCACTCTTTTTTGTTGCTAACCTGAAATGTTACTTTCTGACAAATTTGGTACCAATTTTGCATTATATTATTATATTATTAAGGTTAATGACAAGTTGAAAGAGTCAACATTGTTATAAAGAAAGTAAAAAATGTGAACAAAAATGTTTATTAAAATTTATCTTTAACATGATATTTTTTGTTACTTTTAATGTAACCTTTTTAAGGTGCATTTTAAGACTTTTTGCTTATCGTCTAATTGAAACAGTCATTAAGGATTGATTTGATTTATCAATTTTGTCATGTTTTGTTTCTGCATGAACTTTCACTCTAATCATAATTAATAATAGTTATTGTTAAACATGATATTTGAAAGAATCTTGTTCAACCCAAAAGACCCAATTTTTTTGCTTGTTTGTTGTTGTTACTTGTTTTTAGGTGTACCTTTGGTGTTGATCCTGATACTCATATCGATGCAATCCAAGCTGCTGAGAAGGTTATCCTTGCTGGTGACTGGTCAGCCAAAATAGCCATTACAGGCATGTAATAAACACCTTAGATATCAACAGAAACAATTGATCATTTTTACACTTCACTTTACATCATTTTTACATCATTTTACATCATCTTTTAACACCATTTTTGTCTTCCTACTCTTTAACCTCCAACTTTCATTTTTGATCATCTTTTCTTTTGATTTGTTCATTTTCATCACTAATTGTAGTTGATTATTTATTTTGACAGGTAAAAGCAGATTACAGTCAATGACAGGTTCATCAATCATATTCATTATCTGGTGTAAATGATAATAAATAACAAAATAACTGACAACAAAAAAGTGAACATAATCTAACCTCCTTTGGTTCCCTGTAACTTCTGAGTTTCCCTTTTTGCCACTGCTTCTGCTATCTCTTCATCATTATCATTATTGAGTCAATCTTATGAAATTTCATTCTATTATTTTTCCAACATTTGTTATTATCATTTCAAGTTAATAGTAGCTATTATATTGATAGTAGTATTTCAATTCAACATGCTGTATTTATAAGTCACAAGTTGACTTAATATTGATAGAGTTAGTCAACTTTCTCTTTCTTTTTCTCTTCCCTTTTTTCACTTTCAATAATAATGGAGTAATGATGATGGGTTAGAGTTGGACTGGGTAATTTAACGATTACTATGCATTTCATTGGGTAGATAATGTTACAATTTATTAGATACTAAACATGAGTATCTCAATTTGCTATTAATTTTACTTTCTCCAATTTAAGTAAAATCACAATCTATTAAACATAATTGAATTGAATGGTAGTTCACTTGTGATAGACAAATCCAATTCAAATGTTGATTAATTCTTTGGATTCAAGGTTTAACCACATTCCTTTCTTCATTTTGCCTTTTGATCCTTTTAACATCATTTTTTTGCTTCATCTTTGTTCATCTGTAATAAATCGGATATTTGCATGCTTGAATAATTGTCCCAATCATCGATTCCTCGAATTAAATGTTGTCTATCCCATCATTGTTGTTATCATCTGATCTCTTTTTTGTGGCGATTCTCATCAATTTTCATCATAATTTTTTCATCAATCTTTGTTTCCCAACATAACATGACCATGAAATTTAACACCGTTTCTTTTTCACTCCATTCTGGATATTGTGTTGATTATTGTAGTGATTTGTGCCCAAGGATTAATTGCAAAGGATAAAAGTGGAACTTCTGATCCTTATGTAACGGTTCAGGTGGGAAAAGTGAAAAAGCGTACTCGAACCATGCCTCAAGATCTGAATCCAGTTTGGAATGAAAAGTTTTACTTTGAATGTCACAATTCTTCCGATCGAATCAAAGTTCGTGTATGGGACGAAGATAATGATCTTAAATCAAAGTTACGTCAAAAATTGACTCGAGAATCGGACGATTTTTTGGGTCAAACAATCATTGAGGTACGAACTCTTTCAGGTGAAATGGATGTTTGGTACAATCTGGAAAAGCGAACCGATAAATCCGCAGTCTCTGGAGCCATCAGACTTCACATTAGTGTTGAAATCAAGGGTGAAGAAAAAGTCGCCCCTTATCATGTTCAATATACTTGTTTACACGAGGTAAGTGGACCAACGTTACTATTCAAATTTTTCACTTTCTCTTTACCAATTCCAAATTTCGGTACCAAACAGTCGCAAAAAATTGGCTGAAAACGGCCATTATGAGCCAAAATAAATAAGCTGGGTTAGAATATCCAAAATGAAAATTACTCAAAGATGACAAGGCAAATGGAAGCAAGATAATTTCAAACAATTGTATAATAAATTAAGAATGAAGAAGTAACCGTAAAATGAAAGCAACAATTAACACCAAACCAGTTTCTCATAGCAAACATGTGGTTTCACATAGCGGGAAAATGGTTGAAGCTAACAGTCAAGTTGAAATGGCGCGACATTCAATTGTAATGCATTAATATTTTATTCTGTTAATCTGTTAATCCATCAACAGTTCAACAATTTACATTGACCTTTTAAAATCATTGCTCATAAATCATTATTATTCACTGTTGACTTGTTATTTGAAAAAATGGAAGACTAAACTTAATAAGAAATGGTTAAGGCGGTGAAACAAAATGCTAATAAATATAAATAGGAATTGATTTGAATGGTTAAACAAAGCGCAAAAATGAAGCTCAAACTCTTACCTGTTAGGTTCAATGTTTGAATAAATATCAATCTAAAGATGGCGCTTGAAGGACTCAGTAAACTCACAATTCTGTCAGAATTACTCAAGTTATTCCATCTTTTGCCTTATCACTGTCTAAAAATAGAAAGTTGCTTTTCATCAGGTAAAGAGGAAAGCAACGAAATCGATATTTTCCAGGTTACATTTTCATCATCTCGGTTTTTCTTTCTCTCTCAATCTCTTTCTTTCCCTCTTTCTTCCTCATCTTTTTTACCTTTTCTGTCTGTGCAATGTTTATATCTTATAGACATGTTTTCCTCATGATTACTCATTTTCCCATCTCATTCAACTGATAACATTATCTTGGAACGAGCAGAATAAAGAAAGATGATTCTGTGTCGTTGAATCGCCGGTTTTTTGTTGAAATAAATTTTTCATTTTCCCTTCCCTTTGCCACGCTGTCAAATCTGTTGTATATTATTCTGAAAATAAGGAGAAGCGTGAAAAAAATCAAACATTATTCTCACAATAATATTCTTCTTTTCTTCCATTCTTAGAGTTTTCACCTTCCCTTGAATCATTTTATTAAATATTGCATCGCCCTCTATTGATTGCATTATTATTTCATTAGAAACTTTCAATCCATAAATATGAATTGAAAAACTATTCCAATATCATTATTGTCTGTTGATGGAAACAGATTTTCATTTCTCACCATTTAATAATTTATCGATTCAAATGGTTCGACTTTTCGACCTTTCAACCGATTTATTGAAAATGAAACTCGAGTGTAAATGAAGTTTAAAAGTTTATTCAATTTCAATCAGCTTCTGCAATTGATCTCAACTTGGAGTTTCCCTTTTGATCTTCTTCAAGTTGCTCTTTTAATTGTTGGCTTAGTTCAATTAGTGAATTAGCAGACAATCAATTAACGATTAAAACTGACAATTTTCCATGGTAACGTCAAAATCCTTTTTTTTGACTCTAAACTAATCAATGAACTTGAAATCGATCCAGAACTTTTTTTCCTCTTCTCTGTCTTTACTCATTTTGTTGAACATTTTTCCTTAAACCTCAAATATAGCGAGTATTAATTATAATTAATCTTTGTTGGTTAAAGTAATTTCTTAATTAGAGTCTACATTAATGAACTCAAGTCAAATGGAATGGTGAGCTTCATATTGAATGGCCAATTTGTCTATTTATATTCAACGTTGAACCAAACATTGGAATCACACAGAAATGATTGTTTAATTGTACTTTAACTAAACAAGGCCAATTCATCTTTAATCAAAAGATTCATTTCACAATCTGAACAACCATTAATATCAATTGTTGTTTTACTTTTGCTTTGCATTTACACTCATTAGCAGCAATCAATAATCCATCGTCTAATTAGTCTTAATCATCGAAAATAATTGAATCCAAAGAGAAAGTGAAAGAAAGTAAAAAACAAGATTTTGCCTGAAATCTCATGAGCTGTCTTGAACATCATCTTAATCTAAATTTAATTTTCACGTTTTTTTGTTCTTTTATCTCAACAGAATATTTTTCACCATCTTTGTGAGAAAGTTAATCAAGGGGTTGTCAAAATTCCAGAAGCCAAAGGGGTAAGCAATTGAAATTGAAAATCTTTTCGTTTAACCTTTTTTGGTTCCTTCTAGCGTCTCAACTGATTTGATTAACCTTTATGCATTCATTATATTATTTGTTATTTTACTTACAGGATGACAGTTGGAAGATTTATTTTGATTATCCTGGTCAAGAAATTGTTGATGAATTTGCTATGCGATATGGAATTGAAGTGATTTATGGTGCAATGACGTATGTATTTTGCTATTTTATCTTTATCCCTGATTATCAAATAATAAATCATTTGAATACAAACAAACAATCATCATGAATGAAAAGACAAAAAAGCAATTCTTATCAAGTTTCAAATCTTGATTCATATAAACTGAAGCAACAGAACCATAAGTATTCTTGGTAATGATGCCTATTATTAGCTGAAATAATTTTTAATGAGGGTTCGTCAGCTCAGTGATAAATCTGATTTTCTTACTATAATTAGGTCGTTTAGATGAATGAATAAAAATTACATTTCATGACTTTGGTTTGTATGAAAAATGGTGGTTTCTTGCGCTGTTCAAAAATGAATTTAATTGTCATATTGTATATTTCCAGGCACTTCCATTGTCTTTCCACAAAATACCTTTGCCAAGGAGTTCCAGCCGTGATGAGCACTCTTTTGGCAAATATTAACGCTTACTATGCACATACAGCAGCTACCTCAGCAGTCTCAGCCAGTGACAGATTTGCAGCCTCCAATTTCGGGGTAAGATTCAATTCAAAGTTCTAATCCTTACTTCATAATTCAACCTCAACTAGATATCGAACTAATCGCTATATCGATCAACGTGTCAAATCGACTTAATCTGTTTCGCTGACTGACGCAGACTGCTTTACTCAACTTCAGCTTAGTCAAATTTCAAATTTAACTAAATTTGAATATAAAATCAGTTTTCACTGAGGTAGTTCAGAATAAAATGTTTGCTTGAAAATATTTAAGCATTTTTTCAACATTTAAGCGACTTCAATCTAATACAGAAATCATGATTAAAGTAAATTGACACAATTTGGTATTTTTAATAGCTAATGTAGTGTTTAAAAATTCATGTCATTCAGAATTCGGGTGAACTAAGAATTGTCATTCAAAAAGGATTCTCTGGGAGGTTTAACTCCTACGCTGTCATAACTTTGCATTGTGATGATAAATTGTAGCGGTGATAAGAATTGGTTGAAGAGACAATAAAATGTGAACCATTGACGTTTTCAATGAGAAACACTAAATTGTCCATCATAATTATTAGTTTAACACGATTGTGTTTTGTTCACTTTACTATTTAAACTGACAATCAAAAAACAATAGAAGAAACAGTTTAATGATAAGTTGAGGCCTTTTTTCAATCATTTTTCATTTTTAATCTTTCAATGATAACTTTACGACAAGTCTAATCTTTACAGTGGAATTAACTTTTCAACAATTTGAGTTGACAATTTTAATCGCTCAACTCTTTACTTGTCTTTTCAGCTCAACTCGTAAACGAAGAAACAATTACCTTTTAAGCTTCAAAGTTAAATCAAAAATCAGATTAACAATAGTTAAGTAAATAGAGACAATTTAATCAATGAGAAAATATTTCAATCATTTTTCATGGTTCAATGAAAAAAGTATTTCAAATCTAATAGTTAAATGTGCATTTAAAGAAATGAAAACTTCATTTGAATGACAATTCAAACCTATTTTTATTTCCATTCAAAAGTAAACTCTATTTTGGGTAATTTTTGTCAAAAAAAAATCAAATCAAATAAATGATAAAGTTTGATTATTTTAAATTGTGTAAAATGATTTCATGATTGACTTTCGATTTTTTGTTTACAGAAAGAAAAATTTGTCAAACTTTTGGATCAACTTCACAACTCACTACGAATTGATCTTTCCATGTACAGGGTAAGTTGATTCATGATGGAAATAATAAGTGAAAGTTTCGGGGAAAAAAATTGTTAATATTTTCATTTATTTTCTCACAGAATAATTTTCCAGCCTCAAGTCCAGAGAAACTTCAAGATCTTAAATCAACCGTTGATTTACTAACCAGTATAACCTTTTTCCGAATGAAAGTCCAAGAACTTTCAAGTCCACCTCGAGCCAGTACAGTGGTTAAAGATTGTGCCAAAGCGTGTTTAAGGTCAACTTATCAATTCCTATTCGACAATTGCACCGAACTTTATGCTCGCGAATTTCAGGTTGACCCTAAAAAGGACGATTCCAATGATGAGCCCGGGCCAAGTTTGAAGAACCTTGACTTTTGGCATAAATTAATTGCTTTGATGGTTTCAGTTATTGAAGAAGATCGCAATTCTTATGCTCCAGTTCTTAACCAGTAAGTAATATCAATAACATTTAATCATTATTAATGGTTCAACTTGATTATGATCGTAAATTGAACAGACATGAAAAATTAGCTCCAAATTGTTGACCAACAATGAAATCCATTGGAATTGAGGACTTTTTGTGGAAAATATTTCCAAAGATGATTCCATTTCTTCATTTTCATTCCAATTTTTTATCCATCCTTTATCATCATTAGAATAATAATGATAATAGTTTATCCAATTTTTTAGAAAGTATTATTGTGATGAAGTTGAAAAGAAATGAAATTTTGCTTTTTTTTCGGTTTTGATAAAAAAATGCTTTTTTTCTGGTCAAAAATCAGCCAAAATAATCATCTTAATATTGAACCTTTTTCTCAACTTATAAGTTCGTGAGTTATACGATGAAATAAACATTATCATCTTGGTGCTAACATGATGATAATATGGGAAGAAAATTTCGTCATTTTTACTCTTTTCCATGACCTGAATATATTCAAAATGAAATTGAGTTCTCTCTTGATTCTGTTATTGCAAAGTCAACTTCATCTCTTCAAGAATCCAAAGACCATAAGTCTTTCAACTTCACTCACAATTTTGCTCACAAAATTTACTCTGAATTATGCTCTCAACTTTGTACAGAACTGTCTAATATTTTTATTAACTAAACGTGAGTCCAACTTAATATCTCTGAAAATCTCTTTAGATTGTCATGAACATGTTCATAAGGTTCAGCTTTCTCATTAGATAAATATTTTATTTCAGCAAACATTAAGCAAAATATAATAAGATAAAAAAGAGACAACTTTTATTGAGTTTTATGAAAATTGAGCCTGAAATTTCATTCACTTTCAATGTTCATTTCGACGGTTTTAAAGATAGTCTCAAGCAACTTATTGAATTTTCATTATTAAACAGAATGTAAATTTTGGACAAAAAGGATTCAATTGAGTTATAATGAGTAATCAGTTGAGGTGGTAAATGTTTCTGATTTAATAGCATTCCAAGTGATATTAAATTTCAAAGTTTCCTTTCATTTATTATTTTTTCATTGGATTACATGAAAAGGTCAAATAGGAGCATTACATGATATTCAAATCTAATTTTTCATTTTTTGCCTCGTTCTATTTTACAGATTTCCTCAAGAATTGAATATTGGTCATCTTAGTGCGGCCACAATGTGGAGTTTGTTTGCGTCTGATATGAAATTTGCTCTAGAGGAACACGAACAACATCGATGCTGTCGAAGCTCAGCTTATATGAATTTACATTTTAAGGTTAAATGGTTTTATAATACTTATTGTAAAGATGTACCTCAATTTAAGGGACAAGTTCCAGAATATCCTGCGTAAGAATCCATTTTTTATATCTATTACTTTAACCAAAATTTACTTTTAAGGCAAAAAATGGCGAAAAATGTTATTAAAAACATTTTAAAATTGATGCCAATTTTTGGATTCTAATCTAATGTGGATCTGGATTTGTATCTTATTGTATCTTTTTACCCTTTTGCGCCTTTTTAGCTGGTTTGAACCTTTTGTTATGCAATGGCTCAATGAGAATGATGATGTCTCTCTTGAATATTTACGAAGTGCCTTTGAACGGGACAAAAAGGATGGGGTAAGTTTAATTGTATTTTATTAATTGTGTGAAATGTTAATTTTGTTTTTAGATTAACTTGGCTTTAAGCTGTAGCTTCCAGAGATTGTTTATTAATATCCATGTTTACCAGAAGATTTTCTGGTTATCCTTTCTTCTTACGGTTTAATGGGTTTCAGGTTTTCTGGTTTTTTTATTTTCCAATTTAATTTCTCTTTTAAATTTCATCCAGTGTCTATAAAGATTTAATCAGTTCAAAATTAACTTTAACCTTTATTTTAATGATTCGATGGTATATTACATTATTACCTGTAAAGTTTAAAGTTAAATGCTGTTTGATATTTACCATGTTGACTGTACATTGAATAATGTAATGGCTGCCATATTTTATTTTCAGTTTCTTTTTTTTCTCTTAAATGTATTTTATTAGTTAATTATATATTGACATTTTGCTGCTCATAATATGATTAGTCTACTTACTTTCTAGTTAGGTTATTATGGTCTTTTATCAAGTCGATGCTGCACTTGAATTAATATGAATTAATTCGCACTGATAATCAAATTTCCAATTGTACCTTGATTCAAGGCAACTTTCTCTTCTATTATTGACACTTTACTCTTTTCCTTCCATCATCTTTGTACTCACTTGATTAATTATTGATGAGTTGGTATAAAATTAATTTTCATTCAACTCTATTCATTGTTCATCTTCCTCAATCAGTTTGTGAGTTGCTCTTTTCATCAGATCTAGTCTTATGTTTAGGCCTTAAAACTAATTGAATTTATTAGAAAAGGTTTTGTTAACGTTAATGGTTATTGTCAAGGGATTTCACGGATATACTTTTAATCATTTCACTAGTTGTTACATTTACCAGCATCGCCTAATTTATGCTAATCACCAATCATTTAGCCTTTTGTTTAACCAGACAATTGGCTAATCAAGCCAAGGTTATCCATTTTAATCATAAAACCACCAACAGAAATATGTTTTGAAAGTATATTGTTCTTGATTAAAGTGCTTAATCTACTCGATTTTCACCAGTCAACTTCAGTTCGATTGAATGATTTCTCAATTAACTCTTTTTCATATCGATTGAATTTCATCAACATTTAAATGAGAAAGTCTCACAATTAGGCTAATCGTTTTCAAACACGAACTTTGCTCCTTCTTAAGAATGAAATTAATTCATTTTCAAACTAAAGTCAAATTGAGCAGACAATTAATTATTACCTCAACTCTTTATTGTTGTGCTTAGAGACAGTTTTAATCGAATTGAATTGAAACCAAATGTAAATGCTTCTAATTTTCAATGTATCCAAAAAACTTTAACTGAAGTGAATGATTCTTTTGTGGTTCAATGTTGTTGTGTATGTTTTTAACAATGTTTACTGGTTCCACCGATTGTTTATTTTCCCCATGATATGTTATTTAAATTCATTGTTTCTAATTGAACGTATTTTCTTCTCATTTCCAGTTTCAACAAAGCTCTGAACATTCTCTCTTCTCTAACTCGGTGGTCGATGTTTTCACCCAATTAACTCAATGTTTTGATGTCATCAGTAAACTCGAATGTCCCGATCCTGAGATTGTTAAAAGATATCTTAAACGATTTGCCAAAACAATTGTTAAGGTGTTAACTGCCTATGCTGAGATACTGAAAAAAGAGTTTCCAAATTACGTTAAACAAGAAAAAACGGTAAGTTATTATCATTGGTATTAAAAAAATGGACCAAATTTACTATGTTATTATAACATTTTAACCTCTTCCTTTACACACCCAAACATTTAATTAATTATATGAATATTTCCTTCCCACAGTCATGTATATTGATGAACAATATTCAACAATTAAGGGTTCAATTGGAGAAGATGTTTGAATCAATGGGCGGTGAAAAGGTAAGTTTAATCTTGTCTTTCAGTTAATTTATTTTATTTTACCTCTTCAGGTTGTCAATCTCAAGCTTTGATCTTCCTAATTGTACAATAATTCAATTGTCATAACAAATCAATATATTAGGAATGAAAAAGCAAAATCTAAAATGAGATATCATCATCATCATGCCCATTGAGCTCTGATGAATTTTGACACCAAATCCAGAATTGTTTCTGCCAATTACAGTCAATTGATGTTGATGATATCTTTCAAGTTTGTTCACGATAGCTTGAGATCACAGTGAATGATTTTTGTTCAGGTGGCAACTAAAGGTGAAATAAAGGATATTTCTTCAGGCTATGATGATTTAGATTCATTCTGTTGTTATTGTTTTATTTATTTGTTGATATTGTCGATAATTATTAACACTCGTAATTTAATTATTTATTTATAATCATAGCTGGAAGCTGATGCTGCTAATATCTTGAAGGATCTTCAACAATCATTGAATGGAGTTCTTGACGAGTTAAGTGCTGTATTTGCAAAAAGGTTTGTATTCTAATTAAACAATTTACAGTTAAATAATTCCCTTTAATCGTCGCCTTCTATGAAAAAGCGTGTTTGAAAAGCGAATAAAAAACCCTTTTCATTCAATTATAAGCAAAGAAAGACGCAAATTATTCTCTTTCTTTTTAATTAAACCCTTTTTCAAGAGATGGCGATGGTCTATAACCAATTGCTTTAAGCATAAATTGTCCTTTTGATTCACTGTTTACTTTATGTTGATCGTTATTACCTAATCTAATTTTCAAATTGCCTCTCTTTCAATGTTTGCAGTCTTGAACCAACAATTAAACAAAGTGTCCAAGAATTGAGTGGTCTATTGGCTCAAGTTAAAGGATCCGGATCAGCTCAAAATAAAGCGGCTCTTCGTAACCAACAAGATGTTGCTGCTGAAGCAGATCATATATTGGCGCCATTAATGGATCTTCTTGATGGCAAATTAAGCCTTTTCGCCCAATACTGTGAAAGAACAGTCCTTAAACGTCTTCTTAAAGAACTTTGGAAAATTGTTATCCATACTCTAGAAAAAACAATCGTTCTTCCTCCCGTTTCCGAGAAAAATGTTTTACTTCAAAATCTACCCAATGCCAAGATTGAAGATGTTTCAAGACTTTTCAGGAATCATGTAACTGCCAATAAACTACCTACCTTAAGTGTAATGGAGGTAAGCTAATTTTCATAAAATGATAAAATAGTCCTTTATATGATGAATATTTTGATAACCTTTTTTTATTCAAACTTCAAAATAGCTTCCACTGCAATTTGAAAAGAACCTCACTCCACGACAATGTGCTATTCTCGATGTCGCTTTGGAAACGATTAAACAATATTTCCATGCTGGTGGAAATGGTTTGAAGAAAACTTTCTTAGAGAAAAGTCCTGAACTTCAGTCACTACGATATGCCTTATCATTGTATACTCAAACAACTGATACTCTTCTTAAAACATTTGTTACTAGTCAAACTCAACAAGGTAGCGTAATCGAAACTACTTCAACGCATTTTTTATCGCAGAAATCATTAGTATAATTTTAATTTATTCTTGTTTTCTTTTTCTTGTCCACAATCAGATCTACCTACTCGAGAGGAAGGACCCGTCGGGGATATACAATTACAAGTCGATCTATTTACTCATCCAGGAACGGGAGAGCACAAAGTCACTGTGAAAAGTATGTCTAATTAGATTTTTTATTTCAAATAGTGTGTAATAATTAATTCTGTAAATTCTAATGATTTTATTTCTGTTTTCTTATTTTCAGTTTTGGCATGCAATGAACTTCGTTGGCCTAATCCAAGTGGATTCAAACCTTTTGTTGAAGTAAATCTGATTGGACCTCATCTTGGCGATAAGAAGCGAAAATTTGCCACCAAGACTAAGAGCAATACTCTCAGCCCTAAATTTAACGAAACATTCACATTGTAAGTCAATTTATGTCTTTTTGTTTAACATAATCAGATTTGAAACTTGAATTAACAGAGACACGGAAAAAGAGAAGGAAGATAAAAGTGAAATTAACGGTGTAAAAAGACTTGAGGCGATTAGAAGCTTTCATCAAGCGATGAATAATGTATTCAAGTAATTGTTCAACTTCCATATAATGATAAAAGTGCATTGATCCTGAAAAAGTATGCTCTCCTATCATTATTACAGTAATTACGAGTTGCATTTCAGCAAGATACTGCAATAGTAATGAAATTTAAAGTTTATAATCTCATAAACCATGATATTGTTTAGTTTTAATCTATTTATTTCTATAAATCATTATAACTTGAAACTTGATATTTTCAATACACTTTAAATGTGTGTAAGAAAATGCCGTTTAAACTAGTTTCAGTTATTCAAATATGACTTGTTTTGCAATTAATCTCATTTGAAAAAATATTAATTTTATGTTTAATTAATCTTTTGTCTCTTTTTTACTTCATTTAGCATGATTGGAAATGAAGATGAGCCTTTATCATTTGAACTTCATGTTGCCGTAAAGGATTATTGTTTTGCTCGAGAAGATCGACTTGTTGGTGTGGCAATCATGCAATTAGCTGATATTGTTGAACAAGGAAGCTGCAATTGTTGGTTACCTTTGGGCCGACGTGTTCAAATGGATGAAACTGGCTGGACAATACTTCGTATTTTATCTCAACGAACCAATGATGAAGTTGCAAAGGAGTTTGTTAAATTAAAATCTGATGTTCGTAATGATTCGTCCATTCAACAGCAATAAGATTAACTTCAAGATCACAGAGAATCCAGTCGGCTTTAATCATTTAATAAAGGATTTAATGATTATTACTTTTCAAAAGACAGAGATTAGGAAAAGAAAAGTAAAACAGTTTGACAATTTGCACTAACATCAATTTTTTTATATTATTCAATTTCAAAGAAGCTTTTGAGTTTTCTATTTAGGAATCTATCAATTTTACTTTTGATTGTCTTATTTTTTCTCTTCGCTTTCCATTTCAAGTTTCTTGAACGAACAGCAATTAGGAAAATTTTTATTGTTAAGAGTATAAGCTTAAACAAAAAATATCATTCCAAGTGATAAATTTTTATCATCTCGATTTGAATTGCCTTAGTTTTTCATCACTCTTATATCTTCTATTACAATTATTATTTATACCTTGTGTTGTTGTTGTTGTTTTGCTTTTTGAATGACACAAAACCACAAACCACATTTTTTGCGAATAGCTGATTCAAAGAATCAATCCTTTTTGATTTGTCTCTTGATCATGAAAAATCAAGATTGTGACTCTCACAAGTTCTGGTTTAACCAGAATCTGCAAAAAACAAATACACAAAACAAAGCAATAAAAGATCAACTGGAAATGAAGAGCAAAAAGATTCATCAAAAGCCGTTTTTTTAAATCAGCACATTGATTAACTTTACACACTACAATAGTAACTTTAAAAAATACTAAACAAACTGAGAAGCAACAAAGCAAAACTTACAACGGACCAAAGCATTTGACTTTTTTAATTATAAATTATCCTCGTTTCTTTTGTTATTATCATTGTTTATTATTAAAATTGTATTATGTATGTATGATTACTAATGATTTTGTCATCAATTATCACATGAAACAAGCAAACTGTCCAAAGCCTAATAAGATTGTCGCTTTTGTTCGATCAACTTTTATTTTTGTATTATCATGAGTAATTATTGACAATTAATTGAGACGAATAAAACAACTTGCTCTTGACTGTTTATAAAACAATTTGAATCATTTTTTCATTTCTATTCATACAATGACATTAATAAAACAAGTAATACTGTGAAACTTATTGTGGTCACTATTTACTGTTAAGTTCAAGATCAATTAAAAGATACAATTTAAATTGTCAATTGTCATTTGATTGAAAATTAATGAGGCTGATACGGAAATAAACATTGAATTTTATGGTTAACATAATCATGAAATCAATGGATCAGTTGATTCTAGTGAATAAATGAATTTAAACTTGGCGTGATTACAGTTAAAGCAATGTGATTGTCCTATGTGACTGACGAGGGAACCCAATCAAGAGATAGCATCGTTTCTGGTTCCATTATCATCATCTTCTGTCTCTTTCTTTTTCTTTCTTTCTTTCCTTCCGCTCAGTTGTGAGTCTTGACCATGATGGGAATACAATCTGAAACAACTCTCATTTACTTTTCCATCTTACTCAAGGCTGCTTGTTTTTTGAAGATGATAACCATCATCGAAATTGACTTTCTGTTAACATCTCAAATGATAATACACCTTAGGCAAGTCAAGTAATTGTATTTTCTTATTTTCATCAATTTTTTTTCTTGTGCTTTGCCTGCCATTCACAGTCAAGTTTGAAGCTAAAGACACTTTCTTGAGCTCACTTTGAAATAACAGCTAACAGTATGTCAATCAAATTGAACAACAGTGTTGAGCCAAATTTACCATTTCAAAGTTTTTCATCGCTCGCTGTTTCAGCTTGCCAAGTCAACCTAAAGGTAGACGCTGGTGAATCCATATTGTCAAATGTTAATTTAACTATTCCCCAATCAACCATTTATGGTTTACTTGGACCAAGTGGATGTGGAAAGACAACATTACTTCGGTGCATTTTGGGTTACATTAAGCCAACTTCGGGTTCAATCTCTCTTTTTGGTTATCCAGTGTCCAAGAGTACTTCAATCATTTCTATTCCAGGCTCAAATGTTGGTTATATGCCACAGGAAGATGCTCTGTATGATTTTATGACCATCGAGCAATTGTTTCGTTATTTTGCTCGAATCTATCAAATGAACTCCAAGGATCTAAACTCGCGGGTAAGTGAGTTGATTGAAATACTTGAATTACCTTCGGGTAATCGTTTGATTTCCCAACTGTCGGGAGGACAAAGGCGTCGAGTCTCCTTTGGATGTGCTTTGATTCATTCACCACCTTTAATGATACTCGATGAACCCACTTCTGGTGTTGATCCAGTTTTAAGGGAAAAAATATGGAAACATTTACAATTTATATCTTCCACTCAAGGAACCACAATTATAATTACGACCCACTACATAGAAGAGGCTAGACGCTCAAATAACGTTGGTTTTATGAGGAAAGGTACGATTATGCTGCAAGACAATCCAAACAAATTAATGACCACAATGAAAGTCAACAATTTAGAAGAAGTATTCTTACTAATTTGCCGAAAACCGCAGCAATATTGTGTACAAAGTAAATCAGATGATAATTGTAACTCGAAATCTTTAGATGAAATCAACGTCAATAACCAACCGTCGTGTTCATCGTTGCCATCAACTTCAACAGTCCCATCTCTACATGAGCAGGGCAGATGTTCACCAATGAAAAAAGCGATCATTTCAATTAAAAACTGGTTAACAGTGTTTTTAGCTTTATTGATACGATACATAAATCACGATGCTTTTGACTCTTTCACCCTTGGATTCCAATATTTCATCCCTTTATCGCAAATTTGTTTACTTTGTTTTTGCGTGGGTAAACAGCCAAATCACATTCCAATGGCTGTGGTTAACAGAGACAATTGGTCAAATAGTTTATCAACAATGTTTGTTTCAAAATTGAATGAAACTTTGCTCAGTGTTAAATATTACGATGATTTTGAAGAGGCTTTTGATTCAGTTGGTTCCCTTGAAAATTGGGGTTTACTCAATTTTCCGGTCAACTTTTCTCAAGCTTTGACTGATCGTTTCTCCTCAATGGAAGTGGACAGTGAAGATGTATTCAAGCGATCGACCATCCAACTTCACGGAGACTTGACAGATTCAATTGTGAGTGAATCATTGATTCGACGCTTACGGAAATCGATGGCTATTCTCATTCAATTAATGGTTTCCACGACATTACCAGAAAAGAGTAACCTCGTCTATTCATCTTTCATAGCCAATTCACCCATTCAAGTGAAAGATGTTTCCCTTTCAAATCCAGTGAACTTTGAAGAGCGCTATGAAAGAGCTGAACTTGCCGGTCACCTTGATTTCATTGCACCCGGAATGATAATCAGCATCACATTTGCTGTTTCCTATGCAACAGTTGCCTTCAGTTTAATCACTGAGCGAACAACGCAAACCTTTGAACGCAACTTGGTTGCCGGAGTAACTCCAACTCAACTGTTATTTGCTTTATCCTTGAGTCGGACTCTCTTCATGATTCCATACTTTTTCTTGATCACCTTTCTTCCAATCAGTCTCTTTCATTTACCCACCAATTTACGATCCGTACTTCACTCAGTTCCTCTTCTCATGTCAATGAACATATCTGGTATCACTTATGGAATGCTTTTATCAGTCATCTGTGATCGCCTTGAGAGCTGTGTCATGATTGCAGCAGCCACACTATTCATTATCTTTTCAATTTCATCAATCATCTGGCCTTTCCAATCGATACCGGGTTACTTTCAATGGGTTTCAATGGCCATTCCAACAACCTCGGCTGCCTCTACAATTAGAAAGATATTTTACAACAATTTAATGTTCAACGATTTTGATGCTCTTCAGACTTACCTAATTGTTACTATTTGGGCAATTATATTTTCCCTAATTGGATCAAGATACTTTAGAGTAAAGTAATTGCTCGTTCAACCGTTAAAGCTATTTAAATCTGCTTGGCCCAAAGAAACTGTCACTTGATTCCTGTAATTGGCAAAAGTTTCAATTCACTTGCTGTCTATTTGTGCAATCAAGATGATCATGATTCCGGTTTTGAAAATTTGTTTATCAAACCTGACCTTTTTCAAGTTTTACTTTCTAAATGTTTTGCTAAATCAATAATCAAGCTAATAGTAGGTTATTTTGCCTAATATTTGACTTGGTTTTGAAACAAAAATTTCCAGCAACTAGTCAATGTTAATTGTACCTTGAATCAACTTTCTGAATCCATCCTTGAAAAAATTCCATTGTCTTCTTTAAAGCTTTTTTCGTGTGAACACATCCAGTGTACAATCAGCCTTGACACTAAAATGATTTTTTTTAATTTAACATCGAATGTGTAAATAAAATCTTTGATATTCACTTCTTCAATAAACTATCAAGTCAATCATCATTCGGAATTAGAAACTTAATGCAACAATAAATTGTCATATCACAATAGCATGGAATACATTGATACCGGATTAAAGTCACTTCGGTCATTTGCAAGCTTATAATTTGGTTCTAAGAAGCTTATGCTGATTTCAAGATGAACAAAATTCTACTTGTAATAATTAGTGAAACGATTAAAAATGAATCAACACAAATCCATGAGTTTTCAATTGAACTTTCTTGTGTTTTGACGCTCATTAAATTGCTTTATAATGATTGCTCGAGCTTAATTAGACAGATTGATTAAGGAAAAGTGTGATTTAAACCTAAAAACCTTAAAACAATGAAAATCTTTATATCTTCAGATTTTGTGTGTCCAGTTACAAGTGAAACTGAAAGCAATTATTACACAAAGTTTCAAGCTACTATAAATCTTATTTCAAGCTATTCGATAGAATCGTCAATCGATCGAAATACGAAAATTATTTAAAAGATTTTCATCATTTGATTCTCTTTTTCTTTTCTTTCAAATTGACAAAATTGGCCAAAATAAGCGAAAATGATTGTGAGAAAATAATGATTATTTTCAACAATAAAAGTGTTTCAATTTATTTTCAAATATTAAAGCATTAAGATGGTCAATAGTTCTTGGGATTTCAGAATCAAAATGGTCAACAGATTGAAATATACATTAGAAAAATATTCACACAACTCTTTTTAACTTTTCTCTATCGATTGGGATAAATTAGATTCGTTTTTAATGAAGTCACGTAAAAATTAACCAACGAAAGTCAATTGTCTAATGGTCCCGTGGTGATCTTATGAGCAGAAGAAGGTATTGAAGTGAAATCTGGTTCAATGATTTACTCTAGTCCAAAGCCTTCAGCGTTTGATATCGCGATCACCAATTTTTCTCTGATCGTACTTTTGTCTTTATATCGGGGTAAAACTAATTGATTGAAGCAAGTATGGCTTGTTGGTAACCTGTAACGACAACAATTTACATTATTGAAAGTCCATTAACAGCTAATGGGTTTCCACGAGCATCAAGTAAATCAAAATTCGTCTGCAATTTGAATTTAAACTCTAAATGGTTCCTGGTTACTTACATATCAGTATTATAATCAGTGGCCGATATTTTGAAAATCATCTCAGACATTCCACCAACAGGAACACGATCACTTCCAGATACGAAGCGAAGAAATTGACGTTGAAGTTCCAAACTGAATGATTTAATGATACTCCAAAATTCTCTGTTGAGTTAAAATAATGGAATACATTTAATTTATTCTTACTTTGATCACGAAATCTTGAGATTTACTTGATAATTGGTTCGTCCTCATGAAATCCATCATAAATTGTAACTTTTCTCAATTCGTCCATATCAATAGTCGGTGAGCCACAAACTAAAACTTCAACTTCTTCTGGTCTCAAAAGCTGGTAAAAGCATCAACAAAATAACAAATTAAAACCAAAGGGAAAGGAGCGATTAGGATCTCATTTCAAAACAAAAAAATTTACCAGTATTGTGTTGGATGTACAAACACTGTGGAAACCCAGGTAAAAGGCTTCAAAGGGTTGGTAGATCGCTTTGTTTAAAATTAAGTCCATATATAATTGTACATATTCTGGGTAAAAGAAGATATAAATCAACAATTAGGTTTTCTTTCATCTCATTTTTGACCATTTCGATTACCTTCTCTATTTCGATTAGTTACGGGTATATCTTCACCTCCGGGTTTAAGTACATGAGTTTGAACTTGTCCGAACTCTTCAACTGAAACCTGAACAATTGGTCAAATCAATGTAAACTGTAAACAAAAAAGATGAATGCGTGAATTTACTAACCTGAAACGTCATGCAAAAATCCTCTTCAACGTTTCCTTCGTAAGCCAACAACTCTTTCAAACCAACAGCAACATCCTGAATGAATAAAGTATTTCAACAGACAATTCAAAGGAAATCATTATTGAAACAAGAGAAAACAATTCTCCAATTTTTGTACTTTCAACTCACGGGCATAACCTCTGCGAAATGGTCCAATGTAAATTTACAAACACCAACTTTGTTTTTACAGACATCTTTGGGTGCCACCGGAGGATTTAGAAGCTTTTTGTAACAAGCTTGAGGAAAATGCAGATCAAGTATTATGCTATTGTAAACACCTAAGCCCATCAACTGAAGAAAAGCAATTAAAATGATTGAAATTGAAATACAGTCAATTTGGATACAGACTAAGGTGAAATTGATACAATTATCAGACTTACCACACCAATTAGATTGTATTCCTTGAGATTTCCATTAGAAGCTGTACTAAACCAATAACATCGAGCTTTACTGTGGTAGACAAACATTCCTAAAGGTTTACAATTAAATGATTATATTGAATTGATCTTTAACCAGCAATTAGTTAACTTGCCATAATCTTCGGAAAATATCTGCCTGATCAAGAGAAGGAACCATTCTTTGGTTAGTCCACCCATATCGAGACCCGGTTCACCAACAAATGTTACTTTCAATTTCTTTTTCAGATCTATTTGTTTTCGGGCGATCTGTTTAAAATAGATTTGTATTGATACATGAAGTGGTTAATTGTTGCAATTATTGAGACACAATAAGCATCTTTCAAACAAACCTCATGAAGAGAATCAGAAACCAAACTTGACCGTCTTATGTTTAAATTAAGGAAAAATACATCCATGTCTGGTGCTTGTTGATATATTGCTCGATTCAGCAAGCTTTTCTGTTTAAATCGCAAATCGATCAAAAGTTGATGAGAAAAATTGATTGCAAATGTAATTAAACTAACCCTTGCATTGATAATCATCTGTTGCTCTGAGTCTCGCTGGAGGATCGTCTTTTTAGCAACAATGCTCAACAGGAATGGATATTGGCAATAAGAGAACCTAAATTGTTTTAAAATGATCAACACATTGATTATCCCTGATTTTAGTTTATTTTCTTAATGTTAACTCATACTTATTGTGTTTTGATGGATTTTGCCAGCGATTGAATTCGGACATTAAATTAATGTGATCAAGTGCACTGTTGTAAAACTCTGTGTATGGTATCAAGTTTGGAGTTACTTTGTTATTTGCTGAATCTGTTGATCGTAAAGAAGCAATTCCAGTGTTAGAGTTAAATGGATGATTTGATGATGAATCCTTCTTAACCGTGATTGTCAATACTTACTGAGTAAGTCAAGAAACCTTGCTGCACACGGGATCCACCAACGACATTTACCTGGAGCTGGAAGCCCTTGACCATTGCTTGGTGGAAACTCTCTTATTGTTATAAATTGAAGAACACGTTTAACAAGCTTTCGCAACTTCTCTGGTTCCGATCTGAACAAATAGATGATTACATGATGCCAATTAGCCATTTACCAATAAAGATGAGCAATCGCTTCCCTCAACAATTGACTCTTCTTACCTTGAAAACCAATGAACAAGAAGCTGATGATCACCGCCTTGAAGGTTCACAGTTTTCTTAAGCAGATGAGCAAAGACTGGATAAGAAAACTGGAATGAAAAGGTTGGAAGCTACAAGATAGATGGTTAAGTATCAGTTATGGTCAATCAACCACAATTGGTGGTAAAGCAAAGTCCATTGTTACCTGAACTATCATGTAAATTGCCCGGGTTTCATCTTTAGGCTTCAACCTAAAGTAAGAATAAAGTCAAAATTATTAGAAAAGATTGAAAATTTTTTGCTCATAATCAGCAAGAAAATGGATCGTGTTCAATTCAGTATTGATCGCCAAATTTTACATTGAAATGGCAGAGCAACAATTAATTTTCACTTTTTGTTACCTTCATTGTCATTGTAATCAATATTTCTTCGATTAGAAAACTATCAACAAAAATGATTCACTAATCAATTATATAAACGTGATCATCAATGTAAAAGCAATATTCTGAATTGCTCTTCCTCCATTAGGTAATGTTAAGAAGAGGCAATAATTCGATGAAGGATTTACTTGCATAAGAACAATGACAATTCAAATTGAATCATGAGATCAATTCTGAATAGAAAAGAAACTTATGGAATAAAAATTATTCCATTCTACCTGTAACAAGGAAACCTTGAATAATATTTCTTTTCTTGTAAATTTTCTCAATTCAATTAATCTATTGTAAAAGCGAATACAGAAAGGCCAGAAGTTGACTCAATTTGTTTTCTCATTTCAATGGTAACATTTGCTTTTCAAGATTCACAATTATCTAATTTGACCATTTATTTGAATACAAACCTTTGATAATTGTTGATTGAATTGACAACACCTTTAAGTACGGACTTAACAATGAATGAAGGCTAACAAATAAAGAAACATGAAATAAGATGGAAGAAGAAAATGATGATTTCGAATTGAATGTTCTTACCAAATTGTCTAATTCATCAAACATAGCGTAAACCAGATTCATCTGTAACTCGGGATCATGCAATTTAACTTCTTCATCAGACTGACTTTTCTTGAATAAAGCATTAATTTCAACGAAAGATGAGAAACTCGTTTTATAAAGATCATGTAACTTGGTATAATCTCCTTCTTCATGTGCTTCATGAACCAATGATCTTCGAATTATCCAACGAACGGAACAAAAAGTAGAATAAATTTGAAAAAAAGATTGAATTTCAAATGAGAGTTGAAGGAAAATAAATGAATAAAAATTAGGCTTAAACGTCGAGTTAAAGATAAAGGAAAAAATTGGAGCGAGAATTTACCTAAATTGGTCTAAATTAAGGTATCGCTTAGGATAATCTGGACTCGGGTACATTGATGAATATTCTCGAGGTAGATCAGAGTAAGATTTATTGTCATCAACTGATTCCGAGTCATTAATTGATTTGACAGTCGATGATGAGATGGAAGAGCCCCGATGACGGTGAAGATGATCAAAGGTAGAAGGTGATTCTGGATGGATAAATGAACGTCTCATAGCTGAATGATCATCAACAATTGTTGCTCTTGTTATTGGTGGTAGATGAAGATAGATGTTTGATTCAGATTCAGGAGATCTCACTAAAAGACTGGCAAGATAAGAATGAATTAATCCAATTGAATCCGTCAAGAAAGGACCAAATCCATTAAAGCGAAACAAATTTGGTCTCTAAATATAGAGAAAGATAAAAGCTGAATGAAATAAGCTGCGAATCGATGAAATGCAAATAACTTGGACTAAAAGATTTAACAGAAAGGTTTGCCATCAGGTATTACAATAATGGGAAAACACAATATCAATACTAAATCTTGTTAACTTACAATTCTCGGTAATCTAAGATTGTCATTTGATTCAAGACCTTCGTCAATCTGTAAGCTTCTTGACCGCATATTGTAATCATTTTCAGCATTTTCACTATAAAAAGCACCACAAAAGGGACACATTGCTCTGGGTCGCTCCGATTCCAGGCTTATCCTACATGAACGGCAGATCAATGTTTCTCGAGGTGAAGATGGGTGCGGTAAATGGTGAGTAGACATTAGATGGTTATTGTGATCATCCATTGGTCCACAAATTGATTGTACAATTATTTAATGAAATGTTACTCAAAACAACAACACTAATAGATGAGTGCAAACAGCTTAGATTCAGGGCAATTCATCAAATGAAAGTATATGTCAGACTCTGACATTTACTTATTTCATTTTTACTTGTTTGCTTTAATGCTGACAAATATCAATTGGTTGATACAACAGATTGTTGTTGGTTACCAATGTTAAATTGTTTGCCAACAATCGATTGATTTAATATACATTGTCAAGGTCCAAAATTTTATGAGTTTACTGGCTCCTGTTGAGTTGACTGTTGTCTTCACTTGTAAAACATTGTGATTTTGTTGTCTTTTTGTCTCTAATTATTACATATTGATTTAACCATGTTGATTTATTTATAACTGAGTTATAGCTAATAATTATAGCTTTTAGTATTCAGCTGATTTTAAACATTATTCTCAATATTTGCAAATGTTGTTATTGAAAATTGTATTTCTAAAATTGTGATAAAATCTTTGCTTTTTTTATTCTTTTATCATTTCGATGATTTTGTTGCACGTTTACATGATAGTCAAATACTGATTGTTTGTGCTCTTATTTGTAGTCTGTCAACAAAATCAATCACTGTAAGATTAATGATCCAACAAATTCATTTGAAATATCTAGAAATGGAGTTGAATCTGCTTCAGTTGTTGTCCTGTTTTAGCTGATTGAATAGAGCTCTTGACCATTCCTAATTTCATTCCCATGAAGAGGACATTTAATTGATTGCTGAGAAATTAGTTCTAAATAAAAGTGCAAAGAAACTTGCAGTAAGCAATCAGGTAGCCACAAATGTTCAGTAATCAAGGTTGAATTTGAGTTTTAAAGAAGATTTATTTGATAGATTACCTTAAATAATGAATAGATTAATAAAATTCGTAGATTTAATGTTAATTTTTAAAGATTGAAGTATAAAATAAATGGGAATAGATCTAAAAATAACTGCGACTTTTATGCAGTAACTTTCATTGGACTGAAATCAATAATTGAGTTGCGAGTTGTTTTCATCAGATGGCATTCAAATTGATTCTTGTCAATCAAACTTCATTTTAAATTCAATTTTTAATTAATTGTAGCTTACAAATTATTTGATAAATATTGATCCACTAAATGTTCTGTAAACCTTTTACTTAATGGTTTCAGACGTTTGTTGAACTTTTTATGCATGGATTTTATGCTCAATATTGAAATAACAAGCCCTTATGTATTTAATTGTTTATACTTTGTATATTGATGAGTAAATTGAATGGACGTTCAAATTTTAGTAAATATCAATTTATTAGCTTTGAACAATTACAGATGAATTCAAATAATAAGTAGGGGAATGCTTGAAAAAATACATAAATGCGCAAAAAGGGATTTGATAACATACTAATTGTACAATCGGAAATACTCTAAAGAGATGATCAAATAAAGCACAAAATTTGAAAGTGTTTGTTATTGTTTAAATTTTAGTGTCAACTGCATTCAAAGCAGATAGATTATAAAGTTGATTCAACAGATTTAATTCGAGACATAATCGATATGATATTTGGATCTCTCAACGATTATTCCAATTGAAAGTCACCTTAAAATAAATCACATCATTTTCCCCTTTATTATGTTTCATCCCTTCTTATAATGGATCGTCACGTATTTTTATTTCCGACCAGGTATATTGTGCAAATTAACGATATAGATTTGTGAAACTTTTGCTCCAGCAAATTCTGTGAACATTGATTTAATACCGACTTCATCAGCACTTCGTTTGAAAACTGAAAAAGAAATATTTAATTTGAGATTATAAATTGAAACACAATTTTGGAAAGTCTAAATTATATCTACACTTACCAGGTGAAAGGACTTTCTTTAAACGATAAGTAGGTAAATTGCCACATTCTCTTGCTATATAAAGACCGAGACTACGAAAATCTGTTATAGCTGGAGTCTCGACATGGTAAGTTTCACGAACAATTTCAGTGTCAACTTCATAAAAGCCTGACCTTAATTTGAGCACCAAATCTGCAAGATTTTGAGGTGGATAAACCATGCTTCTGTTCAAAGGAATAATGAAACATCTATCTTCCTCCAAATCAACAATGCCAGTAATATTCTGAAAGAGGAAAAAATAAATATTAATTTGCAATGAGGAAAATGTCAAACAAAAGCAAAACAATTGATTACCATTGAAAAGTCATGAATATATCGACCACGCCGGCCATCTGAAAAATCTGGAACCTCGATTCGCTCATATTGTTCTGTTTCAGTGTCAATATCAAATTCTTGGTCAAAAAATTTTTCAAATGCTGGTTTGAAAATTTTTTCATTCAACATGGATTGAGCTTGTTCAAGTGAAGATACCAAAGCATTATCTTGACTCTCCATTTCACCAGAACTTCCAAGAGCCGAATTTTGTGGCAAATGTATGATTGCTTGTGGCTCTGAGTAAGGTACACTGCACCACCCACGGAAATGACGAAGCTAGTATAAAAATATGAGAGGAAAAATTTATTAATACGATTGAATATCAGAAATATATAATGAAAATAATCTAAATTGTAAGACTTGCAAGCTTCAATTTCGTTACAAAACAAAAACAAAAAGATCATTCTCTCTATTAGATACATTTTCAATATTTTAATTTTAACAAAAATAAGAAAATAAAAAGATGTAGATGTTTCAGATTTTTAATGGAAAATTATGCAAGTTTCTCATGAATTGAGCCAGGTTAGATTAATGAGAAACACTTTGCTTCGTAGGTAAATAATAAACCACTTAAATTGATATGACAACTACATAGATTCATAGATCTTAAATCACAAGTCCTTTTAATTGAAGTGAAAATAGGTCGTAAATCTAATGCAAACATTGGTTACTTGAACCTAAAGAAATGACTTACCCTATGTTGAGTAAATTGTTGATAAAGGTAAACACCACCGATAATACCAGTTGTAAAGACAAGGAAAGCTGTGAGAAATACGCATATTGTAGTTAATGAGCTGATACGTCGAACTCGAGATCTTTTCCAGGTCACTAGTAAGGGTTGATTGTTAATTTCAATGTCATCATTAACATTTGGCTGATGATGTTCTGCAACCAATGGGTCTTTTAATTCCGGATTTTTGGTAACATTATGGGTGATTATAGTCATCTTGTAAAAGGGAAACGATGTTTATATTTCAACTTAGGATGAAATATAAATGAAAGTAATTTGAATTACTTCACTAGATAATTGTTTAGAGTTTTGTCACTGTTTGAAATAAGTTTCGGTCAAATCAAAACAACTGCGGAGTGTTATTAAATGTAAATTAAATTAAAAATTTGTTGCAGGGATCGATACAAAATTTAGGGCAATAAGCAATAAACAAAATTTCTAAAGAAGATAATTCTTCACACATGCCCATTACTAGGGATCCCCTGCAGCCCGCCACCTTTGAAAACATTGCAAATACAAAGAAAAGACGATCTAACATTGTAAGAAGATTCAGCTTGGCTGGAAAAAATGATCTGAAAAGGAGGTTTACGGAAATATTGTTCAGAATTAAGTTGAAGCTTATAAAAAGGGATAAATATTTCAGGTATGACATTTTTAGTGGTTCATTTGTGCAAAATTAAGGATAAACAATAAGAGTTATAAGCCCAGTAACGAATAGAAAAGTAAAATAATTCAATAGAAATAACTTTAAGTTACATTGCTACAGATTTGGTTTGGTGAGATATTTTAAAAAATAACGATTCGTATGTTCAGCCAATTTAACTTTTTTATTTTACTTTTAAAATCCTTGATATTGATAAGTCTAGCAAATCGTCAAACAAAATACAATCTGTTAATTGGAGCTCTGCAGTGTTATTGTGGTCCATCCGTGTTTGAATAAAATATGCATCATATGAGTATCCAATCTAATGCCCTATGTTGAGCAAAATTCAAAAATTCAGTAAAATTTTTTGTTCAATTTAGTTCAAACAATCAGTTCTCTGGTTTAAATTAATTACATTATGTCTTTCTCTTGAAAAAAAACAGAGTACTATCAATTTTACTCAATAGGTGGCAACAAAATCAGTTGTCTCATATGATTTTTGGAAATATTGTCTATTTGAGTTGGACTAATTGTTTGTTTCAATAAAATGACTGCTAATCATTGGGAAGGTAATTAAGATTGTTTTTAATTATTATTATTGATTATTAAGATTTGTATTTTCACGTTTCTTTCTCATTTTACAGAGCTTCGCCGGGAGGCACGTCTTTTGGAAAACGAGATTGATTCAAAGCTTCTGGCTTTCTCTAAATTTGCTTCCAGAGATTCATCTAATAGCAACAGTGAAAGTGTCCCTTTATTGGAAGATAATAACGATGTTTTTGATAGGATTACAAGTGAAATTGAAAGATTATTGGCTAAATTAACCGATATTAACAACAAAATGTCAGATTATACAAAGCAAGTTCAAAATTCAAGTGCAATTTATACTGTACAACGTCATCGGGAAATTTTGAATGATTATTCAAATGAATTTAGAAAAACAAGGAGTAATATGATGGAAGTTATGCATCGTGAACAATTATTATCTAGTAATAAACGTAAACCTGATTATCCTTCAATGTCTTCCACTACTAAATTGACAGATCTATATTTAAAGGAACAAGAACATATAAGAAAGTAAGTCTTTCTCTTGTACTATTAAAAAACTAACAACTCATTACCATTATATTACATTTCAGCTCTGAAATAATGATTGAAGAACAGATAAATATTGCTTCCCGAACAAGAGAGAATCTTCTTAATCAAAGGAATACTTTCAAAGCTTTCCAAACACAGATGACAACCTTAGCTAGTAAGTTTGATTTCAATATTATCAATAGTACATGTATTTATTAAATTTGAAACAATTATTAAAATATTTTTACTTTACAGATCGATTCCCTATGATCAATAGTTTGATTCATCGTATAAACATTCGCAAAAGGAAGGATACAATTATTTTAAGTGGTGTTATTGCTGTTTGTACTTTCTTTCTTCTTATCTTCATATTCTAATAATCAACATTGCACTTGAAGATTACCCTATTGTTACCAAATTCACATGGATCTAATTCACCAAACAGTATAACAAGAAAAAATGGCTTAAATGACTGGATCTTCTGAATATTTTGTACAGATTTTGTTTGTTTTAATTATAAAAAGTAGCCAAAAAATAAATGTCAATTCTTGAATATCTTCGATGAATGAAGTAAAATTATTCATAAAATGAAATTTGATTTTAAAAGTTATTATAAAAATCCTTTCATATTCCATGTTACATTCATTCGTCAAGAACGTCGATTTAAAAATCCATGATAATCCACCAAGAGCTCGCTCGAAACATTTCCTTTTGGTTTATTAATTTGGACATGTTTTAATTTTCCCACACAGATTACACTTCCATTGCTTAGTGACAACTGAATCACAAAACTGATTTGATCAATGGTCTTGCCTTCTTATTTTCATCATGGGTTTCAATGGGCACATCTTTTTTAGGCGATGAACAATTGCAAGTGCAGCTGCAATTAAAACTGCTTATATTATTATTTTCATTTTGGTTTTGATCGTTCTGAGATTGTACAACATCAACATTTTTCGTCGTTTTCATGTTCAACTTCTCAATATTAGTTGCCACCGTTTTATTTGGTTTAATTGCAAAGGGACCGTCTCGATCACTTGACACTTTGATGTGGTTAAATATCACTTGAGCTCTTTTCCTTGCATTTAATTGGAGACTTGGTTTGACACTAGATGAAATTGAAGTTGGTGACAGTTGTGCTGATTGTTGTGAGGGTTGATGAGATTCTGTTGGATTTGCCATTTAGTCGGTTAACTGTTGAAAGTAAATTGTTCAGAATTATGTTCAAAGATTTTGGTGAATCCAAGGTCAACTTATAAGTAATAATTTATCCAAAGTAAACAGATTGTTCACATTAAGTTGTCACTTTTGTTACTTGTTGTACACTGACACTAATCAAGCTTTGATCAACTGCAGCACATTAAATTACATCAAATGAAAGAAGAAAAAAGATATGGTTTTTCTTCAACTAACCTTTCCTTTTTTTGTTAATTTGAAACAAGTTAATCAAAAAACAAAAAACCCTTTTCACGTTCATAACCGCTCATACGAAACCGATTAATGTGTTGATACTTTTTTGAAGTCTAACAATTTTCCAGATTAAGGATAATGATTAAACATTGCAAGATTATCTGATTGTTTTGGTTGTGACATTCATTTAATGCTTCAATAATACTATTTAACTCAATATTTCGAGCAAAATTACAATAATAGAGCGTTAACAAAATCACATAATCGTACTAAACGTTTGTTATTGAAGAAACGATAAAAAACAAAGATGTAGGATATTGTTCGTTTGTTTACTCTTATTGATATTTCAAGATTCAAGTTTCGACAAAAAGATCATCATGATTAAAGAACAATTTATAATATAAAAGATACATGAGTTTTCTCAAAACCAAACTTGATTATCTGAATGGTTCTTAAACACTCATATCTTTTTGACAGCATTAGTTATCAACTTGTAACAAACATCAACTATTAATAACATGAAAAAGTTGGTGGTTCCAGGAAATGACAAAATTCGTAGGATGCAAAAACATCTGGTACTTTTAAACAAGTTTATTAAGATGATGGATTGATGAGTTAGATTACAAGGAAAAATTCAAATAAAAATGAAGAAACTTGTTCGATCAAAGAGAAAACTAAAGATTAACCAAAATCTTTCAGTCGGTGGTATTTTTGTGTTTTGATTCCTTAATCACGTACGAGTAACGTTCAGACTTAGAATTTATTAAGTCCATGTTTTAAGATGATTTGATCTTCTTGACCATCTTGGTTTCTTGTCTTTCTTTCTTTCTTTCAAAATATTCATTATGATGGTCATGGGAGCTTTTGTAAAGCCATTCGATTTTATTAGCTGTTCGTTTTTCATTGAGAAAAGTTTCCACCAATTGATCATCCATTGCCAAAGTCTCCATTATCTTAAAGTCGATTTTCAATATTTCTAATTTTTCATTGACTATTTTAAACTCCTGACATGAAACAAAATTATTCTTGTCGTCAATAAAACACACGAGTTGGTTATTGAAAGTATAAGAGTAAAGAATGTTATGTTTAACGTCAGTGGAAGTTATTTTTTCCAGACAATTTGATTTGGTATCAAACTTGTAAGTCACAAAAATGGAGGAATTGTAAAAGGTCACAGTGACGATGATTTGGTCGTTAATTGAAGATGAGTGAATAGCCAAAGGAGCCACTTTTTCATCTTTTGCACTAATATCATTTGCGAAACTATAAGCACTCAATTCTTTACCCTGAGTGAATTGCCATACACGAAGTGTACCGTCACCACTTCCCGATATCAGCAGTTGCTCGTTAATAAATGCAAGACAGGAAACAAATTGAGTGTGGCCCAAACAATATGACTCAATGTTATAACAATTAGGATAATTTGATATCCTTATTTTCTCATCTCGATCGCAAGAAGCCAAGTACCTTGAATCCAGACTTAATTTGAGATCTAATATTATTGCATTGTGGCCCAGCAGAAATGTCTCGCCGTTTTCATCGTCCTTTAGTTCACTTGCTACCAGCTGATAACCATAAATCCAGCCAGATCGATTAGAAACAATCAACTTACCCTCTTTCTCATTGAAAATAACGTGATCACATTTTCTTTCGATGACAAAAGAAGCCAAAACTTTCCATTCCTTAGTACAATAAACTATTAAATTTTTAAAATTATCACAGATGGCCAAATATTTTTCCGATTGAGATAATTGACCAAAAACAAAATGTCTCTTTTCCTGGTTCATCTGATTAGGAGATTTTGAAGAATCTTCACCATCATTATCAACAATTTCTCCGGTATCACCAGCTGTTTTTGTATAAATTATTGGTGGTAATTTAAGAACAATCGTCTCTATTTGTTCACTAAAATAATATCGTTTGACAATATGAGGATCATTAGTAATAGTTAAAATAGATTTGTTACCAATGCACAACACCATCGCAAAATTTTAGATCAACTTGCACAAGAAATAGAATAAAAAGTTCTTAGAGTTCCCAAATTTTCAGTTTAAATATAATCGATCAACTAGAAAAAACTAAAAAAGCCGAATCAAAAATAGTGAAAACTCTGCTGAGCCATCAGGTGGAGCCCATGCTTGCTTCTGGAAAAGCACGCGATTTTCAGTTTTGGAGGGTTATTTGAATGACATTTGATTTACGCCTTTGTTTGATAGATGTCAATTTAACAATTTAATAACACTATTTTTTGTACACTAATTAATATACACAAATTTGAATTTAATCTCATCTTAAAAAGAAATTTTGCTTTCTACTGTCCTTGTTTTCTTTATATTGTGGTAATTTTCTTTGTGGATCGGGCTTCTTCTCGCCAATGAGATATCCATCATCGCCAATTTGATCTATTGTCGTTCGTCCAGCTTCAAAACAAGGTGTTCCTTCAATCTTTGGGCCTCTCAAATTGACAGCAAAAGGTAACAACGATGGTTGACGTAGAAAGATGCCTCTGCCCTCAGGTGTAAAAGCTTTAAGAACCATGTCACTTTGAGTAGAGGCAGTGATTGAAACCCATCCTGCTGATGATAGAACAATATCAGCACAACTTTCTTTCCACCCAATTCCTGTCAAATCAATTTCTTTTGGAATCAGAATTGGCCATTTTTCGAGCCTTTCAGGCCCACCGCAAGGTACACCAAGCATTTGAGATCCCAGGAAAGTATCATAAAACTGTTTGGCTTGTTCAGTAAAAGTTACGTGAATAGGTAAATAATGAGATGCAAATACAGTCAGTAAAATATTTTGTCTGGCGTGGACTACATCGATACGAGCTAAGCCACCAATAAAAAGAGTTTGAAAAGGCCACAATGAAAATGTTCTTGGAACAATAGTTTCTCTTGGTATTGTTTTGATGAGTTCCTCAGTCGTAAGGAGACTCAACAATTGTTCTTTATAAATAGACCCTGGTGTGTCATAGAAAAAATTGTAATTTTTGTCTGCGAAATTTTTTGGGTCAAAAGGTTTAGGAGTGGCGTGCCTAGTCGCCATAGGATGACCACTTTCTATAGTGAAAGGAACATTTTCATGGAAGGTTGTATTAATACGATCACTTAAAACTGCTAAACGAGGGTTCTTGGTTTGACGATAGATAGTTAATCGCATGTCTTTCTCTTTTTGTGCAAGAGCCGAATGTCTTTTCATCCGTGCACGACGAAGTCGCAGTTGCCATCCACGAAGCTGATTGATAGGGAATCGCAATAAATTAAGAGTTGTTCCAGGCCAAAGAGATGTAGTTGCACGCTGAATCAAATCATTTCCTCGAGCTGCACATAAATCTGATTGTAATAACATATTGAATAAAGTTGATTTACCAACATTGGTACAGCCAATCAAATAAATGTCACGAGTCCCATTATCATCGGAAAGTAGTTTGGTAATTAGTTGTTCAACACCATAACCTGTTTTGGCACTTATCAAACATGTATGACGGATATGAGCGTTTTCGTCATCTCCACAGGCAATTTTAACTTCTTTTTTCAATATTTCTTCTATTCGCGAAAGATATCCGACTTGATCTTTCGGAAGCAAATCAACTTTGTTGCCAACAACATAAATCTTTCTGATTTTACCCACTAATTGGACAATACCGGGCCATATTGATCCAGGGAAGTCAGTTAAATCAACCATTATTATAACGATACCAGTTTTTAACCTTATCTCTGAAATAATTGATGGATATAAATCTGAAGGTACATTAACATCGAGTGAAACGTTGTAGCTTTCGAGAAAATCGCACCGTTGACAAATTTTCTTTCTTAAGTCTGACTGGGACAGTTTTTTGAAAACCTCACTCGGTATATAACCTGGAATAGATTGATCATTACAATGAAGGTACGCTCCACAGCCACCACATGGTACTGAACTCGGTACAATTGATATATCTGGTGATCCATAATTACGACGCCATAATTCAGCGCCCCATCCTCTTATTTCATCTTCATAATCCATAGGTGTAATGTCTTTCAAATTTAGAGCTAAATTCTGAACAAAATTATGATGCTTTAAAAAATCCTCATAATCTTTGTCAGTTAAGCCGGATGGAAATTTTTTAGTTTCACCAACTTCATTAGATTCAGGATCTGATCTCCGTAGCTCATCAAGCATCTCAAATGGAAACTTTAATGACTTCTGTTCCGATTGACCTGATGAAACAAGATGATGCTTTGGTTAACTCAAGTTTAAGTATAATTAGAAAGTTCATTACCTTGATTTTGTTCGACATTTATTGTTTTAGACTTATCATGCTCTATCGCGTTATGAAGAATTTTACACCTAGAGTCGGACCCATCTTTGTTGTTTTTTAAATATAATTCTAATGCGGCTGGAATCTTATTAGACAACGCTAATTCACTTTTTGCCTTTTCTTGCATCCACAATGTTAACGCTTTGCGTAACTTATGAGTCCAATACCTAGGTCGAGCACCATCACCGAATCCTGTTAAACTTAATGGTAATGGAACATATTTAGCGGCTATTTGATCTTCAATTTTTCTCCTCCATGGAGTCCAATTGATTAATTTTTCAGCATCTTGTTTCTTCCATTCTGCTAATTGTTTTTCCTTTTCAACAATTTCCAAGGCATTTTGAACAGCATGTTTTTCCTCTACTTTTTTCTGTCGTTCTGAAACCACTCTTAAAGACCTAATTCCTCTTTTAAAGTCAATATTATTTACGTAGTTGACACGTCCAATTGAACGATTAACTTTCAACATGTTTAAACTAGTTTAAAAAGAGAACCAAATTAATGTATAGAAAAAAAACATTCTCACTTTTCAAACATGGCTGATAAGAAAACAGCTGAACTGATATCACTAAAACTCATTACAGTTTTTATCATAAATTTTATTGAAATATCACATGGTTTATAGTAACAATGCAACACATTGCATCACCTCGTAAAGCACCAAGCGAAGATACTAAAACTAGATTTGTATGAATTTCTAGTTCATAATTATTTAGCTAAATTGGGACAATAAAAAGCGAACGGGATTTAAAGTTTACAAACGCCATCTGTTGATCAGGTAAAATTTAAATGTCGATTGAATCTTTCTTTCAAAGAATCAGCTGTTTGAGTAACAAAAGCTTTATTAAGGTTTAAAGCTATCCGCAAGCGAAGCGACTTTATCCGGATAACTTCGCATCAGCTCCTGTCAGGAGCCTCCTGATAATCAGGAGACTGAAAAGGTGGAGTTGAATAAGACTTGCTCATGACAAATCCTTTTTCTGCTTTCTAGTTGCTGCTTAGCAACAAAAAGGGATCTTCACACAATCAACTTATTTTTTATTCACTTTTTGTATTTCCTTTTTAATTCATTGAGTTCAAATTTTAGGTAACCAATTTTAACTATACTAATCTATCCTTTTGTTGTTATTTAATTAAATTCTATTATATCTTCAAATTGTTAATTAGTGATTTAATTATTTTTAAATAATTCGGAACTGGAAAAAGTATTCGGATCCTTTTCTCTTAAACCGGGTATGATTCGGATTCATCTCGGATATGCACTCGCTTGATTCATCTATTGTTGTCCCTTGTTAGTGATGTTACGAATTGGTCTTTGATTAAAGTTGCAAAATGGTGAGTGTTCATCAGAGACTATTCTAAGTCTCCTATTTTCTTATTTTAATTGTCAATTTTTTTCTTTTATTCCAGGGTCTTATTAACTCGCCTTCGTTTGACGAAAAGCTTCCCAAACTCATTGATACACTTGCACATGAAAAAGACTGGGAAGTTTTATGTGCGCTTCTCGCTAAATTGCCATATTTCCTTACAACCGAAGCCTTAATTCACAACTCAAGTCCAGAAAATATTAATAAACTTACTCAAACTCTTTGTCATATGGTAAGAATTGCAATTAATTGATTCAGATATCTTACTCATTCAACCTGTAAATTGTATAACTCAGCTGTCATCACCTTTTGTATGCTGAACTATTTCTATTGACTCATCTAATGAGAAATTCCTAGAACCTGTCATCTCAATTAATTAGTTCCGTTTTTCAGGTTAAATAGCGTAAATTATCTTCAATTTTAACTGTGAAATTGGTTCAGCATATTTGGTTCTGTTTTATTTTAAATTTTATTCAATTTCTTTCTTCTCAATCCAGGTTGAAAATGTTAATTTTGAACATCTCTCCAACACTCCTGACGGGATGAATAAAGCATTTTTCCAAAGTTACATATACCCGATACTTTCAAATCTTGTTGCTTATCACAAATTAATCGAACCACCCTATCAAGTAATGTCCATTCTTAAATCTTAACTTTTATCGATTAACCAGCCTGACTAATGACTTTCTTTTTTCTTTTGTCTTACCTTTATTTTATTTACTGCTTATTATTGCCTTGTTCATTAAGAGTGCACTGGTTAAAGTTCTAACTGGAGGATTGCCTTTTATTCGTCAATCAACTTGTCAATGTATTAATGCACTCTCGTTATGTGTTGTTGAAATGCAAGACACTATGATCAAATATCTACCGGATGTCCTGCTCTCCCTTACTAAGAATTCAGCTACAGTCCAAATTGCAATACCTATTCTTGAATTTCTGTCCTGTAAGTATACGAGTTCCCGTCGCCAAATTTATGATATTCACACTTTTCTTTTGTCATTTTTACTCATTTTCGAATTGAAATCTTCACATTTCAGATGTAACTCTTCATCCTCGCCTTTACAAAGATTTTGTATCCAACCATTACTTGTCTATCTTTGCCACTGTCCTTCCTTTCACAAATCCATCAAGGTAAATATGGTTCTAATTCACTTTGAGTTTATCGTCGATCTTGTTGACTCATTTATTTCTTTGTCTTCTTATAGGTTTTCAGACTTTATTGTGGCAATGGCCTTTAGGGTAATGTCTATGTGGTTCTTGAAATGTCGTCTCCCATATCGTAAAGTTATCATAAGCTATATAATTAGAGTAAGTTAATTAGATTTTCAATTAAACATTATACTTTAGATAATAGAGCTGTTATTGATTTCTTGCTTCATCTGTTTTTTATGCTCTCAGGGACTTCAGGTGAATGTTATACAATCAATTAAAGAATCTGAAGAAATTCGTAAAAGGAGTGGAAGTTTCAATTCAGACGTTGCGTTGAAAAGGTAATTACATTCTATTCAATAAATTTTATCAATTTTCACTTAATTTGAAACTTTTGTTTTCAGCAATGAGTCTCTGTCCAACAATGCTCAGAATGCGAGTAATTCTAACACGGCTCTGACGCATTCCAATGAAAAATTTCATAAGGAACTGGTAGAATCTCACATGGATCTCTTGTCTCGATACACCCAAGGATTGTGTTCAACGTTACCAGAACCCATGTCTGGTCAAGATATGATTCTCGATAGGTCTATTACTTCAACTTGGCTTCTGGGCCAAAGGTTGATTACTATTACCACTAGTGGCTGTCGATCTAGAACCTTTCTCGATGGTTACTGTGAAAGATGTTATAGATTTTGCAAATTAGGTTCTGGGTCTGATTTTTCTAATGATGATGTATTCAATCCTACCAGAAACTCTTCGATGTTTAATGATCCAGGCAATTTTAACCAACCTCCTGATTATGGTGGTGGAATGTTATCCAATGTAGCAACAAATTATTCAGAAAATGAAAGGAACACAAGTAGCTCTAGAAGGAGGCATCAATCTGCATTCACACCTAACTTAACAAGCTCTAGCAAGCCTACATCTCGTGCATTTGACGATTCTCATCTCAATTTTAACAGTTCATTTGCTGCAAATGATGACTATGAGGAATCAAGTACTTGTTCTTGCTGGTGTGAAGGCTGGGCGGAGATTATAATTCGGAGAGCCAGTGGAACAACTAGCTGGAAAATGAGAATTCAGAATAGGCTAAATGTACCGTGCTATCCTTGTAATCCTTTTGATAGTTTAACCAATGATTTAACACCTATATATCCTTCAAAACCTGTTAAAAATGATTCTGTTGATGGGGACTCAAGTGTAGTGCGGGGTGAAGATGCTTTAGCTTCTGATACGCCAGAATCATCTCCACCTGTTTTTAAGCGTGTAAGTTCCAGTCCTGATATGGAAAGAGGAGAAGATGTTGGTCAAAACTCTAAAAATCTTTCTGCATCTGGATCTCCTGCTACAGCTATTGAAGTAACTTCTGATAATGGTGAAGCCAACCGACCGGTTGAAGAAGAAGTGATTGCCGAGGAAAATAACTTGGCTAAATTATCACGAGCATCATCGCTTGGACGCGGGGATACAACAAAAACTTCACCCTTCTCTCGTGCATCATCTTTCAGCTGGAAATCTCCTTCTCGGTTCACTTCTAAAAAATCAGAGGTTTCAAGTCCAGGCTATGAATCTGTAGGTAAAGAAGTTTTTTTCAATTCGGATACTAAGCCAGATTCAGACCAAGAGCCTATGACAGAAGGTAAAAATTACTCTAACCAATCAATTATATCTCCACTGAAAGCCACCTTAAGTTCAAATATGCCTTCAAATCCTAGAACTCCTCCCAAAACTCCAGCAAAACTGGAAGATATTAATGAATCAAAGACTGAAAATTTTAGTTATGTGCCAAGAGGCAGACTTGCTACAATCTCGGTTATGACTCCAGCGTTAGTCCGGTCAAATGCAACTGCCTCGATTAAACGAAGCTCGTCAAATCAACGTATTACTGAAGTTTCTAATCCTCGTAATGATGGAATTAAGCCAAGTTTCATCTTTTTGCAACTCTTCTACGATTCATCAATTAGCGATGGGTTTTGTAAAAGTGAAAAGCCTCTAATACTTCCTAGTACTGAAAGTATTAGAAATGCTTTAACTAATTTGGATCGCATATTGCCACATGAAATGCACAAAATAGGAGTAATTTATATTGATTCGGACCAACAACAAGACTTGAGTCAAATACTTTCCAATCGTTACGGATCTTTCCGATATATGAAATTTATACGTGGATTAGGAACTCTTATCAAATTGAAAGATATTGACACTTCCAGTTATTATATTGGTGGATTGGCTAAGGATGGAAAAGATGGAGTCTTTGCTGTTAATTGGAAAGACAATTTGACTCAAGTAGTCTTCCATATATCCACTTTGATGCCGAACAAAGAGAATGATCCTGATCGTAATGATAAAAAGCTTCATATTGGAAATGATTGTATCTGTATCATGTACAACAATAGTGGCCAAGAAATTGATGTTAATAGTCTTAGAGTAAGTTTTAATTGTGGAAAAAAATTATTTTTACAAATTCATCTCTTCATCTTTGCATTATTTTTCCCCGTAGATAAGCAAACCTGTGGTTGCAGCTATCGTGATTCGACCCCTAGAATATGAAAATAATCATGTAATGATTCATTTATTTGAAGACGGTAAGCTTTTAATTCTATTACACTTGGAGAGGATTTTATTCTCATTGCTATTTCTCATTTCATTTCTTTGTATTTAGGCTTGAAACAAATTATTGGACCCAGAGATTCTGTTATACTGTCAGATGTTGCTCTTCCGAGTTATGTTCGCCAGCTTAGTTTGAATCTTAATGTAAGTCAATGGATTATAATATATCATTTTTCATATTTACTAATCTTTGATTTTTTCGTTTAGATTGCATCTTTAATTTACCATAGCAAAAGATCTAGCACAGGTTCGCTCTATGCTTCAAATTGTGTTGAAAGGCTTCGTCAAATTGAGAGGATTAAACAAAAGACATTAGAGCATAAAGAAGAGCGCCAGCAGAAATCATTTTCATCATTCTCATCAAATAGCAGGTCAACAATACCAAATTCGGATCTTGAAGACGATTGGAATCCCTCTAATTTTGATAAATTTCCTGATGATTTCACCCCATATATTTAGTTTCAAAAGGAAAGGAAACCCCGCTCACTCACAAATATTTACTGAGTATGAGAAACCGAGTCTAAATACGTTGACCAAATGTTCTCATTATCAAAACAAAACAAGACATAAAAATCAATTAATTCATTTATTAATACTGATTAAAATGTAGAACTAAATTTAATACATAAAATAATATTAAACCAAAGCTGAGCAGAACTTGGTTTGATTCCTTTACAAATTTCAAGTAATTTCATTTATTCATTTACAATGACATGGGAAATGAAATAAAACCGTGAACAGAAAAGATTCCAAGCGTATCAATATGCTGGAAAATAATGCCAAAATAATAGCTATTACTCCAGAAGGAATAACAAATAACATATCAAAAACCAGAAGTTGGAGTTTAAATTATGTCTCATTGTATCAAAAATGGCGATAAATAATGTGAGGTGGATTGGAGTTGAATTCACTCAACATTTGAAATGAGTATTGAACAAAAAGTGTTGATATTTACTAATATCTATTCACTGAGTTTTGATGAGATTTCAACCAAAGAGAAGATGAAGCTTCCTCTTTTATTTTCATCAGTATCTTTTGATTGATAAATTCTACGAAGTCGTCGAGTTTGTCTTGGATGACTTTCCTCGCATTTGGTAATAGTTTTCAATCGACCACAAGCTAAATCACGGACATCATCTAATGCGAGATCAAAAAATTTCTGGAAATAATCGTTAATCTTGATATTACTGGATGGACAAATTTTATCGATTGATGTGAAAACACATTCATCAAAGAAATTGAAAGCGCAACATGTCAGTGGAAGTATGTTAGTATTATTGGCCCATTTCGATACTGTATCCAACATTCGTTCACCACGATAGAAGCAATCATGGAAAGATTTAATCGAATCATTGGAAAGACAACGATTAACTTCTAATGTGCCTATTGAAAGATAAATAAATGATTATTAAAAAATGGATAAAAGATACACAAACAATCTTGATTGAATTAGAATCACTTGGATAAATTTTGACAATTCCTAGAGCTAATTGTTCATCTATACATTAATTAGACAGTTCATGTAATTTTTTAGCTCAAAATTTGTTTCATTTGGCATACTTACGCTCTTGACTTTCAGATGAACACATTGACTGAATCGCATTCGTTATTCCAGTAACTGCAAGTTGCAAGATCTGATTGGACAACCCTCGAGTACATAATTCCTTGTACTTCTTCAGTGATTTAACTGCTCTTTGTGGTAACCTGTTAATGATTTGGATGAAATGAAATTATAAATTATTATGTTGTCCATTTTCATAATAGGATTCAGTTTCATGTTTACTCTTCACTTTTCACCAGTAAACAAGTTATTAAGATTTAAGGAAATTATAAAAAGGTTTACAAAAAAACCTTGAAAGGTACATTATATTATTGCAATATTATGGCAAAACGTTTTACAAGGTTAATTTTGTGTTATATCATTAATTTCTAGTTAATTTAGGCAAATCTATTCTCTGAGAGTACATTATAATTGAAACAGAGAATCATTTTAATAATTTTCTCAGTTTTCGCCAGTCTTAATGGTTTTGTTATCATTATTATTGTAAAAGCAACTTTTCAACTCATCATATTTCAAGGCTTGTCTCAAATCAATCACAAATTGTTTGAACCAAATATGTCTCAGAATGGTTAATCTGTTGCACCGACTATAATAATCGCGTTGAATCTCACTTCGTTGCTTTAAGCTTATCCTTTATTATATTGATAGCGATTCCCTTGAACTACAATCTTTCAATTGTAGTAAATCAGTTTAAATTTGATAAATCGCATGGTAAAAGATGAATTGCTTTTGCTTTTAAATGGATCCAAAGTGTATCCATGACCAAAAATAATGATTGGTTAAAGTGATAAAAGTTTACATTCATGATTAATTTTGCCATTACTATTAACATTATTTAATTAAATATTACACAATTCGATCACACAATTAGCATTTATAATGGCGTTACAATCTCTTAACATAATTTTTCTCTTAATTTTTACTCTTTCAAGACTTGATTATCTGGTTTTTTACACTCGCAATATCTGACTTGAACATAAAATATGAAATTAACAAATCCGGAACAATTAAGGCAGTCAAAAGTAAAAATGAAAATTAGTATAAAAATTAAGTCCAGCAACGAGTTTATTGACTTGACAATCAAATTTGAGCTTTTATAATTGTAATGATTAAATAATAATGACTATGAAAGGATTGACGACCTTAATTGTGAACGGAATATTAAGAAAACAATTTCTAAAACAAAGTAAACATTATAAACATGAAGCTCCATGTAAATCATCATGTAATAAGCAAATTCAATGTTTTATTTTCAATGATTCGGATAAAATTTGAGTTGAAAGTGAAAAGTGATAATAATTAAAAAGGTTTTCGAGACTTACTTGCAATGTTCAGCGAGTTCAGGTTTGTTTACTGGAATTTTGATTGTTTCACCGATGAAGAAAAATGAACGGAAACTTCGATCGAATCTCCTGGCAATAGCTTTGCATTGATCTTGAGCATCTATTAATCGTAACAATTAAAAAAGAAAATTGAAGAATTTAAAATTTACGATAAAAGTAAAACTTGAAAGCAAAATTGAAAGGGAAACAAACCTGCAAAGGCAAAAACCAATGGTAACAATAAAACTAATTGTAATTTCATTTTAACACAACAAAGTTAATTTAACAATATAGAATGAGTATTTAATTAAATTAATTTCACACTTTGGAAGCACTAGATATAAGCTTGTAATGTCTAATAGTTAAAGTTTGAGGGGTAAAACAAGAAACTCCAAAGGCTAACTTGATTTTATAGTAAACATAATCAGGCTCTCTCATCTCTTTCTCCCTTTTATCTCTCTCTTCTTTTCTCTCTATCTTTTTCACCACTGCCATCATCATCTTCATGATAACCATCTTCTTGTTACTTGAAATTCCTGAGACTTTTCAAACTGAAAGTCGATTACATTTTCAATCTTCATCAGATTGCCATTTGATTGGCTGTTCATTTGACAAGAGTTATTAGAGTTTTCGATGAAACCTTTTTTTCTTCATAAGAGCTGCAGGGTAAAAGGCTTCACAGGCTCAGGGTAATTCATTAGATTATTTTAATTAACACCAAATTGAACATCTACGGATACTGTTTGTGACTTGAGTCTCAAGTTAACCAGGCAAACAGCACAACATTGAAAAACATTGGATAAGTCAATCAGAATAATATATAACCAATTTATATCATCAGTGATCTGGATAATTTTAGAGCTTTCTAGCTCCTTCGATCTAACATCCGATGGCTTTATAAAAGGCCAGAATAGGAAAAAAACCGAACCAAAACGGTAATGTTTGAAATACAAACAAACAAATTGATAGGTTCATCATCTTTAGCAGGCTTTTAAACAGCAACAGTGCAACCATCCGTCTGTTTGCTAGGTTGACTTGTTATCATAATTATCATGCTAAGGATACACATAATTTGGGAAAAATTTGGAAAAAAAGATAGGAATTGAAATGTTTAGATTAGTTAAAAGATCAAATTTGATAAATATCGTCATCTCCAGACATGGGATGTAATATATTAAGGTATCAATGGGAAAATTTTGAATTTCTTGTGCTTACCTAAAAAAACAAATTATCAACTGAAATGTTGATCCATAAGCATTTTAGCCAGAAAGATGTAGAATTTTCTCGTAAATTGCTTGAATCAATTGGTAGGTGACACTCAGTTTAGATATAAATCACCAAAAATTCAAAAAATAACAAAACTTGACTGATTCGCATATCCTGACAGGAACTTGTGATTATCGATCGATTTTCCAATTGAATCCAATCATTTTAACATATTATCAGTTCGTATCTTTAGTTTGTGCTCAGCACACATTATTTATCAGAAACACAAACTTAATTTAACTCAAAGCCTTGATTAAAATAATCAAAATTTCACTACAATTAGCAAACATTCATCTAAGGTTGATCGGTTGCTATTGAGTTGAATCTTCATTGAATCTAAAAAAGTCCTCCAATAAGCATCTTTAGTGTTTTAAATTTGGTACCAGGAAATCAGCATTAAATGAACATCACCAATCTATTTACCTTTATCACTTTGAACTAAATATAGAAATAGGAAAGTAAATCTTAATCCAGATTAGAGATATCATATTATATTCAAGTTACATTTTCACTTTTTGATATCCAAAAAAAGCTTTTTTTCAAAATTCTGAACTTTACTTAAACGTTACAGGTTGAAAAAGTAATATATTGACCAAATAGTTTGGACATAAGTTGAAACATTTAAAGCACAAATCAAATTGATTTACAATAATATTATTTGACGAACAATAAAATAAAACTAAATACAAAAATCATTGATTAAAGTTAAGCCTTAAATAAAGATAATCTTAACATCTGTACTGTAAAGCTGATAAAAGCATAATATTTGCATAATATGCCTTCAGCCGGCTAATCAGGTATCGATTAAAGTATTAATTGAAAACGATTATCAATATTTCCTAAAATTTAAAATCAAAGTGTCTTTTGTGATATTTAATAAAAATAATATTGTAATAATTATCAAGGTAAAAGTAGGTGATTTGAATTATAGTGAAAAGTAAAGATATCACCGTTGAAAGTTAGTCAATGGTAACTTATGGTTATCAAGTATGGGTATAATAACAATCAGCTTGATAAATTGTTTAAACTGTGAATACTCAAAGTAAAGTGGTTTGTTTTGATTATCTAATTGCTTGCTGCCCTGAAGGTTAATTGAGCTCTTTTGCTCTCCAAACCTTGGCCGGATTTGTTGAGGATTTATTGACAACTTGTTAATGTTGATTGTGACCACAATAATTTTTAATAACAGTAAAACTTATTTACACTATTAAGCAAAGAGGAGTTTACTTAATAAATCAGCGTAATCGCTTTTAATTTTTGACTCTGATTGCTTTAGCTTTTGATGATTTTTAATTTGGATAACAACTTGGACAAGGATTTTTGACTTTCTTTTAACAAACTTATTCAGCCATTTTTTGTTCAATTTCATTCTTATCCAAAAGGTTTTAACAACGACAACCTCTTATCATCTATATGTATAATATAATAACTTATTAAAATTATTATTTGTCATCTTTAATTCACGTGATTTATTCCAATTCATATTGATCACCAATTTTGTTATAAAATCATTAATGATCAACCTTTAATCGGACGCACAAGGAATATTTTTATTCATTGTTTTCTTCCCTTTTATTGATCTGAGTTTATTCCTGACTTCAACTCATGATGTTTCCATCCAAAGGAACTAAATTTTTTATATTAATCATTCTATCAACTCTTATTTTAGGTAAGTTTATTGTTAACTTTTTACAAATATTTAAAAAACCGCCTAAAATTTAATATGAAAATTGTATTCAACAAACAGTTATGATTGGTTAACGGATTGAATCAGCTGTGATTTTCAATTTTTCATTCTTCAAATTTTACAATATCTTTTAATTTCAACCCACGTTTAATTGAAAAATGCCAATTATTACATGTTAATTTTTAGTAATCTAATATAACCATGATTAAGATATCTTTTGAAAATAATTCCAAGCGTTGTTAATATAGCTAATAACTATTAATTTATTATAAAAGTGCTTTTGTTTAATCTTTTCTTCACTTTATTTTCCCATTATTCTCGCTACCAATAGTTGACTGCCAAAGAAATAATCGCGGCCAGTCCCGTCGCATTAATCGATTTAAGAAAGCCACTGAGTCCAGTTCAACATCAACACCATCAACAAACTCATCAACATCACCAAAAACATTAAATGTTACATCTGAGAAATCTGGTGAAATAGAATCAATTGAAAGTGATTTAACCTCAACCAATGCTTCATTGATCACCTCGAGCAATGGTAATGGCAATGGTTCTGAAAGTAAAGGATGGAATGCTAAACTTGGATTCTGTCGAGAAATCGTCAGTCAATATGGAAACGATATAAGAAGTGTTTTGCTTGTTGGTAATTTTGCCTTCCCAACTAGTCGAGAAGCAATTGATGCTCATTGCGCGTAAGTATCAACTTTAAAATATCTCCCATCAAATACCCTTCCACAATGGCTATTTATCAAAATTGCTTGATCGATTTAAATTTTGGAGGTTATGATCATCAACTAAGCTTTAAGCCATTAATGATTTTGGTAACGCTTCAAAGCTAAGCTTCAATGTGGATTATCAAAGCTAACCAAAGGCTAAGCTACCTGTGTTGTAATTTTGGTTCCCAAAGTGTTGATCTTTCCTTGAAAGTGCACAACAGCAGTTGAATTTGACAGAGATTAATGCTCATTTTCCGTTTACATTTATGTTTAATTACTTCTAACTTTCATTAATTTCAATTTTCATTTTCTTGCTAATTTCAAACAGACTTGGAGATCGAGTATATAAAGCTTTACGTAAATTTTCAACCAGTTGCTTAACTTCATTGCCTCGTCAATTGTTTTCAATATTTTTAAGAGGACTTCGTAAATTGATTAAAAATGTTTGCCATGCATCGAAGGAAAAAGAAAGTAAGTTAATTAGTTGTTTTGGTGTTTATTTTGGAACACATTGAATGATTCCATTACGTTAATGGTTGTTTCATTGAAAGGTTAAATAAGAAAGTGTCAAATAACTGATATAAATCGGAAATTGGAAAAGTAAAAAATATATTTTTATAAATAGACTTTTGATTATAATTTTGCTGCAATTTAACCTTGTAGTTGGATAATTAAAGGTGCATAGGCAGCAATGATAGTGAGAAGGAAGAGTTGAAAATCATAATTTTTGATGATAATTTCATGTCACAAGGATTCAAGTAAACTCTGTATATTAATATTAGTCTTTCTGGACCGGGTAAATATGATTAGGAATTGAAAACTCAATCTGATGCTCACATGTTTTTTCAAGGTTAACCAGTCCATCATTAACATTATATCATCAAGGTTTCACGTCAATGGTTACGGCAAAAATTTAATCGACATTGGACTGGAAATTGAACATGGAATTAATGGAACTAAGTCAAATTGTTTCAGCGTAAAATTAGATTATTTTGATTAACTAGTTTAAATATAGCTGCGATAATATGGCGTCATCTATTGTTTACAAATTATGTTACCCTTTGAAATCACATGACAGTACAATATTAAGTCATTTTAATAATTATTTTGTTTTATTTTCACCTTCTCTTTCAGGAGCGATTGAAATCCTTAAATGTACAACTGATGCAAGTTTACCTGGTTGGAATGTGTGTTTGAACGTGGCTAATCGACAATTTGAATCGACGGCAATCAATTCAACGGATGCACAATTATTTGGAGATTTATGCTGCATGTACAATCAACTGGAAAATTGTGTTCGAGCCAATTTACAGAAGAGGCCCGAATGTGCATCAAAACCATTTGAAGTGTCTAAATTTTTCCAACAAATGATCGATGCAACATTAAAAGATGTTATGGACATTGCTTGTACAAAATATGCCACTGAAGGTGAATGTATAAAAAATAACGCTGATGGTTTAATTAGATTAAAAGGTGCTGCTGATGCTAACTTCGAGGTAAATGATATATTCTTGATTGGTCCACTTCTCAAGATTTTCCCTCGATTGGCCAATGATTAAAATATCAACATGTAAGGATCACTGTTGGATGATCGGCGACCAACATGTTTAATAGCTTTCATTAGTGAACAAAATCATCTCTTTTTTGAATCAAAGTTCCAGTTTGAAATAATCAAATTCAATATGTAAACGCCATTGAGGCCTTCAAAAATACTCCACAACTATCTGATATCCAGATTGTCTTAAACCAAATTAATATATTTCTCATTCTCTCGACTTTGTGTTACTTTATCTATACCTGTTGTTTAATTGATAAATAATAAAAGATGGTTATCAACAATAAACAGGTATTCAGTTTTTAAACTATGAAAATGTTTGGTCAGACAATATTTCACTAGTCTGAAGGTCAATTGTGCTGAAAACATTATTCAAACCTTGGCTGGTTATGAACAGGTTATTGCTGTTGATTGTTGTCACAAAACTGATTAATATTGAGCAACTCTAAGCAAATATGGTGAGTTACTTCGAATCAAATCGCTCTTTAATACTACATTCCAAACAACTCTTCTCTACATTTTTCATAATAAAACAATTCCTTATCGGTTGGCTTGTATTTAATCAAAACACCCTTTTCATTGATATAGTTTCCTGGTGGAGGTAAAGACAAGAATTTTCGTGCCTGTGTCCTGATATCACAGCATCTCATTTGGTCTCCTACAATGAGAATTTGAAAATTATGGTAAATGAGACATAACAGGTTAAACCTGATAATAATGTTAATAATCTATGATACTAACCTATAACCAAACAAATGCACGGACAAATACAACACCAAATTAATGAGATGAACATGATTACGAAGAGAAACAGGGTTAATGTGGATACATTAGTGACATTCTTTCTGAAAGATTCGGCATCGGCTATTGCGACTAGAGTATCATAGTCATCATAATATTCCTTCCATTCAAGTTCATCATCATAGATAGAAGGTGGTTCAGGAAGAACATCGTAAAAAGCATTTCTCTGATAAAATCAAGTTTAATTAGAAAATATTTGAAAGGTTCTTGATTGGATTGTAAATGAACTTACCTTTGTTATTGATTTGCACCAAATAAACTGAAAATAAACAAAACAAAACAATAAACTAAAAGCAAGCTGTAAACTCATATTAAACAGACAGAAAGATTGCTTTAAATATCCGTAAACAAAGTAATCAAAATGATTGAATTCAATAATATCCCGACAACCTCAAGATTTATACAGTTTCATCCTAGTTTAAATTATTAATTAAATGTTTTGTTTTAATGGTACTAATCATTAAGCAATTATAGAGATTTTAGATTTTGACTACATTTTAAATTGGTGTAAAACTTTATAAGTGGCAAGAATCTGTGAAAAGTGATTAAATCAACAAATTATCTCAATCTCCTTATCCCTTTTAACATGGGTTTGGCAAACATTTTTCAAAAGAAGCTCATTCAAAGTCCATTTTAGAAAAGATTCCGTATTTAATTAGACTGGGCTATGTATCAAATTGCAGAACACGGTTTTGTGATCAAAATGGTGAATCATTTGTCTCTCTATCACATGTCTAACAAATCATCATGAGGACTTTACTAACAGGTCGCCCTTTACTTTCAAGGTTCAAAGTTAAATTTCATTTTGTTCAGCTGTAGAATCAGGTTTTATTTTGGTTTTTCTCATTGACGATGGTTTTTCATCGAGAATTCGAGTCTTTAATAAATATGGATTTAATTTATTGTATTCGGCAAAAAAATTATGATCAATCATGATCGGGAGTTCCATTCGCTTTATTAACTTATCAACTCGAGATCAATTCAATTCATTTGCTTTTATTTTAAACTGTGTTGATCACTTCATTGGGTAAGGCTTTACTTTTACGGACAAAGGCGTGAACTTTAAAAATCATCCAATGGTAGACGTCTTTCAAAAGCGCCCTTCATTGAAATTTTAAATTAGCAAATTTACTCTACTATTATTGTACAAATTGCTCATGTTTTCATCTAATATGACAAAATATTACTTAATCTCTACTTGCAAAATAAAGCTTGAGAAATGCTTTCTGTTTCAGGGATGGAAGCTGAATAGACTGAATGAAACGATTATCAATTGAATTCGTATTTCCAGTATACTTATCAATAATCAATGCACATCAAAGCTAAGATATCTTGTACTATGATATTTGATTTGTTCTGTTAACAATATTCGATCGAATGTATAACATAGCGGTTGTGATAGATCAATGACGCCTTTTAGATCTTGACAATCATTTGAGAGGCTTGTTGTGAAATTAATCGAGTAATCCTTGATCGCCCTTGGGTTCAGGTCTATCCATATTTACCAGGTTCGCCATGATTATCTTTCAAACATGTGGATTTTATTCAGAATATTATTATTGCATATGATAAGATTGAATTACCAGGCATTCCAATCAATGCAAGCTGACACTGTTGACCTGGAGGTCTTCAAGTCGATCACCATCTTCTGGTTCACCTATTCCAATTAAACAGCACAAAAGATATAAGATTAATTTAGTTTCTTCATAGCAGTAATACATTGAATTCAAGGATTCACTTACAGAATATCTTCTCTTTTAGTTGAGATTTGGATCATAAAATGGTACAATAAAGATTTAGATGCAAACTAATATTTAATTTTAAATCTTTAGCATTCACCTGGAATTGGCTTTTGATCAGGAAGACTTTGCCACGATGAGAAAAAAAGATTTTATAATTGGCATAAAAGATGAATAAAATTTCATATTTACATAATTCTTTAGTTTACTATTTGGGTAAAGATGACTTGATGAACCTTACTCTATGGATCAGGGAATCCTTCAAGTCCAACAGGAATTGTTAGATCAATAAGATCACGCTCTTCTTGACTACCTGTAAATGTGCTGGTCCAGGTTCATCCCTTCGATTATGGTAGGTATTATAGAAGGTACTTCTATACAAATGTTTCATTTTAATCAAAAGACGGAATGATCTAAATAACCTTTATTCACCAGAAATGAAGACAAGTTTATTTTACTAATTACGAGCATGAGGTAAACGGCGGCGGACAAAACCTCCCAAATATTTCGAAAATGATGTAAGTAAATCACTGACCGATTCCCTCGAAATGGTTGGTTTATTAATAATTCGATTGGCATTTGCAGGGCGTTTATCATGAGGATAGGATTGGATTCTCTTCCATGGATCGTCATCATGTGTGGCCAATCTGTATTTCGAGCTGAAGCCGGGTTCCTCAAGTATTGCGTACAATCTCTCTGGATGATTTGTAATTATCCCATCGACACCAAATCTAACAAGTCACATCAATATGGAATGAAGTGAATCAAATAAGAAAGAAACAAGATAAAGATTAATGCCAAAAAGAGAAGGAATATCGTTTCGAAAAAGTTTGAAACTTACCTGAGAGAGGCTCTAAGATTAGGCCGCAAATCGATTGTCCAGTGATAAACTTTGTCAATAATCGGATCTGAACGACCCTTTGAATCACGTCTATTTAGCACTTCAGTTAACCTCTCAAGACTATAAAAGGGGGAGATACAGTTGGATATGCCATCTCCAAGCCAAATGTTATTGGTAATCTGAATTTGTCGCCAAAATGAAATGACATCTGAAACTTCATCATTCAACCCAGTATCCCAACCAATTTTAGCATTTAGATGCTGCAATCTACTCCTTTCTAGTTCCCTTGTAAATCCAAGAACAAAATCATAATCAGAAACATGGCCAATGGATAGAAGAAGCTTAATTTTTGAAGTTGTAGTTCCAAATTCAAACAAATTGGAAATCACCTTTTCTGCTAAATCACTTCCAGCAGTTGCCTTAACAGATAAAGGTAAAGATGAAATTTTTAGATCCAGAAACAAAAGAACTAATTGTTCTTTGTAATTTATATTCTCTGCGATTAAAAACACAACAAAACAGCAAATAAATGAAAAGAGAAACACAATCAAATTGAAAAACTGTCTTACCTGGTTTGGTTATTTCTCGAACATAAGCTAAATATTTCTCAATATCTTCTTGTTCCTTACAAAAGCGAGCACAATCACATGGAGGTCCATGGAAGGTATGTAAAGCGGTTCCATTGGAAGAAAAAGAAACATCAGCTTCGATTATATTGGCACCACGACTTAAATAAAGATCAATCTCTTTGATGGAGTTAACCATGTGAGCGATGTTGTAAATCGGTCTCACAGCTCCATGAATTAAGGGTAACAAAGCTGATAAGATTAGCAAACGACGAAAATTTATTAAATACTTTTTATCCATAACAATTACTGTTGCTCGAAATAAAAAAAACAATTCAGATTTCAAGATGAAAACAGGTAGAAAAGGAAAAGTTCAGACGAATAGATGAAAAAGGAAGCAAAAATGAGGGAGAAGTCTCAAAGCATTGAGTCGCTCCCATTTCCTCACTCACTCTCATTTTTGTTTCAAACGGCCAAGTTATTCATTAAAATGCAATCTTCAAGCTTTGGGCATTTTAACCTGAAAAATTAGCAACTTATTTACAGATTTGTTTCAACATCGATTTCATCTTTAATTGTTCTGTTGCTTTTATCCTTTATCGGTGTGACAGAAGATAGTTGAGATATTTGTCAAAAGTCAAGAGTGAAAGGAAACCTTTTAACGTCATGAATGTCAAGCATTAATTTTTTTAACAAAAAGAGAGAAATTCAAGAATCCCAAACGGAAACGAAATAAACTGAACACTGAACCATTAACTTCCTGATTGATTTTCACCTCCAAATAGCTGTTTAACGCATTAGAATCAACAAAAATATTTTGTTTCTTTCATTCAGTTTGAACATGAACTTTTTTCACTTTTCATCTCATTGCTTTGCATAATTATTGACTTGAATGTTACAAAAAGTTTCATCATAAACATATCAATGATTGAGATGTTTACCAGAAATCAAAGGGCCTCATCGATAATTTCGTACCTTGGTCTAGCTATATGGGTATGAGAGATATGATAACCACATCATGATCATGTTTACCACACTTGAAATTATGATTATCAAGTATCACCGAAAGCTCATCATCACCAGCGTCAACCACATCGTCACCAACTAACTCAATCCAACACAAATTACCCATCGAATCATCTCCAAGTTTGAGTACCGTGGTTATTTAACAAGCTGCAACTAGACAAAGTATTAGTATCGTTTGAAAGAGTGAACCACTCAACAGATATGTGATTTCATCCACCAGATTTCATCTATAATAATGAAAAAAACCATTCTCAACCTCATTTGAAGGCAAATTTATTTTACTAAATGCGTGCAAAAGGCGAACTCAGATAAACAAAATCTCTTACATATTTCGTAAATGATGTAAACATGTCAGATGCACTGGTTATTGCTGTCAAAATAACTGGTTGTATGTCACTGGTGGCACTTGGAGCTGGTTTCTCTTCCAGATCTGGTTGAATTCTTTTCCATGGATCGTCATCGTGTGTGGCTAATCTGTATTTATATTTGAAGTCGCGTTCTTTCAGTATTGCGTACAATCTCTCTGGATGATTTGTTATTATCCCATCAACACCGAGTCTATCATAAAGTAGAGTGATAAATAGAGTGGAAAGAAGATCAAAACAAAAAGCAAACGAAATTCAAAATTGATATTCAAATAGGGGAAAGATAAAAGATTAAGTTCCAAAAAATTTTTGAGCCTAACTTACTTTAAAGAAGCTCTAATTTTATGATGAAAATCAATTGTCCAATGATAAACTTTGTCAATCATTGGATCTTTTGGAATCCTTTTACTTCTTAAATCACGATTAGAAACAACTTCAGTCAACCTCCCAAGATTGTAAAATGGTGAAATGCAGTTCGAGTAGCCATCTCCAAGCCAAATATTATCAATAATCTTAATCTTTTTCCACATTGATATTACATCCGAAACTTCATCATTCATCCCCACATCCCATCCAATTTTATCCTTTAAATGTTTCATTTCACTTTTTTCTAGTTCTTTTTGGAAACCAAGCACAAAATCAGAATCCTCAACATGACCAATGGACAAGAGAAGTTTAATTTTAGATGTTGTTGTACCAAATTCAAATAGATTGGTAATCACTTTTCGGGCTAAATTCCTTCCAGCGTTCGCCTTGACAGAGGCAGGTAATGATGAAATCTTGAGGTCAAGGAAAAGTAAAACCAATTGTTTTTTGTAATTTGCATTCTCTGAAATAAGTAAAAACACAACAAGTACACACATGAGAATATTATCATCATTGTCAACCATGAAGGTATTGTAATAACAAAAACACAATGAAGCTCCAAACACATGAGAAAAACAATAAAATGACAATAATAGTCTTACCTGGCTTTGTTATTTCACGGACGTAGACTAAATATTTTTCAATATTTTCTTGCTGGGTACAATGGCGAAAACAATCACATGGATATCCATGGAAGGTGTACAGCGCTGTTCCGTTGAGGGAAAAAGAAACATCCGCTTCAATTGTATTCGCTCCACGTTTTAAATAAAGATTAATTTCTTTTATAGAGTTGACCATATGAGCAATATTATAAATTGGTCTTGGCACAACACTAACCATTAAAATCTTAAAAGGTAAAATCATAAAAATAAAAGTGTAAAAATAACAATGAAAATTGATAAACATTTTGAACTCTGAAGAACACTTTGATCTGAGAGCAAGTTGACACTGAAATGACTTTTCTATTTCTTCTTTTTCGACGCATTTAACTTAAAGTCAGTTCAAGTTCTCGGTTTCCTTGAACATAAACAAATGTGCTCAAATTGCTTGAAGCAAAGAATGAAAGAGCCAACTTTGAACAAGCAAAGTTAAAACAAGCCCTAATCCTATGATTAAAAGAAGCTTTTCTAGATTTCCATTGGTGCTTCTATGATCTTCAAACCTTTTATGAATATCAAACATGAGTTTCTATCCGAATGACAAAAAGAGGAAAATTCAAGAATCCCAAATGGAAACGAAATAAACTGATCACTAAACCATTAACTTCCTGATTGATTTTCACCTCCAAATAGCTGTTTAAGACATTAGAATCAACAAAAAATATTTTGTTTCTTTCACTCAACATGAATTTTTTTCACTTCTCATCTCATTGCTTTGCATAATTATTAACTCTCAACACAAATTGATCAATGGTTAAGATGTTAATGTACAACAATTTAACCAAGTCTTACAGAAGATTTACGAAACTTAGATTTAGATTACCGTCGCTAATATGTCAATTTGGTTCTCTTGATCTTAACTCTCATCGAAATAAATCGAAACACAAAATCGTTAAAAAATAAAAAAATATTTGGTTGTTTTGCAAATAGAAATCTCTACTTTTGACTGTTTTGGTTTGGCTGTTTTGAGTGCCACTCCATGAATCTATTAAAGTTTACAATCATAACTCGAATGAATTCTGATCAAAAGAACGACATCTTTCAGCGGTCAGTCAACACTCAATTGTTCAACAACGAATATAACATTCATCATTCAAATACAATAAAGAGTCAAGAGCATGAAATCTAACATGCTACCCATTAATGAAGGTTTAGACTTGTGTTCTTGATTTGTGAATGAACCAATGGATGCTTATTTACGCGTGTAAATATACAGCGGAAAACTTATCAGGCGCAAATCAGGCCCTTTACTTTCCTTGACTCGTTTTCAAGTGCTTATGGATTATGAACAGAAACGCATCTGGTTTCATTTCGTTGAGTAGAGGATCAAGTGCAAACACTTCGACTTTCTAGTTTATATCAGTTTGAAAAACTTTGGGAGTTTTCACGGCTTGAAAACAGATTCAAACCTTAGTACATTAAGGTTAGTATCATTAACAGTTTATTATAGACGGAGTAACATTGAATTTACACTCATATAAAGATAGATTTTGTTCAAATAAATAAAGATGATAATTTACAGCAACAATGCTTCAACAATTTATGGTTCAATTGAAACAAACTGGACCCAATTCGAGTCCGAATTGATGATTAGGCGAGTCTGCATCCTTAATTGCTACATCTAAAATTGGCAGTCGTTGAGTCTTTGTCGTTTTGTATTCAATAATACTTTTATCCCAAACATTTGGCTCAGCATCCTGCAATTTATAGTAAAATCAATTAAGTTATTAAGTAATTAGAGAAATGAAGAGTAAGTAATAAATTTCGATTTCTTAAATGATAGTATTTTTAAACATTAGTAGATTAGAAACATGAAACTTACTTGGCAACCGTCGTGCAATATTTTATATCGAAACTGTGAGTTACCATTGATCGATAGCTCCACATCGTTTGAAGCAAGTAATTTGATTGACCTTCGATATGTCTTGAGATTAGCATCATAAACACCAATCGCATTATAACAATGGAAAGTTAAATTTTGATGAACTTGTCCAGTTAACATTTGCAAGTACTTAATTTGAACAGAATTGGCTTTGTAGTTAATCTAAAGAAGAGCAAATAAATTAGATTCAATTGGGTAAAAAACAAAGGTAAAATAAGTTACATTTTCAGACATTTCACTAAGCCATGAATATCCTGGTTTAGCGGATGGTCGATGTTTTCGTTCAAAAATTGCAGGCGAGGGATAAATACAAGTTTCCTTAGTTTCCATGTTACAATAAGCTTGAATTGCATCACTTGGATCACCCTCATTTGGATCAATATAATAGACTCCTAAAGAGTATAAAAGTAATTAGTTAATTGTATTTTTTTTTCGTTAATTTTACTGTTACCGTTTGCAAGATTGGGTCGGTCATTAACGAGATCTTGGCATGTTTTTGCCGGCCATTCCTTTTCACCGGTAGGTCTACGAAGTTTACCGTATTCATCGATTAAATTGGTAAAATATTTGTTGACCATTTTTTTCTTTTCAGTTTCAGGTACACTTGATGAGAGTAGTTTACTGGGTTCATCACCAAGAATGGGATCTGGACCTTTGCTTTGTCGTTGACCTAAAATTGCTGCTAATGTAGTAGCGTCAAATGCGTACGAATCACATGAAGAGGAGCATCCAGTTCCTGGTGGACCAGGCTGTCCAGGGTGTCCAGGTCTTCCAGGTTCACCGGGACTACCTCGAGGTCCCATTGGTCCAACTGGACCAGGAGAACCTGGATTACCATCACGACCAGGTTGTCCTCGTGGTCCTGGTGACCCTATCGGACCAGGGACTCCAGTAATACCAGAATTTCCCTTTTCTCCTGATTCTCCTTTTGGTCCTGGTGATCCTGGTAGACCAACAAATCCTCTGTGACCTTTTATTCCTTTCTCTCCTGGTTCGCCCCGATCTCCTTTCATTCCTGGTTGTCCAGGTAAACCTTGAAGTCCTCTTGGACCTTGGTGTCCTTGGTTCCCTTGAGGACCGATGGAACCCTTTTCACCCTGTTGACCGACTGGACCCATTGGTCCGATTAAACCTTGAATTCCAGGAGGTCCAGGAGGTCCTGGTTGTCCATTGATACCGGGAGGTCCCTTGTCTCCAGGTCTACCAGGGATTCCATCTTTACCAGAATCTCCTTTGAGTCCAGGCTCTCCACATGGACCTGCTGGTCCTGGAAGTCCCTGTGGCCCTGGTGGTCCTGATGGTCCTTCATGGCCTGGTTTACCATCTGAACCACGTTCACCCTGTGGACCAGGTTGACCTGGTGATCCTGGTCTGCCTTGTGCTCCAGGTAAACCACTGTAACCTCTTTCACCTCGTTCACCAGGTTGGCCAGGAATTCCTGGTGGACCTGATGCTCCTTCAGGCCCTGAATCTCCTTTAGGACCCATTAAACCAGGGCTTCCAGGTAATCCTGATTGACCCGGAGGACCAGCTCTACCAGATTCACCAGTGGAACCCTTAAGACCTGGAAGTCCAATTGGACCGATTGGCCCTTGTGGACCTGTTAGTCCTCTCAACCCTGGTCTGCCTGGAGCACCAGGGAATCCAGCATCACCTTTCTTTCCTTCCTCTCCTCTGGCTCCTTTAATTCCCATAATTCCGGGGGCACCTTGATGACCTTGTGGACCAGGAGGTCCTTGAGGTCCGCCAACTCCTTGGTCACCTTTTTCGCCCGAAACTCCTTTAATTCCTTGAGATCCTGGCTGACCTGGTGCACCAGGGAATCCTGGTGGTCCTGAAGGACCCATCGGACCTTTCTCGCCGGGCAACCCACGTTCACCTCGTGCTCCTGTTTGTCCTGGTTCTCCTTTCTGACCAGTTTCACCTGTACTTCCAGATGGACCCATCGGTCCGGGTATTCCAGGCTCACCAGTTTTACCCGGAGAACCTTCTGGTCCTGTTAGACCAATATCACCTCGTTCACCTTTACTTCCAGGATGTCCAGTTTCGCCTCGAGATCCTGGTAAACCAGGAATGCCAGGAGGTCCTTTATGACCTCGATCCCCTTTAGGTCCAGGTAAACCTGGCGAACCATCAGACCCTGGAGTTCCCGAGTCCCCTTTGATACCTTGTAAGCCAATCGGTCCTGGAGGACCGCGTTCACCGGGAAAACCTCGATCACCTCGAGCTCCACGTTCACCAGGAGCACCAACTATGCCAGGTTGGCCTATTTCACCATCTTTTCCAGGCAGCCCCTGAATTCCTGGTGGCCCTCTGAACCCAGGTGGACCAGGAGGTCCTGAAGCCCCTTTCTCACCAACAGGTCCAGTTTGTCCAGGTTGACCAGTCAATCCAATCGGTCCAGGCAATCCTTGATCACCCTTAAGTCCAGGTTGACCAACTAATCCTTGTTTCCCAGGTTCACCATGATCTCCTTTCAAACCAGGCATTCCAATTAATCCAGGTTGACCCTGTTGACCTGGATGTCCTGGCTCCCCAGGTCGACCATCATCTCCTGGTTTACCTCTTTCGCCTGGAATACCATCTTGACCAGGAGGACCGGGTTTTCCACTAGGACCTCGAAGTCCCATTGGTCCTTGTGGTCCCGGACTTCCAGGCTCACCAACTGACCCTTTTAGTCCTGTAAGGCCCATTGGTCCAGGCGAACCTCGATCTCCTTTTAGACCAGCCGGTCCTTCGGGTCCAACAGGACCTGTAAGACCGATAAGGCCACGCTCTCCTTGACTACCTGCTAAACCTGGTGATCCAGGCAGCCCTGGTTTACCCCTTCGACCGTGGTTACCTTGGGGTCCAGGAGGTCCTCGTGGTCCTTCAGTACCAGGTTCGCCTTTTCTTCCGACATCACCTTTCAGTCCAGGTTCACCCGGTGATCCTGCCTGTCCTTTTGGTCCAATCGGTCCTGAAGGACCTTCAACTCCTGGTGGACCCCGTGCACCAGGAAAGCCAGGCTGGCCATTACGACCAGATTCTCCTTGAGTTCCCTTTTCACCTTGAACTCCTCTAATTCCCTGAGCTCCAGGAATTCCCGGCTCTCCAGGTTTGCCAGATTCTCCTTTTGGACCGAAATCTCCTCTATCGCCTTTCTGTCCAGTTTGACCGCTATCACCTTTTATACCAGGAGGCCCTGGAAATCCTGGTGGTCCAGCTCTACCTGGTGGACCAACAGGGCCCGGTGGACCTGGTAAACCATCGATTCCTCTCATTCCTGGAAGACCTGAGTTACCATCACGTCCTCGATCACCTTTTGGGCCAACACTGCCAATTGGTCCAGGTTCGCCGGGCTTGCCTGGAATGCCTCTTTCTCCAGGAATGCCTGGTTGACCTTTGACTCCGTCAACCCCAGGATAACCTCTGTGTCCTTTTGGACCAGGAATTCCTGGTATTCCTGGTGTTCCTCTTGGCCCAACTGCTCCTGGTGGTCCAGGATTTCCAGGCTTACCATCGAGACCAATTTCCCCATCACGTCCATTAGCACCGGGTAGACCACGTTCGCCTTGAATACCAGGCGATCCTGGTGGACCAGGTTCACCAGGTTCACCTCTAGGACCAGGAAATCCTTGTGGACCCGGTGGTCCCATTGGTCCTGCAGGGCCGCGAGGACCAGTCGGTCCCTTAAAAAGTTAAGAACAAAAATAAAATGCATATTAACGAACTAAATAACTGTAAACTTTAACATCAAACGTTATTTCATGACTTTAAATTTAAACCCGTTAGATGGCATTACATACCATTAAAACTCCATTTTCATTGTATTGTTGTATTGATACAAATCATTCAATAATTAATACAAACGACACAAAGGCAATGATCGTAAAATTAGACAAATCTATCATATCCAATCTTGGATCATAGCATAAAGTGAATCTTTGATAATTTAATTGCAATATGTGTTTATAGCGAATGAATAAAAAATAAAGCGATGAGCTTCAATAAATGGTCAGCATATTTCTGGCAAAAAAACAAATTATTCATTTAAAATTTTCAATTTGATTCCTGAAATGTTCTTGTAATTTACTTTGCAATTAAACAAAACATTCTCTGGTTATTGCTGATTGCTATCAAAGATTCACCACCAAAAACTAACAAAATACATTCTAAAAATGTGTTCAATCCATGAAAATTTCCAAATGAAGCATTTTAATCAGCAACAACAAGCAAGAATAAATTTGCATGAAAAGACTGACTTACGAAAACAAAGCGAAAAGTGAGCAACACTTGAAATAAATGTGCCAATGTTAATCAGTTAAAAGCAAAATTATGCAAATGAAGCAAACCGAAATGATGAAATTGTTTAATTATCGGAGTTAATAGCATTAATAATCAACTACAATGAGCACAACTAAACGTTGTCAAATTGAAAAACAAAGCAAAACCAAAACTGAACTTGAAAATTGTTAAATAAAAGATTTACTTTGCGTTTTCTAGGTTTATGGGTTTAAACGAACACTCAATGGTTTAATGATTTAATCAAGTGAAACGGCTGTTAATTGTTAGGGTTAAATACGAGTGAGAGCGAAGCTCAAACTATTAATAACAACATAAAGAGTTGAGGCCAAAATTTGGTGCTCTTGAATGGAATAGCAAAATGAGTGAAAAAAAAGTTAAATCACGAAATATGTTAACTACAAACACGTTTTGAATCACATTGTTGTCCAATATTAAAAGTCAACTTAATTGTCCAGTTTTACCTCTCACAAGATGATCACTAATAAACAGCATTACCATCAACATCCTCATCAACCTAATCATCAACAATAAATTATGCTGATGAAGATGATGAGGATGAATCAAATTGTTTTCAGTGTTTCGGAAACGGAATCGTGATTCTCTTTCCCTGCTGCTTTATTACCAACTGCAATCAAGATGAAACATGATGAATTTTGGTCCATTATTTAGCTTACTTTCATCAAATTGTCTTGAAACTATTTTTTAATATTAACTTGTATTAATTAAAATTTTGCTTTTTGCGTTTTGTTCCTAATTAAAGGTGAAATTGTGATTACTCTCAGAATTGCTTTCCCTTGCAATTTAACATCAATTTGTGGGTTGAAATTCAATTTTACATTCTCCCTTTGCCCATTCCATTCTAATGTTTTCTTCTTCATTAATTGTTAATCAGTTAATTGTCTTACAATTTGAGGTTGAATATAATTAAATGGTTCAATGGAAGGTCCTTTCTCATTGTTTCCGGTTCCTTGTGAAGCAGCAACTGATTGGAACCAAGCTGTTAACTGGAAATAAAATGATAGGAAAATTATTAAAATTTGGTGACAATGTTAACTGTTGAATTGAAATGACAATTAAACATCTTATTCAAGGTTAATTGCGATGAAAAATATTAATTTTTATTCAAATCATTTGATTGCTTGATTCATGACCTTTGTTTTTATCATTAAATCTCATTCATCAATTTATTGTTAATTGTTGTTGAAATAATAATTTCATTTTGAAACAAGTTGAACCAAAATAAGTGTTTAATAATAATTCGATTAATGATACAAAATGATCGTTAATCGCAAATCATCTGAACCGGTTCAACTAATAATTGAAATTAGTGTCTAATCCTTCAAATTATCTTAATCAACTTTAATCCTATTTTATTTCTTGTTAAATGTCAATTGCATTAGTTTTGGGTTTCGGATTTTGGTTGTTATCAGTTTAATGTTTATCTGACTTTTCAATGTTAATACAATGTTTGTATTTTAAATGATTAACTGATCAAGTTACAATATAATATCAGCATTTTTATATCAAGTTACTTTAATGATTAGAATCACGATGTTCCCATTGAAATGAATGAGTTGAAACAAGTTTTAAGGTGAAAGTTTACATCAATCAATAGATTGTAAAAGTTGATTCTCAATCTAACAAGACTAGTCTTGCAATCAATCATCGTTAACTTTATTTCAAATTGATTCAAAAGGGAAACAATTAAAGGTTAATTTTCAATTTTTATTTTCCATATTTTTCTCATTCCAATTCAATTTTTCTCATGTTTGCTCAAGTTGATGAATCAAGTTGGTTTGTGAAAATCAATGTTAAACTTGTGTTAAATCCCATTCATTGAGATGCTCAAGATTGCTGAAGCTGAATGAATTATGATTGAGAAAGTTGATTGTTAATTAATTTCAATGATCACCATAAATGGTTAAACAACATTTTTTATTGTTTCAAATTTGAATGATCGTGACTTTTGTTGGGTCGCAATTTAGGTTAGCTTTTTGATAGTTATTTTGATTGTTTAACCTTGACATTGCCCCAAGTGATGGGAATCGTAATTCAATTAAACAAGATCAATTAGATTAATTAAATTAAGGTTTCAATGGCGATATTTAGCTTTGTTTTTGACAAAAAGACAAATGAAAACCTACTTTTGGGATAAATTTTTGTTTATTTAAACAGATTAGAGACATTTTTCATGATTAGATGAGCTTTTCATAATTGGAGTGACAAATTTTTATCATTTAAATGTGTATCAACTGACCAACCATCATTGATATACACTTATTTACATTTAATGATCTGTTTAGTGATGCCTTTAAAATTAAGTAAATGATCCTTAACATGATGTTTCTTTGCTTTATTGTTAACCTTCAATTGTAATTCAATCTAAGTGGCCTTAATCCGATCTAAAACTGTAACTAGATGACCATTAATTAAGAGACAGGATATATTTAGTTAGGTTACCCAGTCTAGAAAGGTAAAGTTGGAAGCATTTGAATTTGGTCGACAATCAGATTGATTGTAAGACAGGGTAAAGTGATTAGGAATGTGAGTTTATGGGAAAATGGAAAAGGTCAGGTTAAAGGTTAGGTTAATTGTTGACCACAAAGAATTATAATAGCATTTAAGGTTTGAGAAAAAAAAGTTGACGGTCAATGAATCAAGGGCAAACTGGAATACAAGAGAAACAGTGAAAAATGAATAATAACTTACATCACCAGGAGGTGAAGATTCAGATTGACTGGAATTTGGTGTTGATATATGGATTCCGGGTTCCAATATTTTAGCCTATTAACATGATAAACAGGAGAGAAGAAGAATAAAATTAGAGAACAAAAAACAAACAGAAAATGGATTGAAATTGAAACAAAATTGAATTCAATTTGATGTTAACATTTCATTCGCTTCAAGATTCAACTCAAACATTCAACTTCAAAATTTTAATGTTTGCTTGAAACAAAACCATTGAGATTTAACCGAAAGATTCATTTCTTTTTGCTTCATTCAAATTGGAATCATTTTCAAGCTAGTCAATCATGAAATGCTTGTGAAATAGCGATTCAAACTGATGGACTTGATATGATTCTTGAAACCAAATCAAGCCAATTATGTTTATATACAAGAAGCTCAAATGATAGGAATCATCCTTTTAGTGATAAAAATGAAGGCCACTTAATGCGCTTATTTTCAACTAGAGTTGATGATTGATCAGTTGATTTCAATGGCGTTTTTCGGCTTTTACTTTGAGGTTTGGTCAACGGGAGACAAAAAGACATAGTAAATTGATTTTAAGATGCTAAGAGAATGACCTTTCTAACTTGGATATGATTACTATTCAATGGTTTGTTCCTCTTTCTTCTTCTTCCTTGTTTCAATTTGAGTTTTTTTCCTGGTTGTGCGATTGACCATTCATGAAAAGAACAATTGACTTACTTGATTCAATTGATTAACTGGTGATAAACTTTCAAGATCGCCTCTAAGTTCCGTTGAAATCTGGAGAAGAATAAAAAGATTGAAAAGAAGAACGAGAAAATAAAAATTATTATCACTGATATTAGTATATAAAGGGTTGAACTTTAATTCAATCAAATAGATCATAAAGTTATCATTTAATTTAGAGTAAAATAAACACTTTCGATTGACCAGTTTTGAAATGTGATGATCAAGATGACGGACATGATATAAGGTTATATCAAGTTGATGAGATCAATCATCTGAATCTACATTGTTATCTGAAGGGTTTTACTGGTTTAACAAGTTTCTCATGTAATCGTTTACACCTAATCCATCTAATCCATCTCTGGGAGACTTTTCTGATATCTCAGTAAATGGACTTTACTCATTAACATTTGCTCAGGAAATGATAAGATATTTGCAAAGGCGTATCTTAAAGGCATGAGAAAATTAGACTGAACATAAATAGAGATTGAAATTTGCAACTTGATCAAAACACAAATCAGGCAAAGTGAGCAATCACATTTCACTTAATTAAATAATTTCCACTGAAAAGATTGATTTGAAGCCAGTTTCTGAATTAGATTCGAAAAAAGACAATTTTAAACAATGTTTACTCTTATATCTCTTGAGATTGGTGGAAAAATGGAGGTAACATTTTGTTTATTGGCGGATCTGGATGTCTGAATGGCTTCACTTTGATCAGATGAACTTTCCCATGTAACCTGATAGCAAAAGGTTGAACCAGATTAGTTGATTAAAATCGAAGTTGTGTATTAAATGAAGTAACTTACAGTAGATGTTGACTTAACGGTAGTCGTTGTTGCAGTTGTAGTTGTAATAGGTGTTGTTGGTGGTGAAGTGACTTTAAATGGTGCATCTGTTGTGGACATGATTGTCGTGGTTGTTGATGAAATTGTTGAAGATGAAGGCTGATTGGCAGAAGTGTCTTCTGTTTCATCCAGCTCATCAACATTCTCACCATAATAGTCTGTCTCGGTAGCCGGATTTGAAGTTGATTCAGGTTGATTCCAAGTTGATGAGAAATTAGAAATGGTTGCACTTTCCGGAACACAAATCGGGCAACATAAACCTTCGGGTGTTTTCAATGTTCCCAAACAATTTAAAGGTGGACAATCAATTTTAACACAATCAACTTTGCCTTGGAAACAATCACACGAGGTACAGTCATCAGGATTCCATTTCTCATGATTTTCATAAATTTCTTCATTATAAACACATGAACCATCATCTTCTGTTAAATCTGTAAGCCAAAGAAAAGAAATGCAAATGTGGAAAAGTGTTAAAATTCATTAAATGACACATCAAAGAGTAGATTAAAATGAACTTCCGATGCTCTTCGATCAATTTGTTTCTCTGAGAAAATTTTAAAATTGTTCTGCTTTAGAGCTTGTTCGATAAAAATCAAGATCAGGCAAGATCAAAATAGCAAATTGACTTTTAAAATCAATATCAATCTACTGAGAGCCTAATCTATCAATTCAGAGATCGTATCAGTATAGATAAGATATTTGTGACATTCAGACTCGACGACATTTATGAGTACACTTCATCGAATAAAAACTTAAAATCTATAAAAATTTGCTTTGATTTTCACTGAAGTTTTCTTAATATAAAAATATTTACAGCAAATTATCCGAAAGCTGTTGGCCATATTGAATAAGGTTTGCTCTAACATGAGAAGAAATGGTTAAATTGACCAAATGAGGCAATAAAAAAGCTGTTATATGTAGCCTAATCAAGAGTGAATCAGGTAAAGCTTTTGTTGCCTTCGCCTGTAAAACCTTCAATGATCAATCAGATTATCTATGCTTTGTTTTTGTTTCCCTCTCAATCCTTTTATTGCCGTTTACACTGAACTTTCCAGTAAAGTTTGCATGTTGTCAAGAATTTCTGACAACATAAATCTAAAGACAAGTTAAATCCATAAGAGGTTGACCTAAAAGCCAGAATTACCTGATTGTTGAATAGCATAACGGTAAAAGAATCACTGTATGAAGAAGAAACGGGAACAATTGATATTATTTGGAGAAGGTAAAAATTCAAAGCCATTTCACATAAAAAAAGAAGGAAAAAAATACTAAATCATCAATATTGGTAGGACAATATTGACTAACCGTTGAAATGAGCTTTTATAATAAACATGATGGAATCGGATTCATTTGGAAATGATTTTTACTCTCAAATATTACTGTATATGTAAGGGTAGAGCAGGACAATCAAGGTTCTCATCTAGAATTTAATGATCACTTTTTTTATATTTTAATGCATTATTATACTAAAAGAGTCACCATTTTGAACAATGACGTTTCTAAATGTGATTTTGTTCATTCTGAGCTGTTCAGTTGAGATATTATTACAATGAGCTTTTCATTATCAACCTTTTCCACTCTTTTATTCATTGCCTTTTCTCATTGTATTATCATAATCACAATATTGTTGTTGTTTTTATTGTTATTAACGGTTATTTAGACTCATCTTCTTACCCTGGTTTACCTTCAATTTGACCAGGAAAAGTAAAGAGGAAGAAACTTGTTGCCGTTTCAACCTGGCCTTGGCCTTGTTGGTTTACATGTATAATAAAAGTAATTTGATGACAAAAGTGAAACAGCAAAAAGGCAATGAACTGATCTTGTAGAGTCAAAATTCTGGTTCGAATCACGGTAAATTTTAATGAACGAAGAATCAACTCAAACTATCAGATTGAAAGATAATTTGATTTTCAAGTTGAAAGGCAAAGACAACCTGTTTCCATGTTGAGTCAAATGTATTTTTCTTTCTTTCTTTTTCTTCTTCTATTCAGTCCTTTTTATTCAAGCAAAAGTTACATTAAGGCCAATTTCGTGTTTTGTCCAGCGGACTTTTTTTCCCTTCTGATTATCTTTAACAATGATAGGTATATTAGAGTTAGAATTATCAACAACAAATGGACATTCCATCACATTTAATGTAATTCAAGAATGGAAGTAAATAAAGAAGTGGAAGAAATGAAGAAAATTGTAAGGAAAATGGATGACCAGAGTAACAGATAACATGATCAGTAACATGATTAGTTCATCATTTCTCACTCTTTTATTTCCAGTCTACTGAGGTTAGGCAACGTAAATTCACTTTACAAACTTGTTAGATTGAAATTGAATTGAGTGGAAAAGCTTCATTGATGGATATTACTTTTTATGGACGAGAAATTGAATTGTCATTGAATCATAAATCTATCACGTAAAAGTTTTACAATGATAACTCAACTGAATTTTGACCAAAATAACGAAAAAACTCTGACAATCATCTTTCCTCAGGTAAAGATTATAAGATTTGATGGAGAAGTGACAGTGAACTGACTCATTTAAACTTCACTAATCCTTTCCCAGTCTGATCTTAATCTTAAGCTTTGTAATACACTAACCAGAGTATTGAGTAAGAGTGCAGTTTTAAATCAATTTTGTTTCTATTTCCGAATGAGATCGCTTTGTGTGTTATCTTTAGAAGTGACAAAAAAACGTGAAAAGCGCCATTCAAGGCCTTCAAATTTGTTAATCAGTTGAATTATTTGAAGCTTAAACCTTCTCCTTTTCATTACTTTTAACTTGCCCTTGGCCTTTCAATTGATATACAGCATGATGAAAAGGGCTTTCTCCGTTCATTTATCATTCTCTTTCTCTCTTTCTTTCAATTTCACCTTTATTCCCTGATTACATGATTACTCTTGCTTCTCATCAACTCATTGACTGTAGATCACTTTAGACTGTTTGTTGTTGCGCAAAGCATAAAATAGCGGCGATTCCTCAACTCACTCGTTCCTTCAAGGCTATCACGAGTAATTAATGAATAAACAGCATTTCCAGGTAACCTTGATGCTTCTTATTACCTCTTATTCATCTAAAAATCTTTGTACAACTATCTGAACCTGTATCTTATGTTGATACTCAAAACCCAAAACACCAAAATGTTTGCATACAATTTTTTATTGAAAATGAAAATAACTTATCATAAACTCAATTTTAACAGCTTATTATTTCAATATTACATTAAATGTAAATAAATATATAAATACACTAAGGTTAACGGGTCATTCCGATATCAGCACGTTATCCCGTTGCATTGTTTACCCTCGTTAGCTTCGTGCACCTATTACCATATTACATATTAATCGACCTTGACCGTGATTACAATTCATCAAATTAATTAAAGGCTCATTTGATGTTTCTATTTTCGCCCGTTTTCTCCGTCATTAACAGCTTTCTAATTGTATTCAATTTCAATCCTGAGAACGGTAAAAGTGACCCACAAACTGGGCAATACAGAGTTGAGTATCAACAGGTCGATGACATTAAATTGGATAATAATTACAACGAGAATTTGATTGAAATCTAAATTTACTTTCTCTTTGGGAAACTTTCTTTGCTTTTCATGAGAAACTCTGAAGATTAACAAACACAACGAATTTGATGGAATTGTATTTGTTTGTTAGATCATTAGTTTTTGATTGACAATACAAATCTTCGTACGAATAGCTTTGATCAAGGAACACTTTTTGATTGATTAAGTATCATTAGGAGTAAGTTTTGGTCTCTTTTAAATAATTGGTTAATTTTACTGTTGGGTGTTAACTAACTGTTATTAACTTACCATCAATTATCTCTTCCGAGGTTGATAAATCGGCTTCAGGTCGACCGGAGAGTAAGTTAATTGTTAAACAGAATAACGTAAATTGTAAATAACCACTGACAAAATGACTCTTCATGATATTATCAAGTTGATTACAAGTTAACTTATGGACCAAATCAGGTCAATTGGTGTTGCTTTTATTCATTAACCAAAATCAAATTTCAAGACTCGTGGTTAAATGGTTAAACATTAACATCTTAATCATTGATATATTTGTGTTGAGACCTTTTTTTTAACATTTAAGTTAATAATTATGCAAAGCAATGAGATGAGAAGTGAAAAAAATTCATGTTGAGTGAAAGAAACAAAATATTTTTTGTTGATTCTAATGTCTTAAACAGCTATTTGGAGGTGAAAATCAATCAGGAAGTTAATGGTTTAGTGATCAGTTTATTTCGTTTCCATTTGGGATTCTTGAATTTCTCTCTTTTTGTCATTCGGATAGAAACTTGATAGCCCAGAATACCAACTAGAAGAGAGTAATCCATTATTTTAAAGCTTTCTAGAACTCGACAATCTCTGTTAATGGTTTTCATAAGCGCACTATAAGTTTCCGCTTCCAAATATAATCCTTCTGGATGATGATCCAAAAAATCTAGATCTTTGAAAGTTGGTGATCCTTTTCTTTTTTCGGATTTGTTAGCTTTTCTTTTAAATGTTGAGCCCTTCAAATCATACTTTTGATGCAATTTAATAAATGATGGTAGTAAATTGTTCATTACACACACTCTAACATTTTTGCCCCTACAAATATAACAATAAAGACCAAAAAATTTCGGCAATAAAGTTCGAGGATTTTGATTAAGATTCTGAAAGAGAAGAAATAAAAGTTATCAATATCATCCACCACCCAGCACCTCTTGGAAATAAAGGTGAACTTACCATATAATAACCAGGGAGAAGTGTTTGAAGAAACTCAGCTTCTTTATGTTGAACTGTTTTGATAATAAATTCATCGTCAGCTGTTATGTAAAAGACACTTCCAGAAGCACCGGGATTTGAGAGCTCTCTCATAGGTTCATTACAAACAGAGAGAAGGAAATCTTCGGGTGCAATACCAAAGAGATCGCGAAAATAACGGAATGCCACTGGAGCATAGGCTTTAAATTTGAAGTCAGTAAAATGATGAGCTGGTGTAATATTACTTCCTGATGCTGGGAATGACGTTGTCTCGACCATAGCAAAATCTTGCATTAATAAGTCCCTCTCGGGTTTCGAAGCAATACTACCAACGGCATAACCAATACCTAACTGTATTGAACCACAAATTTGACTTGTTTCAATTTTTTTGTAAGTCACTTGTCCTGTCTCATCAACACGTCGGTGACCAATTTTCCTTTCTTGAAAGGTCCTTCTACGATCAAGGGTGGGAAATGTTTGATTTTGAGGAGTCTTAGGTCCATTGATGGCTCCTGTTGCCTGTTCATCAGAAACCTTTTAACAAATTTGAAAAAGAAAATAAAAGTATAAACACATCATCTATAGCCAGTTTGTAAAGGCAAAACGGATACTTACCATTTATCACTTACCTAACTGTATTGAACCACAAATTTGACTTGTCTCAATTTTTTTGTAGGTATTCTTCCTTTTAGACGGTGAATGCCACCATCTATTGACAATAACAGAGAGACAGAGAGGTAAAGAAAGGATTTACCCTGAGGGGTTAAAGTACAAGAAATAGAGAAAGAAGGAGAAGAGGAAAAGTTACCAGATTAGTGATGATAGAGAGAAAGAGAGATTGAGGACTTCTCCCTCAACTCATCTTCCTTTCTCATTCGGTTTTAGTCAATCCTTACCTGTTTTGGACCTTTTGTAAAAGTTTTAAGAAACAACAAACCAACAGCAATGAAACTATTTTTTTCAAATTGTTATTTAACAATTCTTTTGGCAGCCCTGTTACCCATCATTCGTGGTGCTGTGAGACCGATTTACAACATTGCTCACATGGTTAACTCCATCAAAGAGATTGATCTTTATTTGAAACGCGGTGCCAATGCAATCGAGGCGGATGTTTCTTTTTCGCTAAACGGAACAGCACTTTACACTTTTCATGGATATCCTTGTGATTGTTTCCGACACTGCACTGAACGAGAAGATATTGAAACCTATCTAGCTCACGTCCGAGATATAACAAAACCAGGTAAGTAAAATATTTTAAATTTAATTTTGGAGAGATGAAGTGAGTTTTAATGAAGGTTGAAAAGTATTTTACGTTTCTTAAAATACCTAACGATAATAATCTCATGTGATTAATTTTTGTGTTTTTGTTAATCAGACAATCCAAATTACAAAAAACAATTGGTGCTTCTTTTTCTCGACCTCAAGATTTCCTCCTTACCTGCTTCTGTCAAGGCCAACGCTGGAAGCGATTTAGCCCGGAAAGTGGTGCCAAGTTTATTTGAATATGGAAAAACAACATCACAAATAAAGCTTCTATTGTCCATTGGGCATGTTTTTGATTATGATTTTGTCCTGGGATTCCAAAATGAATTGGAAAGCAGTAAAATGGACCATCTAAATGATAAAATCGGTTGGGATGTTGGTATGAACGACAAGATTTCTGATGTAATTGCAATGTGGCAACGGATTGAGATTGTTGAAAATATTTGGCTTGGAGATGGTTGCTCAAACTGCATTTCTCCTTTTTATAATCTCGGGAGGTTGAATGAAGTTGTATCTCAAAGAGATTTGAGGAGCGGTATGGTTCCAGATCCAGTGATTGATAAAGTTTATCATTGGACAATTGATTTTCATAATAATATGAGATCTTCTCTCAAGTAAGCACACTCTAATTTCACACTTTTTTGAAAACAAAATTTTTATTTCTTCTTTTCTTTCTTTTATCCTTGCTAGATTTGGTGTTGATGGAATCATAACCAATCATCCAGAGAGGCTTTCTGCAATAATTAAAGAACCCAACTACAGATTTAAATATAGATTAGCCACAAAAGAAGACGATCCATGGGAAAGAATCCAATCAGATCCGGAAGAGAAACCAGCTCCAAGTGCCAATGAACTGCAACCAGTCAGTTTGCGAGTAGTAACAAGCGCTTCAGATATGTTTATATCATTTACAAAATATTTAAGAGATTTTGTTTTCCTTCGGTTACCTATTTATCACAATGCATCAGTAAGAGCAATAAAATAAATTATATTATTACCCTATTACTTATTACCCCTATTACTTGCCATTTCTTCGTCAGTGAAAGCAACTCCACCTGAGTCAGTTGATTCTGTCAAGGATGGTGTTCCTTCAGTGTTGGTCGGTGTTCCACAACTATCGACTAAATCAGAAAATAACCTATGAATGATAAACAAATTAAAATAGTAAAACTTGAAGAAAATGAACGTGTTTGAAGGGATTAGAGGTACACATACCTGGTGGGTGCTTCATACTTTTCAATGGTAATAATATTTTGTCTATTAGCAGCTTTTTTAATTACCGCGGCCCTCAAACTTGGAGATGTTTCGTGGGGTGATTTGTGTCGGGAAGAGTTAGTTGGTGACGATGTGGTTGACGCTGGTGATGATGAGCTTTCGGTGATGAGTGCAGTTGTGGAATTGGCTGTAGCTGTGAGGGAGGAGGAAGCGGCAGCAGCTTCGGCAGTGGCAGCAGAAACAATGGGATTTGTCAGCATGAATCGTGCACTTTGATGTTGTGATATTATAGCAGGAGCTTTAATGGTTGGCTTTGAACCTGATGTCGTTGTGCCTGATGAACAGAGATCAATAGATTGACGATGATTATATAACTTAGTAAAACATTAAATTGGATATATTGAGATTTATTGAGATTTTCCCTGATAACTAATCATTATATTCCATCTTGAGAAAGGAAACAAATGCAAATGAAGGGTAAAATATCACAGACTAGTAATAAACATAACCGTACTAGGAACGTCTTTAGATGATGATTCAATGGAGGATACTTGGCTAATTGGTTTGTTAATCTCAGCTTGTTCTGATGTGAGTGATTTTTGGAATCTTTGAAAGGTATTCTTCCTTTTAGACGGTGAATGCTTGAGAGCTAGAGATGAAAAAAATGAGGAGGGGAAAAGGGAAAGACAAAGAAGACGAACGAAGAACATTAGTACATTTGAATGAGTGAAGGAAACGATAAAAGGTAATTTGACAATAGACATGAACAAAATATAAAAATAGATTGAATAAATGATGATGAAAAATAAAATAGTAAATAGATTTGAAAACACGCATTTAGGGTGAAAATTAAATGAAGAAAATGATGATTAAGAAAATCAAGAGGATCGAAAGAAAAAAGTCAACCAAAATTAAGCAAGTGATTTGTAAATATAATTAAAATTCTAAGTGTGGTAAACAGGATCATGATGGGGTTATCATGATATCTCTCATACCCATATAGCTAGACACCAAGGTACGAAATTTTCGATGAGGCCCTTTGATTTCTGGTAAATCCACTTTTGAGTTAAGGTTAGTTACGACACGAATAGACAAAGATACAGAGGTGAGGAGAGTCTACGATTTACGGAGATTTACGAATTTATGTTCAAATTTTATCATCATTTAGCGATTTTACTCAATCCTCTGTCATGCTTACGATCTGAACAAAATTTTATGAGCATTTAATCTCATTTTATAAGGCTTACATTTGGAGGTTTAGTTTAGATAGTAACTGTTATCAAGATTAGCTGTTTTCAAGGCATGTTTCAATGTCAAAGTTGTTGCCCTTTTGTTTTCAATGTTTTGCCCACTTAAAAGCTTAAAGATCGGTCAGGCCGGAAAATACCACTCGCTACCTAACCTTACCGATAAACTTAATCAAGAATCAACTGTGTTTTGAATTGTATGTTGATCTAAATAAATATTCAAATCATAAATCAAAATTGAGTAAAATGTTTTTTGTTCTTGCTTCTTACTCAAGACAACAAAACACAAACATGTAACTCACGGTGAGAAAGTAAAGAAAAGTAAGAAAAAATGAACTTCTCTGAATTTTGCTGTTAACAATTGTTGACTTGAAAAGGTAAGGATCCACCCCTGAGCGGTTAAATTGCAAGAAGAGAGAGAAAGAAGGAGAAAGAGGAAAAGTTACCTTTAGGTTATTAGATGCTAAGAGGGTAAAGAATAGCAGTTTGCAAAGATTAAGGTGATGTTTCGTTGATTACAAACAACAACATGATGCTGTTGTTGGTGGTGGTGATGATCATCATCATCATGATAATGATAATGTTGAATAAGAGAGAGAAAGAAAGATAGAGGAAATAGGCGGAACTTGTTACTTTTTTTCTTCTCCCTCAATTCATCTTCCTTTCTCATCGGGATTGTCTGAATTTTTTCCGTCTCTACCTGTTTTTATCTTGGATCTTTTTAAAAAAGCTCAGATGAAATTTTGATTTGTTTAAGGAAACAACAAACCTTCAAATGAAAGCATCAAAAAACCTGCAACTTTAGTCAATACTTGAACTTGAAAATTCATTTCATCATTTTTTGTGAAACTTTTAACCACCAATTGTTATGACAACAAATTATTTTTTAAACTTTTGCCCAGTGCTTTTAATCATCTTAGCAGCCCTGTTACCCGTGATTCATGGGGCTGTGAACAGTGAAAGACCTCTTTACAACATTGCTCATATGGTTAACTCAATCAAAGAGATTGATACTTATTTAAGTCGCGGTGCCAATGCCATTGAAGCGGATGTTTCTTTTTCACTCAACGGAACAGCGTTGTACACTTTCCATGGATATCCATGTGATTGTTTTCGTCATTGTACTGAGCGAGAAGATATTGAAACCTATCTCGCTCACGTCCGTGAAATAACAAAACCAGGTAAATCAATTATTTTAAATTTAATTTTCTTTTTAGTCACACCTAAAAAATTTCAATTCAGTAAAGACTACAAATTTTGCAAATTTCAATAAATCTAATTTATCCAATAATCAAGTCAATTTTGGAGAGATGAAGTGAGTTTTAATGATGGATGTTGACAAGTATTTTACGTTTTTTACAATACCTTGATTCCCATGGTTGACAATGTTGCTAATAATATTCTCATGTGTTTACTTGTTGTGTTTTTGTTCATCAGAGAATCCAAATTACAAAAAACAATTGGCTCTACTGTTTCTTGACCTCAAAATTTCATCATTACCTGCCTCTGTCAAGGCCAACGCTGGAAGTGATTTAGCTCAAAAAGTGGTTTCAAATCTATTTGAATTTGGAAAAACAACATCTAAAATTAAGCTTCTCTTGTCCATTGGTCATGTTTATGATTATGATTTTGTGCTTGGATTTCAAAATGAATTGGAAAGCAGTGAAATGGACCATTTAAATAGTAAAATCGGTTGGGATGTTGGTATGAACGATAAAGTTTCAGATGTAATTGCAATGTGGCAACGGATTGAGATTGTTAAAAATATTTGGCTTGGAGATGGTTGCTCAAACTGCATTTCACCGTTTTACAATCTTGGGAGGTTGAATGAAGTTGTATCTAAAAGAGATTTGAGGAGCGGTATGGTTCCAGATCCAGTGATTGACAAAGTTTATCATTGGACAATTGATTTTCATCATAATCTCAGAGCTTCTCTCAAGTAAGCTTAATAATTGAACACTTTTTGAAACCGAATTTTTTTATCTCTTTCTATTTTTGATATTAATTTTCAACATTGTTTCGTTTTATTCTGCTTCTCCTTATTCCTTTGCTTCTCGATTTGATAGATTTGGTGTTGATGGGATTATAACCAATCATCCAGAGAGGCTTTACACAATAATTAAAGAACCCAACTTCAGATTTAAATACAGATTAGCCACACAAGAAGACGATCCATGGGAAAGACTTCAATCAGATCCTGAAGAGAAACCAGCTCCAAGTGCCAATGACATGCAACCAGTCAGTTTAAGAGTAGTAACAAGCGCTGCAGATATGTTGACATCATTTACCAAATATTTAAGAGATTTTGTTTTCCTCCGTTTACCTATTTATCATAATTCATCAGTAAGAACAATAAAATAAATTATAAATGAAATAAGCATCGACTTTCAAAATGTTTCATATTTCAGTAAATACATTTTTAACCAGCTCTTTGATTCGATTTACATAATTCCAAGTTTAAAAATTTTTTCAAATAGATAAATCAAAATTTCGACACTTGGACCAACCTATTACTTGCCATTTCTTCGTCAGCGAAAGCATCTCCACCTGAATCAGTTGAGTGAGTTGATGTATGAGACCTTCTGCTAATACTACGGAGTGGAGTTGTGGGCATTACTGGATTCACAAATGAGTAAAAATTTGTTGTGGTTTTTAGGGCGAAAAGAAAAAAGAAAAAAATATTGATTAGTTTCAAATAACATCATTCAAAAATTGACAATAAATTCATATTGAATGTACCAATATCACTGCTTTCACTTGATTCTGTCAAGGATGGTGTTCCTTCAGTGTTGGTTGGTGTGCTTCGTTCCACACTCAATGGTGGTGTCCATGTCAGAGTCCGTGAGGTTGACCCAATGCCAGAGGTGACACTGCTATTACTATCGGTTTGTAAATTAATTGATGTAACGCTGAAAGAATGAAAAGAAAAAAGAATTGATTTACAACTGTTAACAAAATCAGAAAATAACCTGTAAATGATGAATTAAATTAAAACAGTATCTGAAAAAGTGTTCATTGTTCATGATAGAGAAGAAACCAGATCATGGTATTTTTGTGTTATGTCTGATAATTGGGATCAATGATTATTGACGGCAGAGCTTTTTATCTTGCAAGTGATTTTATAACAATCAGATGTTTTTTCAACCAATTCAGAAAAAATATAGAAGAATGTTATGATTAAAATTAAATTGAATGAAGTGTGAAAACCTGTGTTATCTAAAATTTATTCAGTCAATTGAAATTATTTAGTGTTAAAACCTTTCGAACTAGAGACGGCAAATGATTTGAACAAAATTTGTTAAATAAACTAGTTCTTTTATATAAAACTCTTAGAAGTATACTGAGCTTTAGCCGTAACGATTTAGCTTTTCTGGATTCATAACATAATGAAGAACAATGAAAGCGTTTGAAGAGGTTAGAGGCACACATACCTGGTGGGTGCTTCACCCTTTTCAACGATACTAATACTTTGTCTAGTAGCAGCTTGTTTAATTACCACGGTCCTCAAACTTGGAGATGATTCGATGGGTAATTTGTGTCGGGAAGAGTTAGTTGGTGACGATGTGGTTGACGCTGGTGATGATGAGCTTTCGGTGATACTTGCAGTGGTAGCAGTGGAACTGGCTGTAGCTGTGAGGGAGGAGGAAGCAGCAGCGGCAGCAGCTTCGGCAGCGGCAGCAGAAACACTTGAAACAATGGGATTTGTCAGCATGAATCGTGCACTTTGCTGTTGTGATATTATAGCAGGAGCTTGAATGGTTGGCTTTGAACCTGGTGTCGTTGTGCCTGATGAACAGAGATCAATACATTGACGATAATTATATCACTTTCGAGCAAAACATTAAATTAGATAATTTTTTGATTGAGATTTTCCCTGATAGATAGCTAATTATTATATTGCATCTTGAGAAAGGAAACAAATGCAAATTAAAGGTAAAATATCACAGACTAGTTATAAACATAACCGTACTAGGAACGTCTTTAGATGATGATTCAATGGAGGATACTTGGCTAATTGGTTTGTTAATCTCAGCTTGTTCTGATGTGGATGATTTTTGGAATCTTTGGAAGGTATTCTTCCTTTTAGACGGTGAATGCTTGAGAGCTACAAAGATGAAAAAAGACATGAGGAGGGGAAAAGGGAAAGACAAAGAAGACAGACGAAGAACATGATTAGACGATCATTTGATATTAACAATTAGTACATTTGAATGAGTAAAGAAAACGATAAAAGGTAATTTGACAATAGACATGAACAAAATATGAAAAATAGATTATGATGATAAAATAAAATAGTAAATAGATTTGAAAACACGCATTTAGGGTGAAAATTAAATGAAGAAAATGATGATTAAGAGAATCAAAAGAATCGAACGAAAAAAGTCAACCAAAATCAAGCAAGTGATTTGTAAATATAATTAAAATTCTAAGTGTGGTAAACATGATCATGATGTGGTTATCATGATATCTCTCATACCCATATAGCTAGACACCAAGGTACGAAATTTTCGATGAGGCCCTTTGATTTCTGGTAAATCCACTTTTGAGTTAAGGTTAGTTACGACACGAATAGACAAAGATACAGAGGTGAGGAGAGTCAATTTACGAATCTTACACCCTAATACTTAAACCCGTGTTGTGACTATAATACTTACGTGATGGTATCTTTTTAAACACTTTATCAGCACAGAAATCTTGAAATCTTCGAGCATAGAAATTTGGTCGATGGACAGATATTGTATCCTGTAAAAGAGGAAAGACAGAGACGAGAATTACATCGATTAGCATTTATAATATAATATAATTTTTATATGCTTACCCCATCGGTTATTATAGACTTGACAGTGTGTTCTAATCTCTTTTTTAATCTATAACTTTGAAGAATATCGATAATACCCATGAAGAGGAGTAATCTTTCTCCTTTGTTGTTCCTAGCTGGTATACCACCAGCCCTGTTTGAAGAGAAATATAAAGAGAGATAAAAAGATAAAATGATTAATCATAAATTAACAAATTAAATGTAATGGTTGAAATACTCTGGTGAGTAAAAAGAAGAAAATATGAAATAATATAATACCGGCTGATGGCCAATTGCTTCCTACTGCGGTTCCGGTAATCGGCTCAGTTTCAGCTTGAATTGATTCCATAGCAGTTGAGTAAGCTGCAAGTCTCTGACGATTTATGGATTTACTTCTAGCGAGGTTGGATGCTTTACCATCCCCATTAGAACCACCAATTGGTTTAAAATCACCTAATTTATCTTCATTTTCGCTAAGATCATCACTACCAGCGGTATTCATATCACTTATACCTCGTCCACGGGCCGCTGCAGCAGCTTCTGCGGCAACTGAAGCCATCTTGTCACGGATTCGCTCTTTATTTTCTCTATTGGCTTGATCTAAATTGTGAATACCAACTAGAAGGGAGTAATCCATTATTTTAAAGCTTTCTAGAACTCGACAATCTCTGTTAATGGTTTTCATAAGCGCACTATAAGTTTCCGCTTCCAAATATAATCCTTCTGGATGATGATCCAAAAAATCTAGATCTTTGAAAGTTGGTGATCCTTTTCTTTTTTCGGATTTGTTAGCTTTTCTTTTAAATGTTGAGCCCTTCAAATCATACTTTTGATGCAATTTAATAAATGATGGTAGTAAATTGTTCATTACACACACTCTAACATTTTTGCCCCTACAAATATAACAATAAAGACCAAAAAATTTCGGCAATAAAGTTCGAGGATTTTGATTAAGATTCTGAAAGAGAAGAAATAAAAGTTATCAATATCATCCACCACCCAGCACCTCTTGGAAATAAAGGTGAACTTACCATATAATAACCAGGGAGAAGTGTTTGAAGAAACTCAGCTTCTTTATGTTGAACTGTTTTGATAATAAATTCATCGTCAGCTGTTATGTAAAAGACACTTCCAGAAGCACCGGGATTTGAGAGCTCTCTCATAGGTTCATTACAAACAGAGAGAAGGAAATCTTCGGGTGCAATACCAAAGAGATCGCGAAAATAACGGAATGCCACTGGAGCATAGGCTTTAAATTTGAAGTCAGTAAAATGATGAGCTGGTGTAATATTACTTCCTGATGCTGGGAATGACGTTGTCTCGACCATAGCAAAATCTTGCATTAATAAGTCCCTCTCGGGTTTCGAAGCAATACTACCAACGGCATAACCAATACCTAACTGTATTGAACCACAAATTTGACTTGTTTCAATTTTTTTGTAAGTCACTTGTCCTGTCTCATCAACACGTCGGTGACCAATTTTCCTTTCTTGAAAGGTCCTTCTACGATCAAGGGTGGGAAATGTTTGATTTTGAGGAGTCTTAGGTCCATTGATGGCTCCTGTTGCCTGTTCATCAGAAACCTTTTAACAAATTTGAAAAAGAAAATAAAAGTATAAACACATCATCTATAGCCAGTTTGTAAAGGCAAAACGGATACTTACCATTTGGTCCATCGGCTGAAGCTCGATGGTTGGTGATGGTGGAGTAGGCGATGGAGGTGATTGTTGGTTGTTAGCCTATCAGGTAGCAAGAAAAATGAAAAAAATAATTAGCAAGTGAACTAATCAGGAAAATAAATAACAAAAACTCAATTTACTTACCATCAAAGAGATTGTGTATATAGACTTGACTTAACCGAGCGAAAGATAGTTAAAGCATCTACCCCTGCAAGGCGCTACTCTTTGAGCAGGAGAATGCGTGATGATTGTCACTGTCTGGCTTCCTGTGAAAGGAATCCTTTGGAGTATTAGTTTAGTTTAATGTCAAAGCTGATGTTGCTGAGTTATTCTGTGTTTTCTCACTTTATCTTCAAATGTCCAGCAATACGGAATTTGCTCCATTGTTTTGTAAAGCTATTTCGCTTCTTCATTCTACTTCAAAGTCATCTACTGACCAATTAAAAAGTCTCCTAGATGAATATCTAGCTCTTAAAACTGTAAGTCATTATCAAGATTTTTTGTTATCTAATCCTAATTTGCTTCATTTCTGTATAATAATAGGTAATTTATTTTCATCTTTTTCTCTCAGGATAAAAATGTTACAATCGATTCTATTAAGCCATCTGAGAGTAAGATTAAAGAGCCCCAAAAGAGACCGGCCAAGGTAAGTTTTTTATTATTTTTAAACGAAAACTTTCAAAATTCTATGTGATTAAATTTTTTGCTCAAACTAATCATTTTCTTTATTCTTTCTATTCGATTTTCTTTTTCAATTAATGTTGTTAAAGCCTCTTCCTGCCATAGTAAAAGCAAAGAAAAATAAATCACACTCGTCACCATCATCACGCAATCCCAGTCCTGAACCGGTAAAATTAAAAAGTTCTCCACCTCAGATTACTCCAGAAGAGCCTATATTAAAAGTAAATAAAGAAGAAGATTCAGATGCTACTGACATCGAGGATGAATCTACTGATGTCGGCGACTTCGCTCTCGAAATGGGTCTCGCTTGTATTGTATGCAAACAATTAGATTTTTCTCCTGGTAATCAACCTGTTGAGTGCTCAGAATGTCATAATTTGTACCATCAAGAGTGTCATAAACCCCCAATAACTGACAGAGATGTTAGCGATCCAAGAAATGTTTGGTATTGTGCCAAGTGTACTAAAAATATGGAAAAAGCGTCGAAAAAGAGTGCTAGAGCAAATAATAAAAGTCCTATTTTAACAAGCTCTGCATCTTTTCAATCAGCTGTGAACAGTGGCCGTGAAACGGCCTTTCAATTGATAAAGGCAAAAGCTGCTGAAAGTCACTCGTCATCAACTGTCACCAGTAATATCATGCAACCCTTTAAAAGGGTGGAGATTAAAATTCCCCAATCACCTGGCTCAAGTGGTCCTGTTAATCAAAATCCAACTACACCCACCAAACCAATTGGTTTAGCTGGTCTAGCTGCTAATCTTAGTCGCAATACATCATCCCCTTGTGTCTCATCTCCAAGCACAGTTAATAGCAATCCATCAATAACATCATCATCATCATCGTCATCCATACCTCCATTTAATTTAAATGCATCAATATCATCATCTTCATCAACCACCAACTCGACAAGTTCATCAGTCCCATCAACAACTTCTGCTAATTTATCGAAAGCTGACAAAAGAATTGCTCAGATGAAGAAGAAAGCAGCAAATAAAAAAATGCTATCAACTAGTAAATAACAAACTATGTCAAAAAAGGATTAAAGCAAATTCCAAATTATTTTCAAATTTTTTAACAATGTTATTTTTGTTTATTTTTGGCGTTCATAAACATGAAAAGTGTATTTCAAGCCGTTCTCTTCTTGAATTTCCTTAGAAACACCAAGTTCATCAATTTCTTTGAATAACTGCTCATCAAATTTTGGAAAGAATGTGTCACAGTCAAATTTAGCATCAATAATAGTTAGATAAATTTTATGGCATTCTGGAAAATTCAAAGATTCTCGATAAACTTGCTCTCCTCCGATAATGAATATGTTTTCCACTTTATCTGAGCTTGATGCGGCTTCTAAGGCTGTTTGTAAATCCTTGAATAAACCATCTAATTTATCAGGTTTATCTTTGATTGAACGACTGACAACGAAGTTAATTCTTCCTTCTAAAGGTCTATACTTCTCAGGAATCGAAAGCCAAGTATTTTTACCCATGATAACAACATTGCGTTTGGAATTATCCTGAGTTGAGCTGGTGATCCGAGTAAAATAATTCATCTCATTTTTAAGGCGCCATGGTAATTTATTATTTACACCTATACCAAAATTTTCACAAGCAGCAGCGATAACAGAGAAATTTCTTATGGCCATTTCACTAATTACGTTAAAAATTAATAAACAAAATTTACACTTTAATCTTAAAAAAATACTAGCTCAATGTCTTTATAACGAGAGGAATTTTATTTACTTTGTGTAGGAAATTGTTATTTTCTCGGCGTTGTTGGTGCCGCCCTCTGAAGATTTGCTCAGAATCGGTCTTGTTTCATGGATATCCAAAGAGTTATACTCTTTGTGGATATTCCTCAATATTAGACATTGGCCTATTATCCTTATTCCTATCTTGTTTTTATTTCTTGATAGTTCATCTAATTTTCTTTAATCATTAGTCATGACCTGGAAAAGATTTTTCCACTTTTCTCTGATTTTTGTTTATTTTACAGGCTTATTTTTAACCTCAGCCATAGTTTTCTTTGGATTCTCGGCTATAATAAGCTTTATAAACTCTCTTTGAGATTTGTTTAAACCAAAAGCATGTTTCGCTTGCCTCGCTCACTCAATGTAAACATCTTTTCTTACCTTCTAGGAATGGTAAAAAGGTGTGTGTTACCAGATACTCTACCAATTTTGTATTAAATCATTGGAATTGACTTTTATTGTCGAGATTGATAATTGCTTCAATATACTATTGGATCTTCTAATGTAAAAAAGGTGAGTACACTGATATTCATTTCAAATTATTTAAATTTTATTTCAAGCAATGCCTTCTTACCTTTATTTTTTTCGTTTCTCTTTAGTTCAATAACATTTTTTTGTAATTGTGCTCGATTAACCATTAAATTCAATGGAAAATTAATTAATACAAATCATCGATCATGCTGGTTAAGATCAAGCAAGATAGGATATGGATGGAAAACAGAAAAAATCTTGTAAACAATGTGGTTCGACAGTATTTGAGGAGATCGATGCTCTTTATTATTGTTCTGTATGTTCGACTCAAGTTACTGGGTTAACTATTGAAGTAAGTCATTTCGATGGCGCGGTCAGTACATTACGAGAGGTTCGAGATAAAACCACAAAAAGAAAAGCGGCTGATACTGGCCCACCCTGGACCACCATGGAAGCATTTAACGTTATTTTAGCTCACCAATGCTCTCAATTGGAAGATAAATTAAACCTTGGACCTCAATTCAAATGTGTTCTATTCAGTTTATGGGCTGAATATCTATCTAAATGTGAAGTCGCCTTTACTAGAAGAGAGCAATCAAAACCAAAAGTCAATATTACCTCCCATTTAAGAGATATTCAACTAATAGATCAAGGTCTCGAGAAAGTAACGAAGCCTTTAAGTTTGACTCATAAATCAAGAGAGGATTTAAAAGTTGGAAACACTAAATTGCTACGAAACATTATTATCGGGGATCTAAATCGGAGTCACTCTGGTAGTCCAAAAACTGGTGAGCCTGAAAACAATTCTCTTGTCGCTCATACTGAAAATCTTGATATTGCCGATTCACTTGATGACATTGATGAAAATTTTGAACCTGAAGAAAAGTTGAACCTAGAAATGGAAACTGATTTAAATTTCAATAATATCTCAGATGGGCCCGCTGATTTCATGTATGGTAATGATCCTATTGACTTCCATGCAAATGAAAAGAAGCCTTCTCTTGACGAACGCTCAAACTTTTCCAGCATGTTAACGATTGGTGTATCAGAGCCTGAATCCCTTTTCAAGTCAGAATCTATTGAATCTACACTAGAGGATTATAATAATGGTCTTTCATTAAAAGGTCCTCGTCAATGGAAAGCTAAATACAAAAGTAAAAAGAAGGAGATAAGAAATGTTTTAGAGACATTCGATAAGGGTGGTAATTTCCATGATTTAGTCAATGAATTAGATGCAAAATATGGAAAATCAAGCAAACTCACTAATGGAGATGCTGATAATAGCCAATCTGAAGACGATGAGGCTGGTTTTACGGAGGAAAAGCTACCTGATATGACAAAGAGAAGCTTGCTAATAAAAAAAATTGTCAACAAAGACAAAAACGGTCCAGCTATACTTCGAAACACCGACGATATAACGGTGGAACGAATGACCATTCACAAAACTCTACAATTTATTTTGTTGGCATTCAGAATCTGTAATTATAATATTCATGCAAGTGATATAATCCATTGGATTAATTTGGGTCATTTAACCTTTTTCAATGCTCCAAAGGTTCTTCCAGAAGAATGGATTCTTCTACCTGGTGGCGATGTAAACGTTTTGCACCCTCGTAAAGTTGTGAATATTGAAGCCTTAGAAAGAAATACAGTGACATTAAAGAAATTTCTCTTCATTCAAAATCTTCCTCATCCTAATTTTATTGAGATGTTGAAGAGACATATTTTTGAACTAAATCTACCCTTCCAATTGATAGATATAGTAGCAAATGTGATCGACTGGAAAGTTATAGCTAAAGCTTCTCCGCAATTCAAGATTGACGAGAAGGCTAAAATTATCCCATGTTATGATGTTTATTCTTTTTGTTCAATAGTTGTTGTTCTTAAGAAATTATTCATTCTTAATAATGAAATTGAATTTCAAATTTCTGATTTCGTCCGAGAAAATTTTCATGATTCTTTTATCTGGAAAGATTGGCTTGATCACACTCGTGTTTTATGGAAATTGATGAATCACCATTACTTGCCTATCAACCCATCGTAAGTTTAATATTGATGATAACTTAGATTATGTATGTGAATCAAACTTATCTTTTCTCACTTTCTCTTTCAGGTTGGCTCTCAATGTGTTTGATATTGAAGTTGTTCGTGTACATCGGGACAAAATATCAAATGCTATGTTCGGCATAGACTCTTCATTTGGATCGAAACGTATGTTTTGTTGACTTCTAGTTTTTAATTTTTTCACCGAAATTTGTTTTCTGTTTCCAGGTTATTTTTTAACTAAAGACTTCAAAAGCAATTTATCCAGCCTTATGGGGCAATCATTCGAAACTGATAGCTGCGCCATTGATCTACCACCTTTTACAGTTTACCATTTGTACGAAGCTAAATGTTTTGTTAGACGTCGTTTAAATGCTTTGAACCGATCATCACATATTTTTGAAGAAAATTTCACGAACAAATCAATCGATTATTTGTTCAGTGAAAGATATAAATTTGTTGGCATCGAGGCTAATAAACTCAAAGCACATTCGCGAGCAAAAAAAATAGCAGTGGAGACAGCAATTGAGGAATGGCCTGAACCATTGCAACTGCTTCTAAATTTAGGTTCATTCATCCTGAATCGGCCACCAAAAATGTTCGCACCAATAATTAATAGATTGGATTCTTTGGTCAAGGATTTACCATGAATTAAGTTTTGTGCGATAAGATTGATGATGGGGAGTGTTGTCCAAAATTACTCAAAATCAGAATTTCACGTTATGAACGCTCTTCCAGTTATAATTTTCAAATTTTTAGTTAAATCAATTAATTCCAGTTAAATTAACGTCTAATGATTCCAAAAAATTCCATAATAAGTTAAATATGGACTCTAATCATGATCTAACATAAATCAATTCATTTTTTATATCAACTTGTAAAATGTAATGAAATTTGTTTAATTTACCGAGTATTAACAATACAATCAAAAATTACCAATAAGTTGCGTGAAATTTTGACAAAAATTGATGAATATGCAGAAAAAAGTATATGAAAATAATTTTCAATCAACCTATTGTCAATGCTGTTCATTAAAGTACAAAATTTATTTACCAAATATCAACTTTAAATAGATTCAAATAGATTATCATTCAATTCAAGGTATTTAAAAACTAAACAAGCTTAAGAGAAGATGATAGTCAGCATCAAATTCATTTAAAAAACTAGTCAATGTGATCTACAATTACTGAAAGGGCAAAACTAAAGCTTTGACAGGAAACCTCACTAAAATCTCGTAGAAAAGAACCTGAACGAGGATCGAAGATCAAAATCAACTCTATAGTCGAGTAAACACAACTCATCAATTCTCTGTCAGTATATTTATTATAACTAAACATTTGGAACATATATCAAGCGAATGATACTAGAATAGGCACAAGGCATGACCGCGACAAGTGTTAATAAATTTTCACAAAACAACGTTTAAATAAATGTTAATCAGCAAAACTTTAATCATAATTATTGTCCACCTTCAGCAGGCACATTCTTAATAATATCAGAATCACCAGGGTCAGTAATGCTAAGAGAACAAACTCTGAAGTATTTACCACATGCTGTTCCTAACTCGATATTGTTACCAGAATAATGGTGAACTCCAGCTTTTGCCAACATAGCGTAGTATTCGATTAGACTTTTCCTTAGAGAAGGTGTGTTATTTGCGATTATAACTAATTTGGCTTTGCCTGATCGTAACGTTTTCAACGTTTGCTTGTATCCCATGGAATATTTTCCACTTTTCATTACTAAGGCTAGCCTGGAGTTGATACTCTCCATAGCCTTTTTGGACTTCTTATCGGCGGCAGACATTTTGAATAAGTTTGATGTTATCTAGACACGAAAATAAAGAAGATACTGTTAGACTAGATCAAAAGAACAATAATTAAAAGGAGTAATTAATTAAAATTAGCAAACTTACCTGTTAACAATTAAAATTATCAAAACAAGAACAAATCAAATTGACTCTTAATTCAGAATTCAGAAACACACAAATTTGTTTTTTCCGTTTCCGAGCAAAAGTTACTGCAGCTCCTCCAAGTGAGAATTTTTAGCGCTAAATTTAAATTGAAGTGCTCGACTAAAGAGTGTAAATAGCTATTCTTTAACTAATCAATATCTCTTAGATTTTCCTCAGTTAATATTAATCGTGATAATTTCAATAATCAAGAATGAAACGCTATTTCAAATATGATTAATACACTGAGGTCAACAAAATTTGAATTACACTGATTTTAATTAAAAACTCAAGTTGACTGTCATAATAAAATCCCTTAATTCAACAATGAAGCTTAGAGTTGATCCCATTCTGCTATAGTTTTGCTATTCTAAGGTAAAAAACCACAAGTTCAGTCAAATTAATTTATCAAACCATTTCAAACATTTTTCCGTTCTGCCCTAAATCTTGCTAGTGCAATTGGAATTAATTAAAAGTTACGATTTAAATGTTTTTAATTCATTTATTAGAGATTGAAAAGATTTTAACATTGTTTTAGAACAATTAAACGATAAATTGTCAGCATATTTTAAATTTTATGAATATTGGGTAGTTTTACATTTAACTAGTAAATTTCTTGTTTTATAATTTTAAGGTGAAATGTGCTGCAACAAAAAATGGGGTAAATATGTATGCATGATTACAAATGACCAAGCCGCAGCTAATAGACAGAGTATGGGTTTGATTATTTGGCCAATTCCGCCTCAATATCTGTGACGAAAGTCTAGAGAGAAAAAAATAGAAAAATTAGCAACATGATATGAGAAATCTAGGCAGAGTGCTGATGCAGAAGGAAGTGAGCATTCAATTACCTTAGGCTCATCTGTTGGAGCATAACGTTTAACTGGATTTCCTTTACGATCAATCAAGAATTTAGTGAAATTCCATTTGATTCCGTTAGTGATGAAACCTCCTTTCTTGTGCTGCAGCCATTTCCAGAGAGGATGAGCATCTTTTCCATTTACATCAACTTTATCATAAACATCCCATGTAACTTTATTTTTTAACAAAAATTCCTTTATGTCAACGGAACATCCAGGTTCTTGATTACCGAATTGGTTACAAGGAAATCCAGCAATTTCAAGACCTCTATCCTTGTATTCATTGTAAATGTCATTCAGTTGAGCGTAGTTGGCTCGAGTTAGGCCACAGTATGTAGCAACATTTACCACAATCAAAACCTTGTCTCTGAAAATAAAAAAATGAAATCACGGGGTGAGTAACAAGTCATGGAGCTTTTAGGAATACAACAAATAACGATAAACAAAACATACTTGTATTTATCCATGGACACTGGAGCACCATCCAAGTCGGTAGCTTCGAATTCATAGACAGTTTCAGCATTTTTCCAATTTTCAGTCATTGAAGAAGCCTGAAATAACCAAATAAACAACGTGAGTTTAGGTTTATTACTAACAATAAAAAATGGAGGAAAATGGTAAAGAAAATAGGGACTAATAGTTTAGTAAATGAATGGAACAAATCAACGTGTAAATCATAAATACTAATAAATAGAACGGTTAGGTAAACAAAGGAGTAAACCGGAAGGAATAAATGACTTCGAGTGGTTAATATTTTTTGGAATAGTTAAAGGTGTAATTGACAAGCTAGGATGCTAGAAGCATCGCATAACTCAAGTATAAAATGTCATTAATGGCAGTAAATGAGAAACAATTATTAATATCTTTAAACACAGGGCAAATGAAGGTTTAACCAAAGTAGCTAGAGACAACAAAAGAAATCAATATGACACAAAATTATAAGGCTTACAAAAACACGTTGAGATGTCAAAAGGCCAAGTGTTACTGATGGCCACAACAATGATTTACTAAACAATCTTATGCTCACCATTTCACTGTTTAAACGTTTAATATAATTGTCAGTATTAAACAACAAAGGAATAGAAATTGCAGCTAGAAGGATTCCGGTTGAGAGTAGAAACCACTTTTTAAATGATAACCGAGAAGGTGGTATGGATAAGTCAGACTCTTGTTCATCCATTTATATATAGAAAAATTTTCACATGGAAACCGAATAATTAATCAGATTGTTGATAGCAACAAGAGCAAGAAAAATAGCTAAAATAGAAGAAGATAGGATTATTTTGTTTACCAAACAATCTGGTTCACTTGTACCGGGTTTACAGCTACGGTTACCTTGTTGATGTCTGACTCAATCACCTGTTTAAGATACAACATTGGGTTTGAAATATTTCCTACTAATTTTAATTACCGAATTTGCTATTTTTAGTCAAATCTAATCATATTTACAAGTGTATAAAAAATTTTGATGGATGAAAAATCCAATATTTAGGTTTTTAATGCGTGTTGGTTGATAATCAATTAGATAATCTAGTGAGAGCAAGTCAAGAACGAGTTGCACTATTAACTAATTCTTATATTGAACCAGATCTCATCAATGAAATAGCAATTTAATTCCTTGTATTGATTGAGAGAGCTGTAATAATTTTCTTCTCTGTAAATAGCATTGAAATCTAAACTCACAGCAGTTCGGTGCAAATAACCTTGAACACATGATCAGTAAAGCAAATGTTACATTTGATTCAGTTTAAGTTACAATAGTCAATGACTTATCAATAATCCTGGAAATCATAATTATATCATTATATTAATTAATTATAATTCTCGAGACTTCCAGAAATTATTTATGATAAATTTTCCCTCTTTTCAATCAAAATGTAAGTACAAACCGAGTTTGATTGAAATTGTCTGTTAAGTGCAATAATTTGAATATTCTTGGTAAAAGTTGTCAGACTCGTCTAAGGGTAAACTTTTAAGGGACTTCAGTGAAATCCCATTAATCTGTAATCTTGGACCATTAGTTTTATCACTGCTATCAATTAAGTTGATTTCAGCTTTCATTCAATTTACATGCATCTTGAAATAGACATTTGCAAATCATAGATCAATGGAAGTTGGTTTTATTGATTCAAGTCTCAATTTGATTGAATGTCCATAAAGATGAAAGAAGATTTTTATTTTTTGGACATTTTGAATTTAATTATTCAATACATTGGACCATTCGTATTTAACTCTTAAACTTGATCAATTTATTTGCACATTGTTCACAACCGATTAAATGTTAATATACACCTTGGGCATTTAACTTATTTGCGTGACAACCTGGAATTAATGAGGATTGTCAGACAAAATGCAATGAAAATATCGAAATATTATTATTGTGATTGTTATATAACTTTACCAAAGGATCCAAATTAGTCCATGGCAGCTGTAAGCATTACAAACACCAAATGCATCATCACCATCAATCTATTGAAAATCATTGCAATAATAATCATAATAATGGCACACCTTCCTTACACTTAATAAGTCTCAATTTGTCATCTTTAACACATCTTCAGTCTAACAAAATTCAACCTTGATTGTTCGCCCAACTTTCATCGACAGGTTAATCCATTTGCACGCTATAATACAGCAATTATCATAATAATTGTTCACCTATTTCTTGATTTCTTTAGTTCCTACCTCTGGGTACAAAAAACAATCAACACGATTATATTAAATCATTATTATTATCCAAAACCTTATTGTTATTTGGTAGATAAGTGACAAAAAATAGTTAAATCATAGATTTAAGGCAAAAAAGTTAATATTTTATTCATCGGTCGAGGATTCAATTTTCAATTTGTGTTTCACCGTTACCAGACTTGATTTTTTACCATCACAATCAACTGGTTGGGCTGGTCCATTTGTGACCATAGACGATTCAAATTGGTGTTTAGTGTAACTGCAAGTTGAACAGTTTGATAAATTAACCTGTTTGGGTATGTTAGAAGCGGTAATGTGCCTGAATAGAAAAGAAAAGATAATCAAAAAAATTAACGTTACTCAAGGTTTTTCATTTTACTATTAATTTTATAATTTATTCAACCAACAATAATTGTAAACCTGTCATCAAGTTCATCATCAGTACTGTATTAGCTTAATTATGCCGCCAAATCACCTCGAAATATCAATTAATGCCTTTGAGATATGCTTTTCTCAAATCAAAACAATGTTTCAATCTCAACTTACAGCTGACATTGTTTTTCTATTTACAAGTGCTTACAGACTCAACAGAATCAAATCTTTTATTAATTAAAGTTATGTGATTAATTTTCTATTCTATTGCTTCAATGATTGTAAATAATAAAATAATTAATAGTAAGTATTATCTTAATTAAACCTCAAATTACCTGTATTGTTGCTCCATAATAGCCTTCTCTATCCTTTTATCTTTAGCTCGCCTATTTTGGAACCAAATTTTAATCTGATTCTCCGTCAAATCCAGTAAATCAGCAAGTTGGAACCTTTTACCACGACTTATATAATCGCAAACATGATATTCCATTTCCAGTCGAAGAGTCTGTTCATGAGTAAATGTCGTTCGCTGTCGACGAGGACCACGATTCTGTCGTATTGGACCAAGGCTGTTGCTACTGTTATGATGATGACCGTTATGGTGGGGATGATGAGGAAGGATATATTTCCAGACTTGTTCAACTAAAATATAGAAACAGAAACATCAGTTTATTACCAAAATAGTTTCAACATTGTACTCAATTCAAGTGCATACATGAGGTAATTATATCTAATATATAAATCAGTTAGAATAGCTGTTTGTAGCAATTCTATGTGAATTCAAGAGAGTTTGAAAAAATTTAACTTTATAGCAAATATTTGTAGATCTATTTGATGACACTCGAGGTCTGTTTCAACATTCAGATTCATTTTAAATCAACTTCCATAAGATGCAGATGAGAAAAGGCAATTAATGTGCTATCGATGACTGGTGTGAGAAACTTTTCACATAAAAACAAAATGATAGGTTTTCTGTAAACTCGATGAGTTGAAGCATATTATTTTAACTTTGATTATTCAATGAACCTTATGATACAATTTAAATATTCATAACTTGAAGACACCTTTTAGCAGTCAATCATTTTTCAGATATTTAATTTAAAACCACAATTCCCATGAATATTATCTAATACCTTTTTCATCCGTTTCTTTTCAAGGTTCATCTAATTTTTAATTCTACAAATTTGACGCAAATTACTGGTTGATTGTGTTGTTATGCTGATTGATTTCTCTAGTTTAAATTTTGGAGGAGAGACAATTAAGATCTATCAAAATTGATGGGTCAAAACACTGGGCCTCGCGTAACCACAGTAAATCAATGATAATTTGAAAAGACTGGAAGAACAAGGAAAAAGCATTTCCAAAAGAGTAACCGATGGTAAAAGAAGAAAGAGAAAAGGAAAGCGAAAACAACCGGAAGATTAATTGATGGTCATAAGGTAAGCAGAGCAATGAGATTTCCGATGATTCGGAACTGATTTAGCTCTGCCGAGTTAATGATGATTAGTGTGGACTCATCCCAACTCTCGGAAGTGTAATCCTACCAAAAAAGTGAACCGTGGCCAAAGAGCCGGATGACAATGATCTAAATTTGAATATTTCACTTCGTATCTTCTCTTACCTCAAATTTAGTCTCCTTTGTCTATACATAAAAAGATGATCCAAAGGTTTTGTTTAAGTGTAATAAGTACCTCTTAACTTTAGCTGAGTTGAAGGGTTGGATGAATTTTATGTGTTAGGCTCACGAACGGAAATTTGTCTTCTTTCTTTAACCCATATACCTACATCATCTTTCCTTTCTTTCTTTCTCTCTCTCTCTCTTTTCTCTCTCTTTCTTGCCCTCTTCGTTCCGGTTGGCACCCTCTTAACACAGCACTTTGCTTTTGGTCCATTTAACTTTGTTGACCTCAACCGAGATACAAAATATCCACATACTTTGAAAGCGCTACAAAACTAGAGTAGTAACCTTTCACTCTTGTATCTCTAGGTTTCAACAGCAAATTAAATCCATCCTTTGCTTTGCTTCCGTGGATGAAACAAAACTGTTTTTACCTTTATCATTGTCTTTATTGATTCACTTGATTGAACACAACTGTAAACACTTCCGATTGTATTTGGGATCAGTAAGCATCAAAATACAAAGATGTATACAAAAGACATTACAATTTGTATCACTGTTTGTAGGTTAAGCTTAAAACTAATCATTCTTCCCTTTACTTTCCCCAGTTTCACTATCATCATGAGGGGTCACAATTAATGGTTTTAAGCAATAATTGGCTATAAAATTAATGGACTCTATATTTCAATACAAATCATTTTCTTGGTCATTTGTTTCATTACTTTTCACCTCATAAACAATCCATACTTGATTATTAACTGATAGTTAACACTTTCATCACTCATTTATCAAACTATTTTACATATTTTATGTCTAGATCATAAGCTTTGCTAAAAACATTGACAGATTGTCGAGATTAAGATTCTAGGTCAACAAATTTATTCATTTTCATCACCGTTTGCATGTTTTAATATTCAAAATTAGCTTCAACACTTTAATCCCTCTGATTTATGTCTAGCAGTTAAAAAGTTCATCAATGTTTCATCAACTTTAATAACTTTCTAATTTCTCATTTGCAGATTGATTGAATGCATCAAATAAAGACAACTTACCATTTGAGTAAGGTAAAAGTCGCCGGTAATCATAATAGGCGGGATATGTTATATATGCTGTTCCAGTTATTGTTGACTGAAGTATGGCCGTGGCTGATGGTGACGATGGTTTCGATAATTTTCTTGATGAACTTAGCAGATTTTCAATGGTATAATTTAAAACTGAAGATGGCGATGAATCGGTTGATGATGATGATGTTAATGGATTGATTGGCTTTTTGTCGCAAACAAGGGAATCTTGAAGACTGTCCTTGTCATTGTGATGGATCAGATGATCACTTGGAATTAATTCACAAGTTTCTGTTTGGATGGTTGATGAAGTCAGTAAGGAATGTGCAAGTGGCGATTCAACATCAACAATTTGAGATTCACGGGAATCATTGGAAATTTCAGTTATATTATCATCAACTATATTCTCACAATAACTTGGCATGTTGATTTTTGTTTATCACAATTTCACGAACAAGTTTTGGTTTGCAGTTGGGATTTGTCCGAGTAATAACAATATCAATAATAAGACAATAAATAACGTTCAAATTGGTCAAAATCTAGAATAAAAATGATTAAAGATCGACTAGTTGAGGAGGAGCTTGAAAACAAAAAAGAGGATTTACCTAAAGTAAAGGTAAAGTAAAGGTAAAGGTTACCTTTGTACCAAATCGTATAGGAATGGTGCGCAAATCCTATTTTGTATATTAACTGTTCTTTTCGATTGCTTACTATCATAATCATAATTGTCTCATTAACATGATACTCTTATTGAACTGTCAACCTTATGCTCCAATCAAGTCGAAAGGAAACTTGCTGTGAACTTTCATGATTTATTCATCAATAAAATTCGCGATGAAATCATGATAAATCTTATTTTCTGTCACCTAGTTTTGCTTAGTATTTAGTTTAATCAATCCAGCAGTTAAATTTATAATTTACTTGAGCCAATTTTGATAAATCGATTAATTTATTTCAAAATTAACGATATTCAAAGGGATCAGCTGGTTCTCAGCCGATAAATAACCGTTGGGTATCAATATTGATCATTTGTTTTTATTTGTGTTAATTCATAGATGTTTAATTGTTGTAATTGTATCCTTTTTTCTTTGATGTTATTACACTTCTAATTGTTATTTTTCTTTTAAAATTCTGTTTTGAATCAGGATTCGTAATAACACCAATCGGACATTTGAATTGGTAAGATATTGAAATTTTTTCTCTATTTGAGTTTTCACTTTAAGTTTATGCTCAGGTTAATATTGGTTTTTATTGTTGAATAATATCACAAATAAATAACTATTTATTTTCAAGATAATGATATTGTATTGGACCACAACTACAAGAAACGAATTACTGAGGTGAAGTATTAGAAAGATGGATGAGAATCGGTGAAAGATAATGATGAGGATGAGAAATAGTTTAAGTTGAAATGAGGAATACAGATTCTGAATGGGAGTTAAGTTAATATCCAGCATTGAATCCAATTGATATAACAGTCACGCAAAAAGGAGTTTATTTTTTACTTTTTTTTTATCATATTTTCATCCACTAAACATATAACATCTATGCTAGTATATCTCATCACAATCAAATAAACACGCTAACAATAAAAAGAGAGGCAGAGAAAGGCTATTAAATCTTTAACCAATATCTATCATTAACAATGTTTAACTTAAAAACAGTCCAGCTAACCAAGTTTTAATTTTATGTCGTTTTAATTAGTGGCGAGCCTTTAGGCGTCATTTAAATTTCAACGTCCATTTGTCCAACATGCTCACCACATCAAATGAGTATCTCAAGCATTAGTTGTTATTATTTATGATTTTATTCATTCTTGATTTATATTTCTTATACAGATTGACTAATTTTTTGTGTTCCTTTTCCGAGGCGATTGATTATTGTTTCTATATGATGGAAGCGAGAGGATTCAATCAATAAACATTATGATGACGATGAGGATGATTATTATGATGAGGATGCAAATTATATTTTAATGGAGCCAAGCTGAGAGTCTGAATATTACTTTTGCTTTGGTGGGATTAATTCCAGATGAGAGATGGCAAGAAAAGAGCAACAAAGATGAGAATAGATGGTGATGAGGATGAGAAAGCAAGAGGAAGAAAAAAGGATAATCGAAGCCAATCATTTGCGTGTTAAAGTTGAACCTTTATCGCTATAATATTGTAAAACTGACTGGTTAACATGGTTTTTTATACTTGAGACAATTTTACCTTATTTTGCTCTTGTTTCTGGAGCTTTTTTAACCTTCAAAATGAGAGTAACCTAATGCAATTGAACAAAGGACCCATCATTGAGACTCCTATTTTTGTTATTTTCATTGTTGTTGTTTATAATGATAAAAATAACAATATTAGGAAGATGATGATGATTTGATGTGAAAAAATGTATGTGAAAAGGATCATCTGTTTAAAGCAATGCTACAAAGGTTTTAGTATTAATACTAGGAAACAAATTTAAAAGGAATGGTCCTATCATCAAATACAATGTTATAATTGTTAATTAACATAATAGATTGATCCTTTGTCAATTATTACTGTTCATTCAAGTTATTTGTATCTGATTCCATGTTTTTGCTAAATCATTCATGAATCAAGTCAACTTGAACAAATCTGTGATACAGACTACAGATTTCACAAACTACAAACCTAATTCATTTGTATTAAGCTTTAATGACATTTGAGCTTAATCAAATTTCTCAAAATTATACTTTGATTGTGATCTAGTCTTCGTGATAGGCAAATTCAACATAACTTGACTTTGATTATTTACTTGAACCTTGACTTACCGATAAGAATAGAGTTTTCATCGAGTTATAAATAGTGATCAATTTAAATTTCAGTGACCAGAAATTGATTAGTAGATGATTTAGCTTATTTGAGCGCTCAACTATTATGGGAAATGTTAAATTACAGCATAGAACAAAAACTTGATGATTATTCAGTTGATCATTGATACTCAATTTACGTGTTAATAAGAATAGATTGTAACCGTAGCAAATGAGTGATTAACTGGATGAAGCTGATAAAAATGATCAGACTGACGTATTAAATATTCAGACAACCCTAAATTGATTAATTTTGTTTAAAATTGCTGCAATATTACAAAATGTATTAACAAATCTATTACAAGACAGATTTCGCTTTCTGTTCAGTCTGCAAAGTCAAATATTGTTGAAACCCATTCCATTTTATATTAACGAGCAAATGATTCAGCAACAATTAAATTTTTAATATCACTGATTACCATACAACGATGATAATATATATGTAATATAATAATTTTTGTTGAAAAACTATTCTTAATTATATTAAGGAACAATGATAATAAAACGTTAATGTTTAGCATTATTTGCTTATGAGTAGCTTTTAATACATACCAAGTAGAGCAATGATTTACTGATTTGATTATGAATTGTAAAGATCAAGTTAACTAGCCATTATCTAATGCATCTGTGACTCCATTTAATTGTCACATTTTTACATACTTGCAAAAACAAGTTAAACATGGAAATCACTTTGAATCAAATCAATAGTTTGTTTACATGTTTCCTTACATTGGGTGCTCTTCGTTTTTTTGGGTAGTCAATTTTTCTAGCAACAATTTAATTAATACAAGTATCTATTTTAACAATGCAAATATTAATAAAATCAGTCTTCAATCTTAATAGTGTTACTTCAACAATAAGTGGTCGGACACGTTTACAATTCAGTTCTGTATTGATAATAGTTGATGAGTTGAACAGTCAACAGCAAACTCTGATCAATTTGATTAGCCCAACGAGCCAAGAGTTAGAAGTCCAATTGTCGACTGAATCATTGGATATCAATTGTTTGTGATGACAATCAGGATAAATGGTTTCCTGAGGTTTGATTTCTCATCTTTTTTCCCCAATGTATTCCATAAGGCATTGGAATTGGTTTGGTAGCGTTAAGAGGATGGATAATGATAGCCTTGAAACAGATTAGGTTGATGTTGATCAGTATTGTTATCAGCAAAAGAATAAGAAATTAACTTGATAAGACTTGGTTAGGTATGGATGTTCAAATATCAGGTAAACGCAAATTGAGCCGTAAATATGAATCTTTCCTGTCTTTTTGCACAAATTCCGGTTAAATTTTAAAAAATTAAATCAGTCAATATGGTTCAATAGTTTAATAATTATTAATTATATTTACACTAAATACACATTAGTTATTACTTGAAATTTACTTCGATATAACTTCAATCCTTCTTGACTAAATATTAACTTAATTTGTTTTTATCCTTTGATTCAAACATTCTTTATAAACATTTGGTTCACCGGTTAATGTGAGAGCCTTAATCATGCAGGCTTATCGCAATAAATAACAATTGATAATTAATAGAATCAATTATCAGATGAACTCTTGATTTGGGGAGGGTTGAATTAACATTCTTCCTTGTTTTCTGTTTCAATTAATAATATTAAATTGACCATATGCCCTTACATTTATTTAGTTGATTGTTGAACTACAATTATACTTTGCTAGCTTTTTTGTACTCATAGTTTGTGTTCTCCGAGTTAAACATGATTACAATCCAAAAATTGATTACAGCTAACGGACCAAATTTGCTTCAAGCATCTCAAGGAATAGTTTGTTCATTTGTACTCTTCCCTCTATTTTGATTCCGTTCCAAAAACGTCGGGTAATGCCGTCAATTTGTCTTAATAGTGGTAAACATAACAAAAGTTGACTTAAATGGTGAACTGAGTTGTATGGTCGAAGAGCTGAAACACATTCCTGTAAGGCAATTAACAATGTATCTCGGAGCTTTTGCACTGATTGACTATTCTCAAGTTGAATATCTGAAAAGGATTAAGAAAGGGAAAAAATTAGTTGAATTATGAAAATCAGAGGTGAGTTAGATATTAGATTGAAGTATCTAACAAGTTAGAGGTACAACTTTGAGTGGCCTTCATAATAATAGATCTAAAAATCAAACTAAATAGGAGAAAAGGAAAGAAACAAACATTTTACTATAAAATAATGTCTCATTTCAAACTGGATTTCAAGCAAATTTTTGGATAAATTGGTCAAATAATGAAATACTTACCGACATTCGTCAAAAGAAGAGCTTTAATAACAAGGTATTCCTCTTTAGCTATACGTAATTGATTCAATCGTTTGACCAGTTTTACACAAGAATTGAACATTTCTTCCGCTTTTGCTTGCTTGGATTGAGTTTCATCCATTACAAAATCACTAGCGAAAATGAGCTGCTTTAAAGGCATGGAAGCAGAATAGCATGAAGATGAGAAATGCTGATGCGTCCTGAAAGTGAACAAAAAATTAGAACAGAGTATAGTTTGAACAGATTTCTATTTGAACACATACCTGTATGCAAGACTGAGTGAAAGTATCTCGGCCCAACTATTTTGCAACAATTTCATCTGATCATTAAGGGCAAGATCTGAAAAACCGGGTATTTGCTTAGCCCAAACAATTGTTGCCACCAATTCCCGATCAACTAGATCTCCTAATATACAAACAGTTTTGTCACTGGGTGACTTAGAATAGGCAGTCCAACGATCTTTATATGTTGAATCATTTACCAATAGAGTTTCAGGTTCACAACAGATCAAAGCAGTAACAAACTTATTTTCTGGATAAGAGAAAGAAAAATATCAAAAGTAAATAAATAGCACAACAAAAAAACAAGGACAAGGTATTCTCAGTAATGATTTAACGAGATTTTACCTACCAACATTACATTTTTGGCGACTTATAGCTGAATGCAGCTTTAATATTTTCATTAATAGGTTAAAAATAAGTTACTTACCCTCTAATGTAGTATTTTTGGGGGGCAAAGTCGCCACAGCGTAAGGACTCTCAGCATTTCGTCGATACTTTTGCCGTCCTCCTCGAACTCTGTCTAATCTAACCCCCTCTTTGAGCATTCCCATTCGAAGGCATTTTTGAAATCGGCAGGCTTGACAAGCTTTTCGTCGTCTTTTATTTATTTCACAGTCACTTTGGGCTGGACAAGTATATTCGATGTTTCCTATGAAATGAAAGGAATAAAGTAGTAGAAAGTAAATATTAGCATGAGAGGAAAAGATCAGTATCAATTATTTAGCATAGAATTGGTCGAAATACGACTATTCATACTAGTCTAGGGTGAACTATGCATTAATATGAGCATACATGAACACAATAAAGCACAAAAAATAAAACCAAGCGAATGAATTACCTTGAATAGTTCTCTTGAAAAAAGCCTTACAAGCTTCACAAGAGGCAACTCCGTAATGAAAACCAGAAGCAGTATCACCACAAACAAGGCACAACCTTTTAGGTGATAAATCATCAGGTTTAGTTTCAGTCACATCGAATGTACTAACCATGATTAAATTAAATTTAATAAATTAATATTTTAACAAAATCAAATAACAACGGGGAAGAGTTAATTATTAACTTAACTTAACAAAAAAAAACAAAAACAGAGCCACAAACAAGACCAGCCGGAAAAAAGAGAAAGAAGAGAAAGTGGCTGAAGAGGGAGGAGAATAGAGAAGATAGCAGATAGAAGAAAAAAGACAGATGAAGAAATAGACAGTAAAAAAGAGAGGGAAAGATCTGGTAACTAAGAGAAAGAGAAAAATTAGCAATGAGAATCAAGTTGAAATTGATTGGCGATGATTGATTGAGCAACGAGTTGATCGTTCTTATTATCGATTGGTTGGTGAGTTACCCATTGAGGTCCAATGGGTTAACAATTAAAGGGTGTTAAATGATCAATATGATCATCAAATGTTCATAATCGTCATCAACATCATCAGCAATGAGCAAAAAACACAGAGAGAGTATCAAATGTGAAAAGTGATGTTAAAGGAATACAAAAATAGATGATGAAGAAACAATAAGGAATGAGTTGAATTGAAAAAATGGGTAAAATGAAAAAGATTGGTTAAAATTGGCTGTTAGCATTAGTTTAATCACAAACAATTTTTTCAAACTAGCTAATTTAATCTCATTGGATTAAGCTTAAAATAAATGAAAAATTTGCATTTTTAGATGCAAATAATATAAAAGGTAAAAGGTGAAATTGCAATTTGGTTAAACGTTGACGAAAAATGATAAATCTCACAGAATCTCTCATTATTACATATTTTTTGTTGAACCTCACTTTAACAATTAATGAAATCAAATTATCAATCGCTGTTTAGATACCAATCAATTTAGATTGTCATCTTTTATTATTTCTCAACAGATTGATGGATGAGATTGTTAAACTCATGGATGTTACATGATTGTCGACTTGGCAATGGTTGGACTTAATTAGCTGATTAGTTTGGGTTTATGGACAAACAATAGTGAATAATAATTAAATGAAAATAAACTTGAGTTGATTTTGATAATTTGGTAAAGGATAATGAAAGATCTTGTTGGGAAACAAGAAAATCTCTAAGATATCCTTTCAAGTTTGATTTTTAATGTTGTGATTTAAGGTGAAATACGAATAAATAGTCTAAACAAATTGATTAGAAAGGCCAATATGAAAGACAATAAGTTACTCAGTCATAAAATAAATAAAAATGTCAGACCAAAAACATTACCAGCAGGCAAAATTCCAGTCCCGGAAAGCGATCCGATGACAACTGAAATTCGTAAATCGATGTCTGGAAGCATTACTTGTATATTAACAAACCAAGATTTGAAAGATATGGCAATTTATTTGATTAAGATTGCTCATTTCAGTTGTGGATTAAAGGAAACGGACCCGCCTTACAATTCACATAAGGATTTAATGATTCGTTATATTCAAGAAGTGTTCAACCTTAATTCAGTCAAATTGAAACAATACCAGCAAAGTATTTTGAATAGTAAAGATCAAAATTTCAAGCCTGCTGTTAGATGTTGGGTTAAAGATGCAAGCAATTTACCGACAATGGACGCTGATGGTTTCGTTGATCCCTATTTTGTTTGTTACCTACTCGGCTCATCATTGGCAGCACCATTTAAATCAAATTACATCCAAAAGGAACACAATCCAGTCTGGAATAGAGAAGTAATTATACCCATTGATGTTGAACTGGTTAACTCTAATCGAGGTATAATGATTGAAATTTGGGATCATGATTCAATATCTTTCACTGAATTGCTCAGTAAGCTGCTAAAATCTCGATCTTTAGCCAATCTGTATCATGGATGTCGAGATTTAATTCAGCTGATTGGCTACAAGTTGTGTGGAAGCAAAGTCGATGACAAGATTGGACAAACATATTTACCAATAAATACAATCCCTTCAACTGAAATGTCCCTGTCAACAACCCTTATTGACTCTTATGGATACTCAACTGGTACAATTAATTTAGTTGTCATTTGGGGATCTCAACTTTACAATGATTTAAGTTCAAAGCTGAAAATGATTCCAATGCATTCAAAGATTTTACGATTTCTACTTTCATGGCATTGTCGTGATATTACATTCAGGTTTAGGAACCGAGAAATACCTTACAGTTCATTTGATTTCTGTGGCCTATTTTATGTACCAGCGTTGACCTTAATCAATCAAATGCGAGTACAAATCAACCTTGGTCATTGGGATAATGTTTTATTTTGTCACTGTGTTACTGGACTCATTCTGATTGAAGAGGTTAAGACAAAGCGATCTAATAATTCTGACAAACAGAGGAAAGACTCAACATGCGATCCAATATGTTTCCGCACTCTGTTGATTTCGTTGTTATCCTCAATCGATTTAACTGATCCTAAGCGCAAATATGAAAATTATTTAACCAAACCTTTGGAAGCAATTCAATCAGCGTTAGCTAATGAAATCTTTGACTTTTACAAGCCAATGTTGCCATCCATGTTAACCAATCTGATTGAGAAGCAAAAGAATTACTCCAATTATTATGAAACTATTCAGCTGTTGAGATTATTTAGCCGTTATGACAAGTTATTTTTTAAATACAACTTCCGTCATCGTCTCAATCAGCTGCTGTCCACCATAATTCTCAACTATTTTGACCGTAACATTGCTATACCTGAACGATGGACAACCCTGATCAATTCACTGGAAGCCTTTCAAGAAAACATATCTCGATATTGGTGTCAATCAATTTCCTCAATTATTGGTTCCCCTGGCCAAATTAGAATAAAGAAATCATTCGATTACGCAGCAGTTAAATTTATCAATGAAACTATTAGGCTTTGGAATAAAGATTCACGTGCGAATCACAAATCAATGTTGAATATTTACTTTTTTGTCCATCGATTGGATTTACTCTTTTGCTGTCGTCTAATTGAAGAGCATGATAAATCTGATGGTGAAGCAACGGTCCATTATGTCCGACGAGTGGAGACAATCAATAGATCGATCCGACAATTGGAGTTGAAGCATAAACAAATTGAAAAGGAAAAAATGTCTCCAAGTCGGAAGTTATTTACAAATCTATTGTCCAGCTTGAGTAAAAGTGTTTGGCTGACTAAAGAACAGAACTTTATATCTGACCAAATGACCTCTCTATTACCAGCATCTATTGCCTCTATCACGGCTCAAACAATCAGTCAAATTCAAGTAAAAACAACGCAACAGATTATAATAGCTCCAAGAGATTTGCAGTTAAATCGTGATTTTCAATTTAATGGTAAATGTAATAAACTTGGATTGGTAAAAGTGTTCCCACATGATTTGACGGATAAATGGATTGAGATGATGACTATCCAAGCTCAAGAGGCTGTTGATAAATCAGTTAATCAGGAGATGAGTAGAGATGTTGCTAAAGAAGGAACTAAAATGGTGAGTGTCAATAGCAAATTATGTAAAACCATTTTTAAACTGTGTGAGTTTCATTCCTCAATATTGCTAATCAGACTTTAATATCCAAATGTGACTAGATTTTATTATTTTTTAGCAAATACGATCATCAATTTTATTACTTTAAATTAAACTTGCAATCATCTTTTCTTCTCATATTTTTCAGACCAACCACTTTAACCAATTATTTTATGATCTTCTTGGGTGTACATTGTATTTCTTTGTAACTCTGGACTGTTGGGGCGAGGATTTACTTCGAAAATCGGTTGGCCTGTTGGTCAGTAAAGTTGAAAATTTCTGTGAAAAATTGACTTTCCAATCATTGAATAGCGTCATTTCATCTTCGTCATCTTTAGATGCCAGTTCAAGATTAATTAGAACACTTAATGGACTGTCCATTGTCCGAGAAAAGTATCTTCGTCGGTATTTGGTTGAAATATTGACAGATAACAAATCAATTGATATTTGGAAATGTTTTTGGGCTCATTTTGCACTTGAACCAGTCTTTTTAGATGATAGCAAAGGACCGAATAGTGACTTGGTTCAAAAATCCAGTGATTTGGATAAGATTATTGTTTTATTGATGAATTTTTTAATCACGATTGAAAACCTTTGTCATGATATTAATATCAACGAAGACTCATTGATCGACAAGTTGAGTGAGGTGTTTTTAAGACATTATCTACAAACAGTTAAAGATATTATCGAAGCAGCTGATCAAAAATCAACAGAATCTTCCAAGAAAGATTATGAAGAGTTGATTATTACATTTGCAAATGATGCAGCAAAGATCATTTCAAATATCTTCTCAGATGACATAAAAGCCAATCTGCTGCTGGATATGCGACATAAACTCTCAATTTGTTTTCCATCGATGATTAGATCATTGTCTGCCACTTATGAGGCTGAAAAGAAAGTTAATAAGGCTCGTAGTCATTATACCAAAATACAAATAGTTAAATTATCTTTGATTGGTCAGGGATTTTTGGATGAAATTGCTAAAATGTTGGGTGAAATTAAAAGTCCGCAGAGTGGAAATTTGAAAACTTTGATTGAGACTAAGGTTGACTTTTCTCTTGATTTAAGTAACATTGCTTCAGGAATTATTAGCGGAAAGTCAAAATCGAAAATATAATTATGATTTAATCAATGGTTAATTCCATACTCCTACCGTTGAGACAATTGCATGATAAGTTAATCAGTCGACTGGATTTCCAGCTTTATGATACAATTCTGAACAAAGCTTCAGTTCAAAAACCTATTGGTTTTATCTATCTAATAAGTTTATTTTTGATGTTGTAAATTAAAATTTTTGAATGTATTAATTTTTCCAGAATATTGAAGAAAAATTGATTAATTAATTCTAGTCTTGATCTGAATTTTAAGAGATTTAATTATTTTAATGAAATTTGGAAAAACCGCTTCACTTTGTTGTTTGAGGTTGCGCTGATTAGCATTAGTCGTTTAACTCGTCTCTTTGCTCGACATTGTCGAGTCGATAATGATGATCGAACAATATCGAGGCGACATTGTTATACTAATGAACGAATTTGTAATTTGTAATTTAAGATTATTAATTGCCGTGTGGGTTAGACTTAACTAAGTCAAAATGCTACATATTTTATTTAAGTATTTCTGGTTCAAGTAAAATAACTTCAAGTTATATCTCACTGTTATGTTATTCTTGTGCAACATTTTATCAACATCTGATTTTATTTTACTCTCATGAACATATTAAGTTTTTCGACTTGTTATTCATTTGTGCCAAATTTAATACAAAAACCGTGGCATGATATTTTCGTTT